CAGTTGTATATACATAGAACCTGGGTAACTATTTGTTTTGGAATGAAATGAAATGGGGTTTAGCGTCCTACTGTTCTGCTCCTATACTGGCCTAATGAAGACGGGGAAATTTTGCCCGGGCAGCGGTACTATGGTCTACTCTTATAAAGAATTCCAACTGCCAAGGGATCTTTTACGTGCACGACAATGTATACACGGGACCTCGGTTTTTTGTTCAATCCGAACGACTAGACAGCTGTCCTTGTCAGGCCCTCCGTTCTGCACCACTGACCCAGAGTAAGATTTGATATGGATCGGCATATATTGGTTTAATTGAAATTATGCATACACAGTAGGACGCTAAACCCCATTTCATTTCATTTCATTTCATTTATGCCTTCACACAATCAATGGAATATGAAAATGAAAATCAGCACTCCATAGATTCCGACTTCGACCCACGGGCGTTCGGACTCCTCATTTCCGAAACAAGCACTGGCAATGAGGATGATATTGAGAGGATGAGTTTAATATCGTATACAATTAGCTGTTTAGATTGAGTTCCTATATCTATATATATATAAATAGAAGATATGGGCCGATCTAACTTTAGGTGTGAGTTATTCGTGTAGAGAGTGTAATACTGTCAGTAATTAACCTTATAGTGGGATACTCGCGTTCTAAATATATAACACAATACTTGAAATACCAAGGTTACAGACTCATACCAATGTAAAATACGAAGCCTTAAGAGCAGGGGGGGTTGGATGGCTGAATGGTTAGCGTGCGCGCGCTGTATCATAAAGTCTGTCATTGAGTCGACTGGTGTGGTTTCGAATCCCCGGTTGTACGTGACAAGGAGTAGGGTCGCCTGTCCAACCTCGTGGGTTTTCTCCGGGTCCTCCGGTTTCCTCCCACTGCTAAAGACCCCTACGCGCAAGCGAATTATTGAAATAAAATTAAACCATATGTTAGTCCCGAAATGACCTAGTTTGTGTCGAGTGGACGTTAAACCCCATTTCTCTCTCTCTCTCTCCTTAAGAGCAGCCTACACGGGGTCGTATTTAAGGCGGCGCAAACAGTGCAGCTATCTGTACAGAACTTACTTGTTATGAACTTAAACATACATTATGAATGAGCAAAATCGGCCTATTGTACGTCTTTCTTTAGGCCTGAAATGTTATAAAAACTATTATTTAGACATTAATTAACTTATCCAGACCATAATCAGCTCTCGATGTCAAGGCTTGCCTGCGATATTTGTTGGATTACAGTCCGATTTGCTGCAAAACTTTCCTTCGTGATTAACGATTAAATGGATAATCAAGACTATTAGTTTTGTCTTATCGACTTCAGTAATGATGATCGAGGCTAAGCGGAACTTTCATCCGCTTGGTTCTCGGTTCATAGTTGATCAATTTAACTGAAATTTTCAGCAAGTTGCCTTTACATTATGTAGTTTTTAACTATTATAGTGAGAACTGTCAGCTCGTTATCTAATCTCCCATAATGTATCTTTAATCTGATTAAAATATAGATCTATATTTCGTTTCGTATTTTTATACTTTCGATGGCCTACGTTACATGAATATCTGAACAGTTGTACTGGAAGGTCGCGTCAGGGGTCGCACGAGCGACTTTTGACGCTATGACGTCAGACATTGATTAATCAGCCAGCGTTGACTTTTCTAGTGGTTTACCCACAGTTCTGTGCGTCACACGCCAAGAACTCGCCGTAACAGATCGTTTCATTGGCGAAGTCCTCACTTCAAGCAGAACGCCGGTAATATAACATCTATTCCAGATCCTAGTGTAGTAAAGACAAGTAAAACGAAATTTTGAACTATAAAAAACGAAACGAAATAGGATCTGTGTTTTAATCCGATTGATCTGGGAGTTACCTTGATTCAAACCAACCTATCTAATACACTATATCGTATATTATGGAAGATAATAAAACACCTGTAAACTCACCTGATATCTAAAGATAAAGTTCTATATAAATATTGACATCCAGAATATCTGTTTCTTTATAAACACTTATACCCATTCGATAAATAGACCTCCTTTCAATCATATTCTGTCGGCATACTCCACACCCACACTGATCAGCAGTGAATTTTTCGCTAGGCCGCTACAATCACTGATAAGGATGACATCGATGCGACTTAATGAGTCAGAAATATTAACTTTTTTCCTGCGACAAATTAAATTCTAAAACATTTTTTTATGTATTGGAAAAATAAATAAAGGCGTTTGACGTATTTGTAGGTAAAAATTATTTCCTATTTAGTGTAAATGGGTATTAAAGTAGCTAAGTCTCTAACTCAAAATCATCAAAAATCTTCAACATTGAAAACACGAATTATTTGTCAATTTAAATCAACATTGATGTTGTGATCTTACCGGGAAGAGATGGGCTTCTGATATCCAATATTTAAGACAAAATAAACATTTTACCATTGGTACACGAATCGTGTACCATAATGCGTTTCGGCGTCATTTGTAATAAGGGACTTAAAAAACGAGCCTAGGCATATTCCACATGTCAAGTCAAACGGTGACGCCATATTCTTATCTGGAGAGCATGTGCAATAAATACTATCGGTGTAGACTGGAATAACCAGTCACTAGATATTGCCATTCAATTGAGACTTCTGGCGTATTTCGCCGAACATAAATGATTAGAAATTACAGTGAAAACAGAAAAGATTGAATGTAAATCAGTTTATATACATTCATATTACATTATTATATGCGTTGCGACCCATTTATGTCAATTTCTAGGTTCCAAATATTAGCGATTTAGCTCTTTTAAAATGACTAAAAGGCAGCATTCCGCCCGAAGCAGTAATGCCTTATGTAAACAATGCACGCGCCATTCAGCTAATGATTGACGCCGCGTGCTGTGACGGCACGTGTTAAGGCAGTCATCTTTGACAGAGATATTACTCTAGGCTCCCATATATAAACCCGCCCACGCGTTCAACCATTCGGCCACCCTACCTCAATTCCTCCGCCCCCACCCCTCCCCGCCCCCCACTATCGTTAAACAAGGCCAAGGTATGGCAATCATCGGGATATTTTATTCTCTGGTCCCACATGATTCCTGGGTGAACTGGACCTCGGGAGAATTTGGGCCCTAGGTGAATTTGAGCACTGGAAGAAGCCCCGTATCCTGCTAGTTATAAATATAAAAGCGGATTATCTAAACATTTCGGTATATTTGCCTGTACTACTTTTGTAGATCTTCAAAGGGGTATTTGTCTAAACGATGCAGTTTGTTTGTTTGTATTTATAGTACCATGTAATCAATGGCGGGCACCTGCAGATTAATAATATTATCATATTTACATTCTCTAACGGTGCTAACTACTCGGACCACACTTTACTAATGTGTAATGTTGTTAAACATTATAATGGCTCAGACACTCAGACTGCAATGTAGACTGTTCTTTGAATTCCAAATGTCAAGGGTGCATTTACGTGAACGCCAATAGGTACAAGGGACCTTGGCTTTTCGTCCTATTCGGACGACTAGACACCAGGTGCTCCTTCCTGGAAGAGGAATTTACTCGGCTAACTTGCTAATAGTGGGTCAGGGTCATACTCACCAAGTCACCGTGTCTTAATTCCGATATATTTTATGAATTGTTACTTAAATCCCGATGCATCATTTGAGAGCTATAGAATCACTTTCAAGATACAACATTCTGCACGACGGGTCTCTAATATGAATATCGATCCAAAAATGGTTCAATTCCGTTCAGTATTTAGAAAGTTATGTAGAATTGAAATTTTATCGATTGATATGGTATTGGTTACGCAATAAGCCCACAGCCATCGATTGAATCCAAGCGTTGGTATTTTGAATTTGTTTTCTTAATTAAACATGCATTATGCAAGAGCTAAATCTGCCTATTGCAGGTCTTTCTTTAGGCCTGAAATGTTTTCTAAATTATTAATTAGACATTAATTAACTGATCCAGGCCTTAATTAACTCTCGATGGCATCAGATTTCTCCGATATTAAATAGATTAGAATGGTTCAGCGATACTTTGATTTAATCAAATATGGAGGACCAAGACTTAGCTTCGATCAACCAGTACGGTGGTGAAATTATTGCACACGTCTGTCAAACCTTCAAAGGCTAATATCTTGGCTTGCAATAGAGTAATTTGAATGCAATTTTCAAATTATTCATTTTACATCATCTACTTTCGAACTATTAATTATAGCAAGAATGGCTAGTTCTTTATCTAAATCTTACATAATGTTTTTTTAATTAAATGTTAGATAATACATCTGAGTACATATTTAGCGTGGATTCAGCCATGATAAATTTGATATTTTGACGCATCGGGACTTTATAATAAATGATATATATCGTGATTATTGCACGGCCAATCTGCATTTTGTTGCGCCCAATTAAACGGTAACTTGAATTGAGGTGTGAATAAATCCACGATAACATAATTCACAGCATGCATTGTTTTAATATATCCTCTCTTCGCGCAGTCCCTGTAACCCGAGAACCTAGAATATCGCTTGTCCTTAACCGTTATTTTTAGAACTTAAAGAATTTTGTTATGTCACCTGACAAACGAATAAATTTCGCGGGAAAGATCGACGTATCGTCGTATATTATAGTAATAAGTGGAAACAACAGACGTGATATTCTTCCCTTCTTCACTAATTACCTTGACAACCATAATCTAGCGCTAGTCTCTCGCACTGTATAGGCAACTGATATATCACTATAGGCAAAGGCGCGCCACCGCTTCTCCATTTTTAGGCAGAAGGTAATCGCATGGCAAGAATCTGTCTTGGACCAGTCCATTTCTAAATGGGGAAGTGCGGTTAGTTCCAAAGTTCAATAATCGGTTGTAAATGAATTGATCAGTCCGAACCATAACATGAAAGTTGGTGCCCCAGGTACTGAAATGATTTTCGTCTATAATATTTAACAGGGTGTGTGCCTAGAACTAATTAAAACTGTCTGGTATGATCAAGAATTAGTCACAAACCCTATTCCCCCCGTCAGTGGTTGTTCCTCGTCAGTCGGTATAGAGTCGTGAGTTTTCTTGTGTTAGGCTTATCGCTGCCACCCTCGTCTCTGCTGAATACAGGACCTGAACTTATCTTTCGTTACAAATTTCAGGCTTACCTGTGTGTGGACGTAAGTACATGCCATTTTAAAATAATTTTACAATTTTTCTCGGGGGTGATATGTATTAATACCTGTAAATATTATTCAGTTTTAGAGAACACACCTTTAATTTGTATCCATGGTTATAAGATCAGTTCTTGTTTTGAAAAAAAAATGTCGCTTTTTGAAAATTATTTCTCTGTTTGTGAGTGATTGGTTTAATTTGTCCAGATGTCTCATATATTGTGAGTTGGTTGAGGAATTTTTCGTGTATTATCGAGATATTGAAGAGAAGTTGGATCGAAGGGTTCATGACATTTACCTGTGCCAGAAAATCCGCAGATGTTTGATACCCAATTCCTACAACTACGTATCTTAGAATTATTGCCTTACATATCTACGTCAATCTTATAGAATAAGTCACCTATCGGCTTCATTACGTACACCTCCCTTTGCTCTTTATCAAACCATTTATAGGAAACACACTTAGAAACTAGAAATAACGCGGGAGATGCAGTAGGCCATTTTGACGGGCTTCAGTTTGGCGCGCTTTGACTTTTACTGGCAACTATAGCAGCTTTTTAGTTAGACCTGGGTTTCTCAAAGAACGTCTCTGTTCACGTAAATTACCATATAAGGAGATAATTAAATAGATTAATTTGTAACAAAATGTTTATTCATGAAAATGATTCTGGATTTAATGAAACGGATTTAGAGGTGCTAGCTTATGCCCAGGTGAGTCAAATCATTTTGCTGAGTCAACGATTTTTGCAACCTGCATTTTTCTGAAATGTGCTGCACAGAATTGTAGTTTGAATTAGGACCCCGTTTTTCTTTCCCCAAGGTTGTTATTAATTTTTGATTGACCTTAAAAATGTTGTTTTGGGATTTGGATTTTCTTCAATGCTGATTAACTTTAAGAACAGGTGCGTGCTCTCAAGGTCACGCGGATATTTCGAGCCTCCCACTTTATCCTATTTAATTTCAACTTAGTTCGGATATTTTAGCGCCAGAAATATCGCGTGGCAATCTTTTCGACGTTCTCGCTTCATTAATATTTCACAATAATATTAAGCGCAAAACAACCTGGTTAATGATGTCTCCATTTCTCGATCTTTCCTTCTTTTTCCTTCGAAGTAATGGATTAAAAAGTCATCGTGAATTAGAGGCAAAAATTTCAAAAATTCAGATTCAGCGCAAAAACCAGTCTGGTCAACGCTGTCTCCATTTCTTCATCTCGGTTTTTTGTTCTTTTTGTTTTCTCTCATTCTAACTGGAATGAAAATTTTGGTGTAAAATTCCAATACATTCCGCTCGTAATGGCGATAATTCCAAAATCTGCATAATTTCAAATCAAGTCAGCACTCCCTGAAAAATAAATATCTCACATTTTATTTGCATGGATCATCAGAATTCTAAAAATAGTTTTGGCAACAACACGGCTATAAATTTAACTGATGGGAACAGATTGTTAGGTTAATTACACGGGCTTGAATTCCTAAATATATTACGGGATAAATTATTTAATTAGTTTATAGTCATTGCCAACATCTAAAGGTGAAAAACTGACATGTCAGTGTTGGGTCATGTAGCTCTTATTAACATGGAAATGGTGTTTTATGACACGTCAGTCACAAATGAATTCCGTGGAGAGATATATATTATCATGAATCAGGTTCACAGACTTAAAATGGAATTTTATTTCTACATACGTTTATACACTATTGAGTTATGAAGAATTTTATCTGGCGCTTTTAGGGTGGTGCATTTAGAACGTATATTAGTATAATATCATTTGATATCATTTAGAATGTATATATTAGTACAATATCATTTAGATATAATATAATATCATTTGACATTGATATTAGTATAATACCATTTGATATCATTTAGAACGTATATTAGTATAATACCATTTGATATCATAGTAGTTTATTCTTGTGATTGTTGACGAGATTGTAGGTTAGGTTTGGGGTAAGCGTTAGGGTTAAGTCCAGGGTTAGGGTTAGGGTTAGGGTTGGGATTAGAGCTAGCCCTGTTTACATCTCATGACCTTAAAGTTGGCCTTATCAAATAAATCTAACTGTTGAACAAGGTTACCGGTGAATGTCATCGGTACATCTGCTTGTAATGATAACAAAAGTCGCTAACCTCATCTCAAAGATGAAACATACAGATACACATACTTTAAATAAAAAGGGAAAAACAAATACTGAAGATGCCAGTAATTTTTTCAGTTATTTAAACTGATGAGTGTATCCGAATATATAAATCCTACCATCTCCGCCATATCTATATAATATGGAATCAACTATAACTATGTTACACATCCGGCATACAAAATCTGTAAATATCACCTAGTCCAATACGCACCTGTTTATTGAACGTTTTTATTTTTGCGCTATATTAAACCTACAATCTACGCCACATCTATGGAATCAACTATAACTATGTTACACATCCGGAATTCAAAATCTGTAAATATCTCCAGATCCAATCGTATAACGCACCTGTTCATTGAACGCTTTTATTTGTGCGCTATATAAATAAGGATTATTATTATTCCTGAACCTAATGCTAAAGAGCATCATTGCTGTCGGAGTGCAGAGACCGGTACACCTGAGATACATAATGATCCAAAGGTGGAGGGGGTGGTGGTGGTGGTAGTTGACTAGAATGTCAGTGCCGGCTTCAAATTCCGGTTTCATTCTTAATAATAAGATGCTTATTTTGTCTAATACATGGCTATGGCTATTGCTATGGCAGTGCGTTTTGCTCTAAATATGTATTTGAAGACAAGGGCCAAAACTTGAGTTCGAACTAAGGGATTTCATATAAACACGTTCCATAAGTTACTCGATCATTTTGAAATCGTCCACTGGATTTTGTCAGCCAGTTAGTTTATTGTCGACTGCGTGCTTTATTTTTCAAGATCGGTTCTCACTTGTGGTGGCGCTTGTGGGGCTGACTTGTAAAAGCGCCTGGTCGTTGGCGTGCAGGTAAAAGATCCCTTGTCAGTTAGAAACACCGCTGTCCAGGTAACATTTCCTTCAAAGCACACTGCATGGTCGACCTTGGATTGTGTCAACCGATTAATTTGTATTTGAGCTAGTCTAGGCACTCTCCCTCAAACTAGGAGGTCCTGGGTTCGATCCCGGTGATGGCCGAGAAAGTTCTTCGGGATTTTCCAATGTGGTTTACCCTTGTCAGTGGTACAGGATGGTGGGATAGACAATGAACAATGTCGACTTTCAGAAGGAGCGAACAACCGATGTCCCGTGTACACCTTGGTATATACTTAAAGACACCTTGCCAATTGGAATTCAACAGCTGTCCGGGAATAATTTACCACATAAAACAATGGTGCAGGGCCAGGCAACGTCTAGTTTTTCGGAAGGAACGAACAACCGAGGTCCCGTGTACACCTTGACATGCACATAAAAAACACCTTGCCAATTGGAATTCAATTGCTGTTCGGGCAAAATTTACCACATTAAAACAGCTTGGCATATGCCCTTCTTGGTTATACCGGCTGGTGCAGAAAAGTGAGACGTCATACCCCATTTCATTAGTTTGTTATAAATTAGAAATACCTTTTTTTTTTCGCCATATCTTTGAAGACAAGACGGGAATACCTGTTTATTTTTTAACCAGAGATGTGATGAGTTTGCCATTTGTAATGAGGAATGTATCTGAACATGGTTACTGGGTATCAGGTTACATCTTCAGAGGTAATAATAGACCAATATCCACAGACATACAGACACGTGCACACATACAGGCAGCATAACATACTGGTACCAGGAACCGTTCATTTCGCTGACGTTTTAGGATTATTTTAATTTTAAATTGAGGTAAAAGTACTTATCTAAACGATAAACTATTCCTGGCAGAGTTTTGGTTGATGAATCACACTGTTCAGACATTTTAGGATTTGTATACCTGAAGAAGTTGCTAAGGTTATTTAGAATTCAGGTGTATTTCGTTGGATTGCGGATTATTGTTTGAGTTGTATACAGGTAAAGGTGTTTAACTCCTTTTGATAATTTTGTTACCTTCTTTCATTTTGGAAATAGTTACACGAGTGTTTTTTTATTTGGAGATGAAATACAGTTTTAGATATCGCGGGTGTATTGAAATACTTCATGTACATTTCAGACATTTTTTTTGGTTCAAAACAGAAAATTGGGATTCACGTCATTTTTTTGCCATCGCAAATAGGCAGATTATTTTTTCAGAAAAGAAAATTGGGAATCGTGTCATTTATTGCCATCACACACAGGTAGATTTTCAAGCCGTACGGAGAATATATATATCCGTATGATCTCAAAGGAGAGGTAAAATCAACCACGAGAATAGAGCCAAATTTTCTCGAATGGCGGTAACATCAACCTCGAATGCCCGTATTCCATAGAAATGTAACCAGTGCACAATCTCTTGTAGTTTTTTGAGAATTTAAATTTGGAAATGAAAATATCATCAAATTGTGATTGTATGAGTCAGAAGATATGTCGATTGTCTGACTATGTTCAGTAAATGCGTTCTATAGATAGACCACGTGTTACACTATATACCCAGTTAACATTGATCGTTAGATTTACGTAAAGTAAAGGTATCATATTTGGTTTTACGAGACCGAGGCGTCATTCTTTACTAAATAGTCTTTGGAATGTACAACACTGATTGTCTGGATTCAATGACATGCTTCCTTTAAGGTCCCTTCAGGTTGTGGATCAAGGAAGTTCCGGTGTTCCAATTAAGAGGTGTATATGGGGAGGTAACTTCAAAAGAAAAATAGAAACAGTCCCTTAATTCGACATTAGATTTTGTTCTGATTTCAACAAGCTGTTGTTATTTGGACCCAGATTAGTTAATTATTTAAAGTTACAATTTCATATTTTTAAGTTATATTTTTAAAATGTATTAAAATAAAGCCCTAAAATAGACGGTATCTATAAACAGTCCTACCTTGTTAAAGAATAATCCTATTAATCCTATAATTCACTATTGCAAGTTGAGAAATTGGCAAAAATATCATTTTCAACTTCAAATTCAAGATAGCTATTCCATAGTGGGGAATAGGAAAACAAGGGAGGTAATTGTGTTATTATTTCCGGTGTAAATGATTTTTAAGTGTGAGAAAGATAGCCTATGATCGTATAATAGTGAGTTGACAACCTATTGAGCAAAAGACATAGAAATAATTATGTTTTGACTTTCTTAGAAAATATGAAATTGTAACTTTAAAAATAGATTACATCAATAGTTCATGAGCTGCAATATGCCACATGGAATGGTTTAATGTTCTCCCTGTGCCATAGGTTCAACCATTTTCAATGTTATTTGAATGTTTTCGTAAATTCATTTGGCGTTGACAGGTTAGAAACAGCCAGCCCAATTTTTCCAAATTGAGAAGATATATCTTACTCTTCTGCACCAACTGTGCTAAGGAAGACCAGGTGATATATGTATATTAGCTACGAGAACGTAGCTAAAAACGTTGAGATGATATACTGATGATATACGATTTGGTGCCTTCAGTTTCACCTGAAAAACTTAATTTCTTTATTAATACATGTACCATCTTAAAAATAAGTTAATTTTATACTATTAGAACTTATTACACATACGCAGTCCAATCTACTGAAACAACATTCATTTATAAGCAAATATTGACAATAAAGTAAATCAAGCGTTGTTTTTATCAAAATTGATTCGGACATTCATAATTACGGCGTATTACTCTTGCGCAACTCGGATCAGGTTAGTACTTTGTTTGGCTATTGTGCACAAGTTCCCGCTTCGATTTAAAAAAGAGGGGATTTTCTGCTTAATTGTAGTTGGATTTGGCAGAAATGTTATAAATAACAATAATCAATCGTTGTTTTGAATAAAAAAAATGTCAATTTTGCCTATGTGAAACCTGATGTGATTAGCGTTGGGGGTTTGCCACTTGAAACTATATAGCACCATCTCTTATCTCGAAACACGGAGGGTTGAGAGATGAGGTTTCTTATCTAATATATATATATGTAACGATCATGCCAATATTTCTGTGAACATTTTCTGTTAAAAGGAACTAAATATAAAGATGGATTACTTTCAATTAGCTTGATGACAGAATTAATACAAACACTAACCAGTCACATTTAGTTTCTGATCTCAAAGAGGCAGCTGGGGAGAAATCAAAGAATAAGTAAACATTGAGATAATGAGGTTGTTTTCTTCAAGGTGATTTGATTGGGGAATATTATTATCTGTTCTCAAAGTCTTTTTTATGCTTCCAATATTTTTCATTGAAATAGTTATTTCCGCTGTTTGAAACAAGTCGTAATGTTATTCCTCTGTTTGGAATAGTTCGTAATATTATTTCCGCTATATTGAATGGTTCCTAATGTTATTTCCACTATTTGGAGAAGTTTGTAATGTTATTTCCGCAATATGGAAAAGTTCGTAATATTATTTCGCAATGAAATAGTTTGTTTCAAATAATCCGGATGTGTAAGTCCGTATTTCCTGTTTGGGATAAAATTACAAGTTTCTGTTGCATTCCTATATTGTAATTTTGGAACGTTTTTACATATTATTTATTCTAATACCAAGGCAATTGTACCAAGTCGTTAGTTACCATGGATACAAATTAAAATGTTGTCATATTTCAGTGTTTCTGTAGATATCATGTTATAGGAAGCTGAAATATACATGGCGATATATAGTTAGGTTACCATGGTTACGTGGTTCACTATAACCATGGATACACAAAGAAATTGGGCTTATTTATTACAATTATAATCTGTCAGTAAAAGATATAATGACATTTCTGACGGGCAAGGTATGATTCTTATATTAGTTGCTATGGGAACATGGTTGTCAAGGGAGTTAATTAGTGTTAATTGTAATACAGGTGAGAGAGAGTGGAAGCGATGACGAGGAGGAGGCTACAAACTCCAGGGTTCTCCGTGGTGAGTTATTCAATTTCATCAAGTTCATTAACATTATTAACTCTTAATTTATAAACTTTATTAATAAAAAGTTACATTTTCAGTGCCCGTGTTTTGTGAGTTATTCACGTTTTTCGGTGTTGATATTCACGTTGCTTTACGCGTTGTGAGTTATTCACGTTGCTAAAATGCTGTGAGTTATTCACGCTGCTAATGTGTTGTTTGTTATTCACGTTATTTTCTAACAATTTTAATGGGTTCTAGTAGATTATTACTTACGTTTATTTGTTATATTTGTGTTCAATTACAAAAACTATGACGTTGCTTTCATATTTAATTTCCCTAATGAACGCTTCTATTTAGTTAAAGAAATAATGTTGTTATAAATTTATAAATTTACCCCCTCTCCAAACACGTTTAATATAAGCATGGATTAAATACATACCACCAACAATATTCTACAAGCTTCCACGTTTTCACATGTTACAAGCAATGTATGATTTGAATGGAATGCGCATGCATGTATCTGATTATTTGTATGTTATGTGTTCAAACTTCTGTTTTATGTGCATGTGTCAATGGAGTAGAAATAATGTAGATTGCTAGTGTCAAAAAGATTTCAGAATTCTTCTTATTTTTATAAACTTGAATACATCGAAAAAATCGACAGGAACTTCAAATGTTTATAACTTTATGGATTTGTTATTTAAAAATAACTTTGCACAAACAAATATTGTTGCAAAAGTTGTGCGTAACCTAATCTGGCTCGACTTTTATTCTGGGATATTGTTCCTGTAACTCTACCTTGTATTTGGGGTATCGTAGAGTTCACCACCTCAACTCGAAACAGACTATTTTCGTTAAATTATATGTATACTAGTCTACAGATAGAACAGTATCATACTAGAACAATTAGTATGGATATAACCACTTGGCTTATTATGCTAGGCTCCCACTATCACGATTCGCGCTACGATTGGAATCGTAGTTTAAATCGTGGAGTAATCGTGCTGATCCTATCAGATCTTTTCATATGTTGATCGTATCGAAACGTTATCGAACGTATCTGCGCGTACCAGATCGCGGACTCAATAGGGACAATCTCTCCGCTAAATGCCTCTCAAGGGTTATTGACAGAACAGTGTGGGCTTTCGCGTGGGATATGTTTATTTAACATTTACTTCCAAAGATAAGCGATAGGCTATCTATATCACAACTAGTGGGATAAAGCGAGATAATATTTCGAATAAATAAATTACTTTGGTAGACGTCTGTCGCAGGGTTAATACTTATATTAATATTGCGCCAGCGAATTTTATTTTTGTGTGTTGAGGTTGTCCATAGTTTGTTCTTTGTCGGTAAGCTTGGGTGTGTCTTTGGCGTGTTTTTCATAACGACCCCGTGCCACGTCAAAGAGAAATTCGATGGGACAGTGTACGTGTGGAAATAATATTATTTAACACTGACTTCCGTGAATAAGTGATGATGGGGATATTTCTTCGAGATATATACCAGGGCCCTTATTCACGAAAACTTAAACTAAGATACAATCGAAATTTTAAGAAATACTGCAATTCGATTGGCTGACCAGTAAGATCAATTTGCATATATCCAATGAAGTTGCAGTATTTCTTAAAATTTCGGTTGTAACTTAGTTTAAGTTTTCGTGAAAGGGCCCTGCTTTGCGAGATATCCATAGTCGAGATAACGCGAGTCCATTGTACTCTAATAACTCACCGCGTGGTTAAACTTCAGTATTGCACCGGTGCCGCTGTAATGGTGGCAACAACCTTGAGTCTGTTGTATATATGTGAGAGAGACTAATATAACCAAGACTATAATACTGTCCCTTTGAAAACTCTTCTTCATTAGAAACCATAATTTGTTATTGTTGTTGATTAAGCCATGCTCCATTTTCACTTTCAATTTATTGTATCAGTATTTATCATTGAATGATTACATAAAATCCATAAACCAAAGAACAATTTGTCTTCTATGAATCGTAAAAGACACCACTCAAGGCGCCAAAGCTATGAAAAGCTGCTACATGGTCCGACGAGACGGATTTAATACGAATGACGAGAGTAATAACAGTCCCGCCAAAATTCACATTGATATGCCATAGCCATGAACCATGACGATGTAGAAAGTAGAGTCACAAAAAAGAAAGAAAGAAAAGGCCGCCAGTGACATTTATACTTATTATTTACAATGTCAAACGAAGAGGAAATTTTAAAACATAAGAGGCGTGTCCGTGGAGGCATAAAAGGCTCTGTGAAATCCACAAAAAGATGTTTACGGAAATTCGTTGGAAATGCCAAATTATCATTTGATGAACTCTTAACTGTTATTGTAGAGATCGAAACTATTCTTAATTGTAGACCACTATCATATGTGTCAACCGAAGACTGGGAAGAACCGTTAACCCCCTCACATTTACTTTACGGTCGTCGCATACTCGGATTACCAAGCGAAACAAAGGACTTAACTAAAGACTTTAATCCAGTGAAACCAAACGAAATGCGAAGAAGACTTAATCATTTATCTATGATATTAAGTCACTTTTGGTCAAGATGGAAGGGGGAATATCTTTTAGAACTTCGTAATTCTCATCGAAGTCATTCATCCAATACTTCCAATATCATTTCAGAAGGTGACATTGTAATCGTTAACGACGAAAATCAACCACGTAGCCTTTGGAAGCTTGGAAAGGTGGAGAAACTCGTTACAGGAGATGATGGACTTTCGCGCGGTGCCATAGTCAAAGTCAGTACTAATGGAAAATCATTTAATCTACGCCGTCCAATCCAGTTGTTGTATCCATTGGAAGTCAGTCATAAGACAGAAACCGACAACCCAGTGTTCATCGATATAGTTTCACAAGAAGCCAAAACTATTGAAACAGAAACCATACGTCCACGTCGTAAGGCAGCCGTTTCGGCAGATATCAAACGTAAAGGATGGATAACTCAATTAACCCAGGATAACGAAGATATTTCATAATCCATTTTAATCATTATATTTGTGTTACAATTTATAGGACTCCAATAATCCTTTACAAGAGTGCTTATCCGTTTATGTTAATGTTCCATGTTTATTATCTGTGTATTATTATACTGTGTTCTATTTCCCATTGTGCCAGGACTCAATTACCAAAGACTCGTATTGTGATAACCCTTTTTTAAATTTTCATTTATCAGGGCCATCAGAGGGGAGTGTGAGAGAGACTAATATAACCAAGACTATAATACTGTCCCTTTGAAAACTCTTCTTCATTAGAAACCATAATTTGTTATTGTTGTTGATTAAGCCATGCTCCATTTTCACTTTCAATTTATTGTATCAGTATTTATCATTGAATGATTACATAAAATCCATAAACCAAAGAACAATTTGTCTTCTATGAATCGTAAAAGACACCACTCAAGGCGCCAAAGCTATGAAAAGCTGCTACAATATATATGTATATATAGAGAGAGTTAAATATGTGATATTTGATACGAGAGCCTGGTGAATAACAACATACTATCTCTCGACTAACACTTGTTTTATACAGGTAGGCAGAAATACGTTTAGTTTATCAATATTACGACAACTAGGCAAGATCAATTGAAATTTATCACACGTGGAAAAAATGAAATGGGATTTAACTTGGTGGGCTAATGAAGACTGGCTGAACAAAATTTCAGTTGTTAACAGAAATTAATGGACGGATTTCGATATCTTTTCGATGAATTAGCGGTGAATTCGCCTTTGAACCCGAGCTGAAAGTTGTAATTTTAAAACCCAAATAGGACAAAATTAATCCCAAGGGGGAGTCCCGGAAAACTAATAATCTAATTGGGGTTAGCTTAAAATGACCGGATGTCGTCACGGCTGGTCGACTTCGGTTAGTTCCTTTAGAAACGGTCTGTGTTCAGCGGACATCGTCTGATCGGAGGTCGTTTCTAAAGGAACTAGGCTGCATGAAATTTATGATAGTTACGAACGTGACTTTAAAGTAGCTAAGTCTCTAACTCAATATCATCCAAAATCTTCAACACTGAAAACACAAATTATTTGTCAATTTAAATCAACATTGATGGTGTGATCTTACCTGAAAAAGATGGGCTTCTGATATCCAATATTTACGACAAAATAAACATTTTACTATTGCCTTTGGTACACGAATCGTGTACCATAATGCGTTTCAGCCCCAGTTCTAGCAGAGACTCGAGGAACGAGGCTAGACATATTGCAACAAACCAAACGGCGTATGTAGACTGGAATAACCAGGCGCTAGAAATTTGCATTCGATTGAGACTGCTGGCTTATTTCGCGGAACATAACTGATTTGAAATTAGAGTAAAAACGGAAACCATTGAATGTATATCAGTTTATATACATTCATATTACAGTATTATATGAGTTGCGACCCACTTGTGTTAATTTCTAGGTCCCAAATGTTAGCGATTTAGCTCCTTTAAATATTACAGCATTGGAATATAGTTGTCTGAAATCTATCAGTTCAGGTGCCAATATATTTTACACGTACAGGTGCCAACACGTGATTTTATATCTCCAAACGAAATTGTGATCTTTTCCCATACATCTATACAGTGATCAAATCTTTCACGGATTAGATATTTCCTTCAAATATATATCAACCAAAAGATCACAAAGCAACTTAAAGGCTCAATACCACTCTTGTTGTAACTGAATAATATGTCCCAATCTTTATTCTGGTCAACAAATTGTACTATTTTAGAATATTTCAATTAATTGATGATAAAAATTTCATCTTAAAACACCTTATTTAAAAATTTTGAAAAATTCAACATAATGGTTTGAAACGTCTAACGTAAACCTTTTCAAATGAAACTTCGATTTAAAGATATTTTCGAACCCTCTGGACAAGTAAAATAGGATGTAATGGATAATTTACACAACAGGTAGGACACTTAAACTTCTAGTACTTAGAGATATTATTTATTTTCTGGAGCTTTCAAGCCAGCAAGAGTGTTATTGTCCCTTTAAGTAGGCTAGTGAATTGTATATAAAAAAAAAACACCACAAGCAACTATACAGTTTCAAGTGAATGTCAATAAGTTTCCCAATTCTATCGACAGAACTTCAGAGGAATTTCGCTTTTGATGGAATGTTGCCTGAAAGGTGTTACAAATTCTTTTCTGCTATTTTGACATTTGCTAGAGAATATCAAAGCTGTTAGTGATAAAATAAAAATAATATTCAAAATGATAAGGGGTGGGGGGAGGATAGCCGAATGGTTAGCGTGTGTGCGCTGTATCATAAGGTCTGTCATTGAGTCAACTGGCGTGGTTTCTATTCCCTGGTTGTACGTGACAAGGAGTAGGGTCACTTGTCCAACCTCGTGGGTTATGTCCCGGTCCTCCGGTTTCCTCCCACTGCTAAAGACCCCTACGTGCATGCGAATTATTGAGATAAAATTGAACCATATGTTAGTCCCAAAATGGCCTAGTTTGTGTTGAGTGGATGTTAAACCCCATTTCTCTCTCTCTCTCTCTCTCTCTCTCTCTCCATGTACCAATATTGATATAATTATGATGTGGAAACACAGAAAATAACAAATTATTCCATGAGAGGATTTTAAGTTATTGTGAAAGGACTAAAAGTAATTATTGTATTTTTTTAGCACCAACAAGTATTTTAATCAAATTACTCCATTTAGTTAGGAAAGTTATTTTTTTTTAGTACCAACAAGTATTTTATTTCTATTTATATGACTTCTATTTTTTTTAGCACCAAAAAGTATTTTAATTCTATGTATAAGACTTATATTTTTCTGAATGTTTAAATATATATTTTATTTCTAAGTACATTTATATGTTTTAAATGTATCTGAATGGTTAAATGTTTATATTTTCAGAGCACCAAGGGACACTCTGTGCTGAGAAGACACAATTATGGTAGTGGTGCTGGAAGTCCCACTGCAGGTAGACGTTCCTATGGCTATGGTTTAGATTATTCCAGTGTCTCTCCTGTAAGATCCCGCTACTGTAAGTTTAATACATTGTTCAGACGTTAATATCGAAAACCTAGGTGTATATGGACCAGGTGTATATGGGCATGGTGTATATGGACCAGGTGTATATGGGCGTGGTGTATATGGACCTGGTGTATATGGGCATGGTGTATATGGACCTGGTGTATATGGGCCTGCTGTATATGGACCAGCTGTATATGGGCCTGGTGTACAGTGTATATCAAAAACCAAGGTGTATATGGGCCTGCTGTATATAAACCTGGTGTATATAGAAGTCAAACTTCTAGATGTTATATATATTTGAAATCAACAAAACATACTGAAGCCATCATTTTAACGCCGCCCCGGTCAGATTGCACGGGACAAAAGCAGCCTTTGAGAAAACAGGTAGAGAGCTGGGTTTTTAAAACTGGTTCAGATGATAAAGTTACAATGGTTGAATGATCACCAGTTTAAGTAATGCATCTGAACGGGGCTATAAATTGTCACAAGTGTGGATACACAATTTATTGCTATACAATGTCTTGATTATGGATACACAATCACTCAATTTATTGCTATGTAATGTTTCGATGAGGATGCTCTCGACATTATCAAGCAAATGATACAAATAAATATGCCTGGATGGAGCCTAAAAGTAGGACGTTAAACCCCATTTCATTTGTTGTATTTGTTTGGTTTTTTTAGATTCGGGAGAGTCGGATTATTTAGATAGTCAGGTACAACGTGCCACATCCATTGGATCAGATGCCTTATACGAAACTCTCGATACTGCCAACGTGTCTCGTAACCGTGATTACGACTTGCTTCAGTCCACAAATTCGGCCATAGTAAGTACATTAATTTATCTTGCTTTACGATTTTATGAACTGGAATCTTTACTCAACATAGGGTGGTGTTTATGATGGATGGACCGGTTCTGTTCAAGGGCCTTGTTCCTGAAAATATGGTTGTGGCCTGTACCAGATTTAGGACAAATAAGATGCTGTGCTAGTCAAGTTGTGAGACCTGGCATGCCTACACAGACAGTCTGGCATACCTGCTCAGACAATTTCAGAGTAGTTAAAATTTTACCTGATTAATCAGTATTTTCAACAAGTTTTAGGCAAATATTTGAATTTTTCAAAAGGAAGATGGGTTCCCACTGCCAACGAGCCATGGCCTAAGCACACCTAAGCACGCCTAAGCACAATGGTGATTTTGGCACTGGTTAGAGTATTTTCACTGGTTGAGTATTTATGCTCCTAGCCAATAAAAGGGTTGTATCTTTAAAATATTTGAGCACAATTTTTCTTGAATCGGGCTCAACTTTTCTGACACATAGGGCTTCACTGTGTTTCCATTTAAAATCTCTATTAAATTCGGTTGTCGCTATTTTCAGGAAATAGTACTGGTCATCTGTCATATTTAAAATCTATGTGGAGTAACCATTCCTTTAACATGTTAAATGAAAACATGGAGAGACACTATTTGTATTGATATTTTCAAATTGACGTATTCTGGGCCTTATTAGCTGGCGATTCTGGGCCTTATTAACTGGCGATTCTTAAAACAAATCACAATGACCAAGGCCTGAATAAGCCCAGAAGATCTATTTTTAATGATAAGAATATATCTGAATGATATACGTTTTCATTGGCTGAAACTAAAATTCCCGTGAAATATTATAGCTGTCAGACATTGAAAACGCTAAATACTTCAGCTATATTTTTGATTTAGGCCTCCAGGGCTGTAAAAATTTTGTTGCCCATTGTAGTCATGCATGGCACCATTTCAAATTACAATTAAGGTTTTTAATCAAAATCCTTAGTTCAACTTTCCAGCCCTTCCTTTTCATTCTCATCCATTCTTAAATTTTGGGTCATTTTGTTTAAATATGAAATGGAAATGAAATGGGGTTTAACATCCTGCTATTGGGCTCCTAGTGATGTCAATGTGCATAAAAGACTTTAAATTTGAGATTCTAAATATTTATTCCAAATTTTTCTTTCCATTTTGATGGATATCTGAACACATTGATAAATTTAACATGCATATAGAATGTCTCTGTTTATGGTTTCTGCACAATACACTCTGAAATCTTACGTTCACCGGATTCCTTTGGTTAAAAAGAGACTGGATGATCGTAATCCTTTTATCACCATTGTCCAGTCTCTAGAAGCTGGTGGGCACAGGATTTTAAAATGTATTGTTCACTAACCTCCTGTTTGATGATAAATGAATTTAGACTTTATAATATTCTAGTTGCTTGTCAAAGGGAATAGGTCAAACAATCAAAACAAAATCCATCAACTGAAAAATCTATAAATTTGGATTTATTCAATTGATTTGGTTATAAATTAAGACATTTGACTTTTTGATTTATTTTTGATGACAGGTTTATGATATTAAGACCTCAGCCCTTATTCGTAAAAAGCTCAAACTAAAATTTAAGAATTGAGTCTTTTCATTGGCCAAGTTTTAAAATTTGTACTAGAATTTGAAATTTCGACCAATAAAATGACTGCATTCTTTAAATATTTAACTTGAGTTTTCATGAATAAGATCCATTGGCCTTTATTCTATTAAAATCAGTTCTAACTTAACATCATGTTATTAAGAATGGCCGCTCACTATGGTAACCAAATGTAAGTACACTAACCTTATTCACAAAAACTTAAAATGAAATATTATAAGTATTCAGACTTTTGATTGGCTGAGATTTAAAATACCAACCAATGAAAGAGTCTGGGGCTTGTATTATTTTAGTCTAAAGTTTTTATGAATTAGGTTTCTTAATTTAACTTAAAACTGATTTTAATGTATCAAAAGTTTTGATGAATAAGGGAGGCGTTTAGAGTAGGTCAACAGGTGAATGGCTGTTAAACGAGTATTAAGGTATATATGGAGGCCTGGACAACCACAGCTACAGGACAACGTTTGTTTAGGAGATAGCTAATGTTTTGTTTATATAATTATAAGTTTAAAAGGCAACTGCCCCCATCGTGGGATATTTACGAAAAAATCTCTATTTTTTTTTTTCCGTTCCCCAAATAAATGAGAAGTGTCACCAGGTGTTCTAGAAAGAATAAGCATACCCTGCCTCATGTATGATGCCAATCATTACTCATAGCTAAACATATGAGAAGTGATATGAGGTGTTCTGGAAAGATTAAGCATATCAATCCCACCCTAAAGGACACCATTGGCCATTTCATTCTTTCGGATTATGAACTGTCTTTTAGAATTAATCATATTCCACTGTCCCCATCAGATACCTAAATTGATTAAACTCACGGCACGATCTCTTTGATTTCATTGTTGAAATTGTTTCATGATTTGAGTGAGATTATCTGGTTTGACACCTGCAAAGCATTCTACATGCCTTGGAATAAGAAAGAAATTAACTTCACTTTATCTCAAATTTAAAAAAAAAATCAAATCACCACTGAATATTTCAGCTGAGATCAAAGAGGCTTAGTGTCCTGAAACCAACTGTGAAACAGTCTTGGGGCCTCGTTACACGAAAGTCATGTAAGCAGTATGCAAACTGAGTATTGTTTTGCGTAACTTTACAAGTGCTTCATGTAACGTAGCCCCAGCACCTGTTGGACCTAACATCTGGCCCGAATTAACCGCATGGTCCTGTATAATAACATAAACTTGATAATTCATATCACACGAAAAAATATCATTTTCATCAGAATTTCTTATATTTTGGGAAATTAATCAAAATTTGATCCATCGTTTTTAAAGTTTAAAGAATATGCACCACTTTTGGAATGATCTTAAAGATACATTATGGGAGATTTGATAAAGAGCTGGCAGTTCACATTAATATAATAGTTTAAAACTAGATAATGTAAAGGGAATTTGCTGAAATTTTCATTTAAATTGGTCCACTCTGAACCGAGAATTTAGCAATTGAATTTTAGGCCTAGCCTCGATCATCATTACTAAAGTCGGTAGGTAAAAAACATAGTCTTGATTATCCAATTTGATTTAATCATGAATGAGCGTTGAGCAGCAGATTGGATTATAATCCAGTAAATATTGAGGCTAGCAATGACATCGACAGTTGATTATGCTCTGGATAAGCTAATTAATGTCTAATTAATAATTTAGATAACATTTCAGGCCTAAAGAAAGACCTGCAATTGGCAGATTTAGCTCTTGCATAATGTATGTTTAAGACTCCCAAGTTATCATTTTCAAAGTTTCAAAAGAAAAGCTTCCGTGATGATCATTCATTTCGATGGTGTGAACAAATTTTTGAAAAATCCTAATTGATCATTCCATTCATATCTGGTTTGAATTGTGTCTAGATGATCGTTTAATAAATTTGAAAACAAAAGTAGATTAGAATAGAATTAGCAGTAAATGAAAATTAATATTTGAAAATTTTTAAATTGCTTGTGTAATTCTGCAGTGAAAATGAAAACTAACTCTATCTATCTATGACTCAATATGAATTGATTTTAATAATTTTAAATGTGGTAGAATTTTCAGAGTTTCTGTTAAACATACAGAATCATTGTAGAGTTTAGAATCAGGTCTAAAATCTCTTCTTTTCTTCCAACGGAAACTTTATTTCAAACCATTCCTATAGGTCGCATGTTAGTTAAAGAATACAAATATTAAAGTGTTTCTGGAAAAAGGGATATTTCTATGGAAATAACCCTGATCGTTAGGCCTTATTATAACATGTTTGGGAGTCATATTAGTCATCCATGCCATGAAGGGTGTTGTCAAGGAATTCTGTTCCATCCGTATATCCCGGACCTGTCCTACATGAGTTGGCAACAGTCCGACTGCAGATATGTCAAATTGGACATTTTCATGGCTATTGGGTGGAGGTCAGGCCAGTTGAGAAGGAGCTATGTGGAGAATTGTTCTATGGAGAATTCTATGTTAGAGTTATCTACCCATAAGCCAGACCTCTTTCCGTAACCTGTTTGGTGTCTAACTAGACATGTGGTTTTCTAATCTCCGCCAGTGAAACTAAAAATAGACTCTCCCAAACCAAAAATATGGAAGACTGACTGAATATTATCCAATGTTTATTATAGAAATCTGAGAATATAGAAATTGTTTGAAATTCAGTTTCCCCTTTTGATATCGGTGATGCAGATCTCGTGGCAACCTTCAAGTTACATGGAAGTACAAATATTTAAAAAACAAATAATCAAAATTTATGTTTGGTGATAAGAGTGAGACGGTAATGCTCAAAGTAGGAGAGAGAAATGAAATGAAATGAAATGGGGTTTAACGTCCTACTGTTCTGCCCCTAAACTGGGCTAATGAAGACGGGCATACGCCATACAGTGTGCTATGAGGGAAATTTTGCCCGGACGGCGGCACTACGGCCTACTCTTATATCGAATTCCAACTGCCAAGGGATCTTTTACGTGCACGCCAATGTGTACATGGAACCTCGGTTTTTCGCCCCATCCGAACAACTAGACAGCTTTTCTTGTCAGTCCCTCCGTCCTGCATCACTGACAAGGGAGAACCACGCCGGAAAATCTGGATGAACTTTCTCGGCCAATGCAGGGATCAGGAGAGAGAAAAATGGGGTTTAATGTCCACTTGACTCAAAACTAGATCATTTCGGGACTAACATATGGTTCAATTTTATTTCAATAATTAGCAGTGGGATAAAACCAGACAGGCGACCCTACTCCTTGTCACGCACAAACAAGGAATCGCTTGCAGTGGGAGGAAACCGGAGAACCCAGAGATAATACCCTCAGGGATGAACAAGCAACTCTAATCCTTGTCATGTACAAGCGGGGAATGTAGAAACCACGCCACTTGACTCAATGACAGACCTTATGATCTAATTGCTAGATCGACCTACCCCACTCATATGGATGTATAAAGTCTGTTTCACAAACTCTGTGCCTTAGCTAATCGAAGCATAGTAGATCACAGATCGCAGATGTGAACATACTCTGCGATTATTTTCGTGCTGGCTACGATAATACAACATAGCTTTTCATTCTGGAAGGTAATGATCAACTCTTCCATCAGTAGAGAGCAACTATTCCAGATTGTTCCTACACATAGTGATTAGCTATGATATGCCATGATTGTCTATAGCACACTATGGAGAAAATCGCAGCCTGTAAGCCTTGGTCAGTATTACGTTGTATCAACGACCATTTCACTATCCCATTGCTGGCATGAAATGCAACCATGGACTTTTATTTTAAAAGTGAATGATATCAATATTATTTGTTGTATTTCAAAACTGATATGTTTTTGCCAGCTCAAATGTTCATTTTAATTGTATATATTCATAGAAATTTATAAAAAAAAAAATCTTGTTTTCTTCCTTCCTTATCGACTATTTATTAAAACACTGATATTGACTGCTAGATAAATTCTTGTATCATATCAAAACGTGGCCCCGCCTTATGGTCATGTGACAAGTAAAAAGTTCATCAGAGTTACCTTTCTTACATTGCTATATTCAGAAACTGTGAAATTATTAATCATTTGCATCAATCTATGTGTTGTTTGTTAACCATGTGTCTTGATCCTTGCAGTGGTCTGTATCCATATCTTTATCAATTATATGTTTATGTTCTTTAGTTAAGATTAAAGAATTAAGGTTGTATATTATTTAAATGTTTTTGGTTATGTGATCAAAAATAACAAATTAATGTTGTCTGAGGAAGGTCGTTGAAAAAATTGAGAAATATCTACATATTTGGAACTTGGAAGGAATCGGATTTTTTTAGATCGCTCTTCGGGGAAAAAAAAAATGATATGTAATATCATGAATTTTTTTCTATTTTTTACAACATTGACCTTCTGGCAACCTTGACCTTCAGACGACCTTGACCAGATATATTTTTGGTCACATGATCTGATATTATAAAGGGTTAGGAGGTTAAATGCGCACATCATTGTAAAACTACTTCTACCTTCCACCTACACCAAGATAAAGATTTTTTTAAAAAATCTCAAAAAAAAAAAAAAAAAAAAATCCTGTAGAATTTAGAAACCTTTCCTTTTGGTTTTCTTCCCACTTCGACAACCCGTTAGTCTTCTTCTTCTTCTTCTTCTCTCTCTATCTTTCATTCTCTTATGATTTTTGATTTTCCTAATTTTTTTAAAAAACATAAATTTCATGAGAAACTCTAACAAAGTGTTGCCTTGATGTTATTCAAGCAGCCCCCGTCACCGTTTTCTGCTGTAAAGGCCAGATTGAATCGGATATCATCAAACCTCCCACACAGACGTTTTACATCCGATATCTCGTCACGACCGTCTCTCACATCGCACACACGATCCGACATAAGTCCAATCCGGGATATCGATTATTCTGACACAACTAGTTTGGTAGCCAGCCCTAGTCCTCGACCATCACATTTCACTTCAAGACCACACTCCACATTTCGTCCAAGCGTAGCTCCCGAAAACTCGACGTCGTCATATAGCAGTTTTAAAGATCTAGACACAACGGACCTTGTCGCCAGTCCGCCACCACAGCAAGGAATTCTGCCACAAAGACTTCTATCGTTAGGTCGACGAGCTGGTCTCTCGACACCCATCACATCCACTAGTTCATGGCGCGATTACAATCTACCAGTTCCCACAAACCTCTCCACATGTCCGATATTTGACGACAGTTATCCTATGATTGAAGATGATCCCGAAGAGAGATCCTCGCGCTTGATTCATGGATATTTATCGCCGTCATTGGTCACAAAGTTTGGATCACCAGGCATTTCTCCTATTGGAAGTGGAACGCAGACGCCCAGTTTTATACCAAATTATGCCAGTCGTTCAAAATATGCAGATCTGCCATCCCTGGCCAGAAGTTACGCCACATCCATGAATTCTGATTTTTCACCAGAATTAGATTACGCAGAGCAACAGAAGCATAAAATCTTGGGGACCAAAAGACACACAGGAAACTATTATGATCGTCTTCAGAGAAGACGAACCGGAAGGAAAGAAAGGTCCAAATATTGGCCGTATTACGATGTGGAATCAATCGCAGGAAGTGATGTCGGCGAAGTTCTTAGCGATGATGAATACGGCGCTTCAGGTTACACAGCTCCGACATACGTACCCTCTTACGAGTACGAGGACGAAGACGATGACTACGTTCCATTTAAGCCACGATACGACAGATTGACCACGCCTGGTTTATTAGAAATGTCTCCGTATAACGAAAGTGCCGTCAAACCTGATATTTCCCATTTGTCCTCCTCTTATTTACTTCCGAAATCCACATCAGCGGTGTCGCGTCTCAACGAGAATGACTCAATGGTGTCTGCTCTTGTAGCAAAATCTGTGGCGAAAGCAAAAGAACATCTAAAAGACGTGAATTGGGGGAAATACGATAACGCTAGTTTGGTTTTAAGTGTGGAAGGGGATATGGTTCACCCATCCAACGGAGAAAGATATGGATTTAGATATTACCCACAACCCATTTCAGTTCGCGGTGGAAGTATCGATGAAAGAATTATGGGTGTACCGCCATCAAATCTAACATCAGGTGACAGTGTGTTTTTTAACTATGTTAGCAAAATGCGAGATTTCCGCGGTGGAATGCGAGATCGTGTAAGTGATACTTTGGACACTCCCAGTTTTTGTTCTCGATATGACTCTTTGTCGAAAAGTATTCTGGCGCGTTTACCACCGCTATCGCCCGGATATCCGTCACATATACCCCAAACTAGTTTTAAAAAACGTCTGGAGGGAGGTTTGACCCACCAACTGGATGTTTATCCCCTGCCTCTGAGTGAAAAAGCTTTTCCCTCACAACTCGAACTCACTACTAAACCTAAGACAAAAGACAGCAAGCATGATGAATTCTCACGCGAAGGCCCAGTCACAGTTCTTGATAGAATCTTAATAAAGGTAAATGTATTTGGTTCAAAAGTAATCTGATCCATTTCACAGCCCCGACCCCGACCCCCCCGCACGTTCGCTCGCATTTATAATTTTAGTCAAACCCTTTTTCTGCTTCACTACCCTGTAGTTGGCTACGCACACTTACTTCTCCTTCACAGTTACGCAGGGGTGTGTTACATATCTATCGATATATATTTATATATATATAAAGTCTTTTCTAACAAGCCGCTTTTACTAGATGAATGTTAGCCTGTAGTGCGCAAGCAACGCGGTGTAGTGTTTCTCTTCCTTATATGGTCATGGATGAATGGACTAACTTCTGCTAATGCAACACAAAAAAAAAGCCCTAGGCACTGTTAACTCTGTTTTAAACTTCTAATGACTTCTAACCCTTCACGGCCATTAAAATGGCTGAAAAAAAAAACGACGGGTGGTTGCCTGAATAATATATATATATTAGTATATGATCATCGCATATATTTATATATATATATATATTTTAAAAAGGTTAAGGGAACATGAAGGAACACTCTATACAACATATGTTTCTTTTTTTTTCTTTTTTTTTAGAATTTATTTTATTTGTATGGAAATATTTGATATTTTTTGATTTTATGATTATAAAAATACTATATCTCATCTTTTCTACTATTAAACACCTGTAGTCATTAATGTGTGCATTACCTTCAAAGTTTCCTTTGTAGATTTCATGATCTTTGACCCTATCCTTGACCTGACCTTGACCTCCCTCATACAGGTTAACTCCGAGACCCATGCATCACCTCGAGCAGCCGTGGCCTCACTACGTGCCAGAAACCGCCCACAGGCCCAGCCAGCATCAGCCAGAATAGTAAACATCCAACCCAGATCTTACTATCAACAGGTAGCATTTGTCAGATCTTCTTCTGCCCCGCCATTGGGGCGACCAGTTGTAGTTTACACAGCGGGGTCGAGGCAATCATCAGTACCGAGATCATCATCTCCATACGTCGAAAGAGCAAGATCACCAAGCATCGACGTCTATGAACGCTCACAGAGTGTCGATAGAGAATATTATTCACCATACGATTATTTATTGCGGCAACCAACAGCTGCCCGAGTAATCAGAGAGGCTAGAGAAAGAACAAGGCGCCCGTATTCTGGGCCAGACCAACGTTATTTAGTTGCCAGATACGATCGGTCAATCCGTAAAGCTCAACGCGCATTATCTCCCTTAAGATACGACTATGAGTCCGATTATATTACACCAACCAGAGTTGGCCTTTTCCACTATTTGTCGCCTACCACCTCACGTCAAGACGTCGGACAGTCCAACTATTATACTAGCTCACTAACAGCCCGTAGGCCATATCGACGATTCCGACGATCCTTGCCTTTTAATCGCAATGCACAGCCTGTTGAATTGCCATACTATGAACTAATGTATGCTCCTCGCAACTTGTATCAGAATGAAGTTTATCGGGTAGTTGAACCATTTGAGAGACCCAGGTTTTTAAAAAGAAAGCCAAGATCCCTCTATGTAAGCAGAATTGTGTCATAATCGTTCTTTTCACTAAATTTGAGCTGCTTTGAGCATTTGATTTCAGTGTTTAATTTTTTTTTTTTTTTTTTTTTTTTAAACTGACAATATGATACGTGATGCTAAAATTAAAATCCATCCTCTAACTTTGATATCATTACGCCAATTGCCTTTTCACTCATGCTTTAACCATACCTCATAAAATAAAGCACCATACTTGTCAAGATTTCTAAAATTAATACATTTATTTCTGTTTATTTTTTTTTTTTTAGCTTACTAACAAAACCCATGAAATTAAACAAATAAATATTCCTTTTTATTAATAATATTCCCCATTTGAAATAATTAGTATTCAATTCCAATTTTTTTTTTTTTTTATAATTGCTTTAAATTCCTTCATATCTTGCTACAATTCTTTTTTCTTTAGTTCAAATTTTTTTCATATTTTATTTTTAATTTTTTTTGAAAAATCAGAATTTTACCTCTTGACATGTATGGAAGAATTTCATCGTTTAGGCTTTCAATGTTTATCAACCAATCAAAAGCTTCGATTGTTGCGATTCCGTTGTTGTTTCCTTCATGTTCTGACAGTGCCTGGGACTGTATTTGGTTTTTTTTTTTTCAATTAATTTAAATGCTTTTTATCAAAAGAAAAGTTTACATTAGCTTTTTATTATTTGAAAGTCTTTGTTGTAATCTAGCACATTATTATGAATGGCTGTACACGGTCTTGTCTGTTTATTCACCAAGCATGTAATTTCATTATGAAGCAGAATCTTTAACGATTGATTTGGCTGATGCAAAAAGAAGAGAAAATATCCCTTGCCTAGCTAGCATGCCAGAAAAATGGCCGACCAAATTCGTGATGGGAAATACTTATATATATCTATATATATATTCTCTGCATGCAGAAATGATAGTAAAAGGCATGAATAACACTTATTTTAACTTCTGACTGGTTGTGGTAGGCGATAAATTATCCCCGTCAAATTTTTCACCCGTAATCGCTGGAAACATTCGTTATTCAAACTGCACTGCTGTTTTATAATATTTCACAAAATCCTTTTTTGGTTGGCCGCCTGCCTCACCCGCTGCAAGCATCCATTATTTTGTCCCATACTAATGTGGTTTTCGTTTTAATTTTGGCATTTTTTTTTTTATGACGAGCTTGACATTAAAGTTACTTCATTTGATCTCACAAAAAAAAAATGGTTGAAATAAACAAAGATTCAAACAAGTAAATATTCAATGAATTAAAAAATAAATAACAATATTAAATAGATTTATTAATTAATATCTCTAATCTGTGTAGTACGTCATCGTTAAATTTTAATTTTAACCTAAATTAAATTATCAAGAGATATCCTAATTAAATTAAACTTTAAATGCTTTCCGGGTGAGGCTAATGTGAATATTCATTTTATTGATCGTCATTTATGCTTTCAATACAGGCTGCTATAGTTGCCAGCAAACTCGAAGACGAACCGGGCACTAGACGTAGGAGAACGCCCAGATCGCAATATGCTGCCAACAAGTATCGGGCAACCCATAAAGTAGGAGAGGTAACCTCGAGCTTATGTTTGTGTCGGCTCCGTGCAAAACTCATTTTTAAACTAACACTTCTCTTATCCAATGGCTGATTAACTACTTTCTTATTTCACTAAGAGAGATGTTTTGAGCATTTTGATTGGATGAGAGAAACAATGGCTATGAGCTGAGATTTGTCTGTTGCCAGATTATTTTTCAATCATTTTAAACAATCACATCATTGTTAATTAATTAATTAATTCATACATTATTTAAACTAACAATTGTTTTTTTAGCTTCTTTTTTAAAAAAAAATGTTAAATTGCTTTAGTTTCATTTATTTAAAATATTATTGTTAGGGAAATGAATTGTAAGTATGACATATTGCTTAATGCACGTTTTTAAATATCTAAATGTATTATATATAAATCATCTATTGTTTAGAAATATCATCTGTTTGTTTTGTTATCCAGAAGTTGTTTCCAGTAAGTACGCCAATTCGCTCTAATTTTTCTAAGCTTTTGAAATTCAAATGGAGCAAAAAGGTTGTTATTCTTTTTTAAAAAAAGCTTGTCATGGAGTAAACTAGCCAGATAAATTTTACTATGTTCCGTTTTTGTTTTGTTCTGCTCCAGAATTGTGCTCCAATAAGAGTCTGAGGACTGTCATTCTAGAGCAACCAGTGTTGTTCACATTTGAATTAGAAGCCTTGAGCACATGATGACAGCTGTTACTCTGGAGCAACTGCCCTTGAAGTGTTGTTCACAATTAAAATAAGTGCCTTGAGCACATACTAACAGCCGTCACTTTAGATCAACCATCCTTGTAGTGTTGTTCACATGATGACAACTATCACTCTAGATCAACCATCTTCGTATTGTTTACATATTAAACATAAACTTATTGGAAATGATTACTGGAATGTTAAGTTATTGTTGGAAATGTTATATTTTTACTATTTTGTTTGTTTTATTCAGGATTTTGATTCCAGCTATTAATATTTTCATCCACATATTACGAACAGAATGTTACATTAATAAATGTTTCATAAATATTTTTGACATTTTGTCACATTTTGATCTGAAAAACAGGTGGAAATTTAACGTTATTTGTCTCAATTTTTAGATTCATAAAAACAAATTACAATATATGTATATCTTGACTGAAGGAAAATATTTGGCGACAGACAATTCCAGGCTCTCAGACATTCAAACATACTACGCGATTTGTTCGGCTATGTAAGAATTCGATACATCCCGCTATCCGTTTTTGTGTTTCAGAATCCACTTTATTACAGTAACCAGACCGCATCAACTGCCAGTTTGACATCATCTGGCCCAAAATCGGTATGTATACCAAAAACCACACTCGCAAAACCAATTCTCATCAATTGTTGGTCATTCTTAATAGGATGTTTTAATGCGACTCCCTTTTTGTAGTCTGTAAAGTCAATGTACCTTAATCGACGGTCCTTTTTAAAGCCAAGATATTTATTAAAAGATAAGATTCTTAATCTGTTTCATAGTCTGTTAAGTCGATGTACCTTAATCGATGGTCAATCTTAGTCTCTGATCAACATTTAAGAGATTCTGAATCTGTCGCGAACTACAATATTTGAAAGTTAAATTTCTTAAATGAAATGGGGTTTAAAGGAATGTCCGTCCGAAAAGGGTTCGGTTTTGAGATAAATTGAAATTTGCAGACGATAAAAGGATATAAACAAGTCGACGCAACTTAAAAAGTATTGAGAAAAATCTTTCGATGTACCATAATTTTTACTCAATTAAATTTTTTTAGCCTGTAATAAGCACTGAAAAATTAGATTTGTTTAAAAAAACTCAGTTTGAATCATGAACTTGTTGGTAAATGTAGCGGAGTTGTTTGATTAATCATGGGTCACCGATTGGTCGATACAGTTCAATTGGTAGGTCACCTATTGGTTGATACAGCTCAATCTGTCGGCCGCTGATTGGTCTGTACAGCTCAATCCATGGGACGCCGATTGGTCGATACAGCTCAATCCGTGAGCCATATTTTGGTCAATTTGAGAATAAGTTTTATGTTAAATGAATTAAATGAAGAATGAGTCAGACATTAAGGCCATCCATTAAGAATGATGTTACAATGTGAGACAGGGATAAGTCTCTTCACACGTATAATAATATTCCAACGTTTGGTTTGCTGTGATATTTCATCCCCGTATGAATTCAAATCAACAGTCATTCCAAGTTGTTTGCTAAATTTTTCACAAGTACTTATAAAATTATATATTTATTTTTCTCTAAACAATCATATTTGTATGTATATTACACAAATTGCACAAAGTTTTAGAGCAAATGAAAAAAGTTTGGTTTTTTGAAAAAAAAAAAAAAAATTTACATTATGTACAAAAAAAATGCAAAAATTAACAAACCATCCACCATTTTAAATAGATTGCTGTATTGATTATCAACCCTAGAGTAGTTTTTCCTTCCCTCCCTAAAAATGGTAGATACTCCAGAAAAATGTGTGCATCAGTAACGGTGGGAGGACCTGGAGAAAACCCATGAGGGTTGTCATGTACAACCGGGGAATCAAAACCACGACAGTTGACTCAATGACAGACCTTATGATGCAGCGTGCACGTGCTAACCATTCGGCAATCTAACCCCACCGATTTAATAGATTTTGCTAGTGTAGTAGATTATGTAGAAGATTTACAGATTTTTCGGATTTACAACGATGCTTGGAAGATGTTCTTTATTTCAACCATAAAGATACTGATTTGACAAATTCAAACAAAAATTGTGCCTCGGTAGTTGGAACAATGTTTCGCTTAATTTAGTTCTTGATTTGAAAAATGACGTCTTGATGAATGACAATCTATTTAATCGACTCGATAAGTTCTTCGAATTGGACTCCATCGATTTCGTAAGAAAATGTCTCTTACTGGTGAGACATCGCCCCACAAAACCCACGCCTCATCCAACACTAACCTACAGTTTACCCAGAATTAACACCACCTTCAAAATAAATATATTTTATAGCAAAAAACAACGGACAGGAAAGCTGTTCGTGATATGGACGGCAATTTCACGAAACCGAGAAACATCCTCTCTTGGCAGGTATGTATTCATCATCTGACTAACACAATCCAGTCTACACCACCAGTTTAATTACTCTGTTATCCAGTCCCTTAGCATGCTACATGTTTTCTTGTTCATATTTAGTTCGTTTCAAAGTTTTCATTTTTTATATTTTATTACATTTCGTAAAAATTGCTCTAAAGCTTAATGTCAGTTGTTCAGAAATGTTGCTTTCTTTTGTTTTTGCTAGTTTGCGATTTCGATGTTGAACTGAACAGTTAAAGAAATATGTATATAGCACTGCTGCCTTTGCTGAATTCCCTTTTCTTTATCAGGATAAAAAAAACCCCACTAATCTTTATCTAAAAAAAAAAAAAATTAAATAAACCAAATTTTAATTACATGTTAAATGTTTAAGGTTAAATTTGTGTAAATTAATTCATTTCTTTTTTCTTCAACTGTTCAGAAAATATTTCAAAATTTCTTGCGCTTTAATATTTATGCAATATTTTAGCTGCTTTGTTTTCGTTGTCGTTCAGCGAATCTTTATTTTTATTTTTTTTCTTTTATGTTAATATGAGCGTAACTTAGTGCTAATACAAATTAGATGGAGCATGGGAATAAACAAAAAATATTTTTCAATTTCTTGAATTTTCATAAAAAAAAATTAAGATTAGTTTTCTGTCATCCTTCTCTCACTTTTTTTGTTTTCTGATCTTAGTAGAAGTCACCTGAACTTATTGCAAGACATATTTTAACTTTATCATGTCTGAATGAATATATGAAAAACATGAAAAGGATTCAAAAATCGTTAATAAAAATTACAAAAATCATAAAGTTAAAATTTATCAAGGCAATATCTTCCAGATCTTTTTTAAGTAGATCTTGATATTTAGTGAAACAATTCTTTATTTCATTTTTTTAATTTAAATTTGTTTTTTCATTCCCACCATCTTTAACTGTCTTAGTACAAACTCTCTTGTCATTCAAATTATTACGAAATACATTTCATAGATTCTATATCTGGAAAAAAGACACATCTGTTTTGAAAAATTGTATTTAAATATTTTGTATTGGCTACCATCAACATTAGTCCAGCTGGTGCCGAAGTCTTAAATACCATTATTCAAATCGGCTATATTAAAAATTATATCAAAGTCTGATACTACAAAGATTTGTTCATGGACATCAAAAAAGTCTTTATATTAAAATACTTAATTTCAATATAACATATAAGATAAATTTTTAAAATGTTAAAGTATGATTTTCAATTTGTTTTTAATTTACAAGAACGGACATAAATTTTATGATTATCTATAGTTGGAAACGGGTTGTAGAATTTTTAGGAACGTTTTTAAATTTTGATTTTGAGCAAACAACAAAATATCAGATGTGTCTTTTTTTAATAATGATAAATAAAACAAATTATGAAGCCATAATGTTCACTTGCCGTTGTTATAAAAGTATCGATTAGACTCCCGAGTGCCTCCCGAGGAGGTTCTCTACCGACCAACAACTTTTAACCGAATGAGGGAACGACTCCACGAAGCCCAGGATAAAATGGACAGACATCGACAACTGTTGGATAGATATATACCTGATGAAGGAACTACCGAATCCATAGAAAGTCGTGTGAACAGAAAATTAAGTGAACTCGAGACACGCGATGCGTAAGTATTTTTAAACGTTTTTTTTTTTTTGGTTCGAGTGTGGTGGATATGTCTGGATTTATGTATCAAACCCCTTTATTTTCTGGAAAGTGGGTTTTGAAGGGATATGGTTTCAAGGAACGTGTTCTAAAGGGATGTGATTTACAGGGATTTATTTTAGAGGGATATGTTTTGGAGGGATATGATTTAAAGGGATATGTTTTGGAGGTTTAGGATTTAGAGAGATATGATTTAAAGGGATATGTTTTGTAGGTTTAGGATTTAGAGAGATATGATTTAAAGGGATATGTTTTGTAGCGATAGGATTTAGAGGGATCTGTTTTGTAGCGATGATTTAGAGGGATATGTTTCGGAGGGATATGATTTAAAGGGGTATGTTTTGGAGGAATAGGATTTAGAGGGATGCATTTTGTAGAGTGAGGTCATCTTAAAGGTATGTCTTTTGAAGGGATGTGATTTTTAAGGGATATGTTTTAAGGGGTGTGTTTTGAATATATATATGTTTTAAAGGGGCTGCTTTAGAGGGATGTGTTCAGAATGGATCTGTTTTTGAGGGATTGGTTTTGCTTTGATCTTTTTGCGTAAAAAAAAGGATCATTCTAAATTCCAAATTCCAAAATTATCTCAACATCACAGCAAAGGATTTTTGACATTCTGGTTGAAAGCTAGATTATAATTTAGAGGTTAATAATAAATCCAGAGATATCCACTTCTGTTGTGATAGAGAACAGTTAAATTTAATGGAACATCATTATCACAAAGTTTCTACTAAAAACAAAAATCTGAATGGAATATTTATCCACACTTTCAGTGTCAAGCATCAACATTTGAATAATTTGATCATTGTTTGAATAATTGGATCATTATTGGAACAAATGGATCATTTTTTGAATGACTAATTGGGTCTTTATTTGAATAAATGGTTTATTATTTGAACATTTGAGCAACATTGAATAACCTTAGCATTATTTAAATATTTGCTCGGCATATGAATAATAGTCTGGCCTTTGAATAATTGATGACCATCTGAATAAGTAATGGAAAATAGTTGAAATTTTGTGAATTTTGATAGTCCAGAGGATTTTGATGACTCAGACTGTACATGTATATTGTAAAACATATTCTGATTGGTGTAAAATACTGTCTCTCTATGTAAAGACTGACAATAGTCCCAATGATCCAGTCATCTCAGATACAAGTCACTGTTGAATTTGAATTCTTACTGGTGAAACTAGATTATCCGCTGATGAAAAGCAAGTTGATCGTTCATTGACTAGTAATAGGGAGACGTTAATGCATTGGTCACCCGTATGATTATTTAGATTCGTTTTATCATTTCTTAGAACTCAGTCAATCATGTGTCCAATCGGCCAGTCTCTTTTAATCAGACAGAATTTTTACACCAATCAGATATATTTTTGAAGTAAATTATAAAGGGGATGCAACAATTCAAAAGATTGAAATAGATTTATTAAGTTATATTGATAAAAAATTCTAAATTGACCACACAAATTTTATTACTTTTAAATAATTTCTGTTGCACCCCCTGTTTTAATCATTGTTATGATGTTTCTTATGAATTATATTATGCATGTCTATATTTGGAGTTTTATTTGTATTTGATTTTTTTGAAAGATATTATTTGGTATTTTTGAAAAATATTATTTGATATTTTTGAAAGATACTACTTGATATTTTTAAAAAATATTATTTGATATTTTTAAAAAATATTATTTGATATTTTTTAAAAAATATTATTTGATATTTTTTAAAAAATATTATTTGATATTTTTGAAAAATATTATTTGATATATTTGAAAAATATTATTTGATATTTTTGAAAATATTATTTGGTATTTTTGAAAGATGCTATTTGATATTTTTGAAAGAAAAAATTTGAATGCTAAAATCTTTAATTTTCTTCTTATGTATTTTCAAAATATTTTTTTTTCTTTTGATGATTTATTTTTCAAGATTTCTCTTCTTCCTTTAACAAATAGATCTAGTTATTTTATAAAATATTAACAAATCTTTTGAAATTTTTTAGTAGATTTTCATTTGTAGATTTTCTATCTTTTTCTTTTGACGTTTTGTTTTCAAGATTTCCCTTCTTTAATTAACAAATAGATCTAGTTATTTTATAAAATATTAACAAATCTTTTGTAGATTTTCTTTTGTAGATTTTCTTCTTTTTTCTTGTTAGATAATTGCACATCCTCTCAAATTTGATTTTCCCCTAAAATTTATTTTCTTCAAATAGATTAGTTTACAACTTTTATGTTTATAAAATTGGGATTTTCGTTTTGATGTGGAATACAATGGTATATATTTGATTGATGTGACAATTATTTTAGAAAATCTACAGAATTTGATAAACAAAAAACAGATTCCTCGTTTTGTCTGTGCTGTTATATTTATCCCAATCCCCCACTTCATGGTTGCCCAATCCCCGAATCCTCTGTCCCTCCATCCCCTCAATTCCCCAATCCCGGTTGCCAAATCAATTATTTTAGAAAATCTACAAAAATCAGATTCCTGGTTTTGTCTGTGCTCTTATATTTATCCCAATGGTTGCCCAATTCCCCAATCCTCTGTCCCTCAATCCCTACAATTCCCCATTGACGGTGGCCAAATCCATAATCCTCCGGCCGCAAATTCCCCTGTCCCCTATTGATACACATCAGATAAATATATAACAAAAAAATAAACAATACAATTTAAACCATAAAAATGAAATACCGTGAAATATTACGCCTGTATTCTAAATAAGTAATGTGTTGTATACAAAAAACCCAACCACAACCCAAAAGATATTAAATTTTTTAAATTAAAGTAGCTATTAAGTGATTACATTATAATATGCATTGCGACCCATTTGTGTCAATTTCTAGGTCCCAAATATTAGCGATTTATCTCCATTAACAAAGCGCATGTACAAGTATTGTAATATACTATTCAAAAAAAGTAGGGGATATTGGATTTTTAAGTGTTATTAAAGTCACCTAATGAAACTGACGAAGAAACAAATGACAAAATGAAATGAAGTTCACATTCATCGATTTATTCCAAATGATCGTTAGACTAAGTAAGGCACAGATTGACCATTATAAGGGTAAAATGATACCCGGGGTCAAACAGCAAAGTTACCACAGCATCACAACCAAGTCAGTAACGGGTAAATCCTCCTCTGTTTGCCAAACAAGCATTGATCCGACGTGACATACTCCTAATGAGACGTCTAAGGTCATTTTGGTCCAGATTGTCCCATTCTTGTGGCAACGCAGCAGCAAGTTCTTGGACATTGGCAGGACGTTGTTGACGTTGACGTAACCTCTGTCCAAGCATGTCCCAGACATGCTCGATGGGGGAGAGGTCGGGACTCAGTGCTGGCCAAGGTAATGTGGTGATGTTCTGTTGTTGGAGGTAACCTGTAACGATCCTGGCCCTGTGACATCTTGCGTTGTCATCCTGGAAGATGAAACGGCGGCCATGACGTCGTGCGAACGGCACAACATGGACTGCCAAGATGTTGTCCCGGTAGTACTGGCCTGTAACACGCCCTGCAACAACATGTAAAGCCGTTCTTCCAGCAACAGTGATGCCTCCCCACACCATAACAGAACCACCCCCAAATCGATCATGTCTCATGACGTTAACGTCTTGGAAGCGCTCGTTTCGACGACGCCACACCCTCCTACGTCTGTCCAAAAAATCAACAGTGAACCTTGACTCATCTGAAAACATCACATTGCTCCAGCGTCGATTATCCCAGTGTTGACGATCCCTACACCAACGACGTCTTGCCTGAATGTGATGATCTCTCAAACAAGGGATCACGCGAGGACGTCGGGCGCGAAGGTGACCCCTATGCAGTCGATTCCGAATCGTCTGGCCACTCACTCTCACACCAGTGTCTGTTTGAAGACGAGCGCTGATCTGATTTGCTGTGATGACACGATTTCTCAAGGCCAAGGTACGGATAAATCGATCCTGGGCTTGAGTTGTCGCCCTTGGTCGACCTGAGCGTGGTCTGTCCTGTACAGATTGTGTATCACGGTATCTGGACCATAGCCTGCTTATGACAGACTGAGAAACATTCATCGTCCGCGCCACAACCGCCTGTGTTGTGCCGATCTGTAGCATGCCAAGGGCACGTAACTTTTCATTTTGGGTAAGCCGACGCATATCAAAATTTGTTTTCTGGTCACTAAAACAATTAAACTGATGTTTCCACCCTGGAATTCAATGCCACAATGACTGTAACATTCAAAGTCAGAGTCGTGCAAATCTTGGGTTGGACCCCCATGATGATCCCAAGCATCACCTGCATTCCATGCGGTAGCTATTGGTGCGTTTGGGCGTCACATGTAACTGGAAATGTTTCTTCTGTTAGGTTCTATAGTGACTTTTTTCGTAGTCATTTGCATATTTTAGTATTATGCCCCCAAAATCAAATATCCCCTACTTTTTTTGAATAGTATAGGTTGTTGTGTGTATGGACTATATACAGTACAGAGTTTCATAAAGATATCTTAAGCAGTTTGTGAGATATTCTCTAGAATTGAAGGAACCATTTCAATATGCCTCCCTTAATTGTGTTTGTAGCAAGATAATAAAATAATTAAAATAACAGATATTGAAGGAAAATATGAGTTGTGATTCTTTTTCACCTAATATCAACTTTGCCTAGGTAATTGGCCATAGCACAAACGAAAACACACATTACTCAGCAGCTTCTCCATTTCCACGAATCAGGTAATTTATATCTCTTCCACATCAGCCCGACACACTTCCTTAAAATGCAGTGTCGGCTTAAATATCAACGTACATACCTACATGGCCCATTGCCAGGTAGATAATAGTAGAAGGCACTAGTAATACAATATGAGTTCTGGTTGCCATAGCAACGTGCGAGGAATACCTGCCCATAAGCTGATTTGATTAGGTGCCAAATAATCTGCATTCTTGTCGGTTCTCATAGGTAGAAGAGTGAAACACAGAAAACATGTTCCTGTTACAATGTTTAATGTCTTGTCTTTCATTGCCTCTGATTAGAAATAGGATAAGAAAAAAAATATATTTATTCTTTTTCAAGATAAAAGATTGCCAAGTATTATATTGCCCTATTTATATATATAAAAATATAACAAATATTGAAATAGGTTGCCAAAAAAGATATAATATTGTAAGTATAAGTAAATTATATATGTCACACATTGCAATAATTTGTTAAAGAGCTAAATCTGCCTATTGCAGATCTTTCTTTAGGTCTGAAATGTTATATAAACTATTAATTAGACATTTATTAACATGAAAAGACCATAATCAACTCTCGATGGCATCGGATACTCAGGATTTTAACTAGATTAGAAAGCTTTACCATTTAAAAATTTAATTTAAAAATGGGAAAGCGAGGCAAAGCCTCGAATATACCAGTACACTGGTTACCACAGTGCATACATCTTGTCAAAAATACAAACAGTAATAACTTGGCTCAGAATGGAGTAATTTGAATGAAATTTTCAATATTTTCATTTCACATTATCTATTTTCAAGCTATTATTTGCAAGAATGGTTGGCTCTTTATCTAAATCTTTAAATATTATACAATCCTTACTCTTCTGTGTACAGGTATTCATTTCACCCATATAGAACTTCAACAAACTATTTTTAAAAACAATATTTTATTCAACCTAGTCCTCAATGTGTGGGTTCCATGGTTTATTCAGCCCAGTCCCTAATTTGTGGGTTCTATGGTTTATTCAACCCAGTCCCTAATTTGTGGGTTCTATGGTTTATTCAACCCAGTTCCTTATTTGTGAGGCCCTGGGGCCTGTTTCATGAAATTTTAACTAAGATAAAATCTAAATTTTAGTAATTTGATTGGATAATATTAGATTGATTTTAGTGCTTAGCCAATCAAAATTGAAGTATCTACTAAAATTTAGATTTTATCTTTAGTTAAGATTTCCAGAAACAGGGCCCTGGATCCAAACATGTGAGTTTGGTGTTTATTGCTATTCCCCAATTTTTTCTGTCCAGTCCCCAATTTATTCAGTCCAGTCCCCAATTTGTGAGTCCCAAGCTTTATTCTGCCTGGTCTTTGTGCATCTTGCTTTAACATGGAGAATTTTTTTCTGATTTCAAGTTTTTTCAGGTCTGGTGGAGGCCAATCTTCGGTAGGCTCATATACACCTTTTGATTATTACGTAAGTTTGCTGCATGGCTATTAACTAACCCTTACTTTTCGTACTTTTTAAGATTAAGGGAAATTTTTATAAAAACTTTATTTAAAACCCTTTACATTGGGGTAAATTTTATAAAAACTTTATTTAAAACCCCTCAATTTAGGAAAAAAATTATAAAAACTTTATTTAAAACACGCAAAATAGAGGAAATTTTATAAACAGTTTTTTATAAACCGTTTAAAATAGAGGAAATTCTATAAAAAAGTGTTTTTTTTAAAAAACCCAAATAGGGGATATTTTATAAAATTCAGATACTTGTTTTAATAAGTTAAGTCTAAATCACCCATTATTATTTTAGCAAAGTCAATATAAAATAAATTAATTATTAAATTCTAAATATTTTTTTTAATTCATTGTATAATTTATCACATGGTAGTAATTATAAAATTGATATTTTTTTTTTAAAACAATATTTTATTCAGAAATTGAAAGGGATTGAGGAACGGGCATAGCCTATATGACCTCCACTCCATTGATATTCTGAATCGTGACATGTTTTGATTTGATAAATAAGATTATTCGACGAATATAATGGCATATATTTTTAGTCTTTGACAAATCTCAAAGACAACAAATACTGAACATGTCATTTCCTTAGATCATTAAACAAATAGAAATAATTTTGGTTTCAAATGAACATAAACAGAAATGATTTTATAAATTTTATTTCTACTAAACATCAAAAAGAAATAATTTGTAGAAGTAATATATACTATTCAAAAAAAGTAGGGGATATTTGATTTTGGGGGCATAATACTAAATTATGCAAATGACTACGAAAAACGTCACTATAGAACCTAACAGAAGAAACATTTCCAGTTACATGTGACGCCCAAACGCACCAATAGCTACCGCATGGAATGCAGGTGATGCTTGGGATCATCATGGGGGTCCAACCCAAGATTTTCACGACTCTGACTTTGAATGTTACAGTCATTGTGGCATTGAATTCCAAGGTGGAAACATCAGTTTAATTGTTTTAGTGACCAGAAAACAAATTTTGATATGCGTCGGCTTACCCAAAATGAAAGGTTACGTGCCCTTGGCATGCTACAGATCGGCACAACACAGGCGGTTGTGGCGCGGACGATGAATGTTTATCAGTCTGTCATAAGCAGGCTATGGTCCAGATACCGTGATACACAATCTGTACAGGACAGACCACGCTCAGGTCGACCAAGGGCGACAACTCAAGCCCAGGATCGATTTATCCGTACCTTGGCCTTGAGAAATCGTGTCATCACAGCAAATCAGATCAGCGCTCGTCTTCAAACAGACACTGGTGTGAGAGTGAGTGGCCAGACGATTCGGAATCGACTGCATAGGGGTCACCTTCGCGCCCGACGTCCTCGCGTGATCCCTTGTTTGAGAGATCATCACATTCAGGCAAGACGTCGTTGGTGTAGGGATCGTCAACACTGGGATAATCGACGCTGGAGCAATGTGATGTTTTCAGATGAGTCAAGGTTCACTGTTGATTTTTTGGACAGACGTAGGAGGGTGTGGCGTCGTCGAAACGAGCGCTTCCAAGACGTTAACGTCATCAGCCATGATCGATTTGGGGGTGGTTCTGTTATGGTGTGGGGAGGCATCACTGTTGCTGGAAGAACGGCTTTACATGTTGTTGCAGGGCGTGTTACAGGCCAGTACTACCGGGACAACATCTTGGCAGTCCATGTTGTGCCGTTCGCACGACGTCATGGCCGCCGTTTCATCTTCCAGGATGACAACGCAAGATGTCACAGGGCCAGGATCGTTACAGGTTACCTCCAACAACAGAACATCACCACATTACCTTGGCCAGCACTGAGTCCCGACCTCTCCCCCATCGAGCATGTCTGGGACATGCTTGGACAGAGGTTACGTCAACGTCAACAACGTCCTGCCAATGTCCAAGAACTTGCTGCTGCGTTGCAACAGGAATGGGACAATCTGGACCAAAATGACCTTAGACGTCTCATTAGGAGTATGCCACGTCGGATCAATGCTTGTTTGGCAAACAGAGGAGGATTTACCCGTTACTGACTTGGTTGTGATGCTGTGGTAACTTTGCTGTTTGACCCCGGGTATCATTTTACCCTTATAATGGTCAGTCTGTGCCTTACTTAGTCTAACGATCATTTGGAATAAATCGATGAATGTGAACTTCATTTCATTTTGTCATTTGTTTCTTCGTCAGTTTCATTAGGTGACTTTAATAACACTTACAAATCAAATATCCCCTACTTTTTTTGAATAGTATATATATCTTAGATCTGGGTTTTTTTAAAATAAAATTTCAGAGGTTTCTTAAATTTTATTGGAATTTCTAATGAATTTGAAACATATAGTATATAAACATATATTACTATTTATATTCTAATGTATATCCTAAAATCTGGATGGTAAAAATACTTATATTCACAGTAAATGTAAATGCTAGGGAATACGATTCAAATCTTTTAAGTTGGAATTAATAAACAAAATAAAAATTAGATTTATTCTTACGTAAAATTTAAAATCTTTTATCAATTATGGACTCAAATCTACAAATGTAAAAAATAATTCGCTTTTGTTCTGCAGTATCCATATAGATATGTAACTTAAAGGCTTCAAATTTTAATTTTTTATAGATATGTTACTTAGCAATGCTGTTATTATTGCTTTATATTATTTAATTTATATAAAAAAACAAAACAATTGTATTTGCTTATCTTTGTATTATTATATGCTTATGTCAGTTGTTCGTTATGTGAATGCAGTTTTCAGAGGAGAATCGAAATAAGTGTAAAATGGATCTTAAAAATTTAAATAAAAGTAAAATCTAATGGAAATAATCAGGGATATTTCTTAATTGAATACTAGAGACAATATCATAAGATTTAAAATTTCTCAAAATTTCTGTTAATTCCAAGTAAATTCATCCCTTAAAATCTGTAAATTCGGTCAAATCATTTATATATAAGGGTGGGCATATGTCATATTATACATATTTCACATTTTAAATTACACAAATAAAAAAAAATCCAAAAAAAAAAAAATCATTTCATTGGAATTACATATCGATGCCACTTGATATAACTGGGTTAGTACAGTTTATTGGGAGTATTCTTAATAATAATTTATTTAATAGCTTACATAGGATACAATAGGTAAAGAAATATATGAGCTAAATTAATATTTGCATGCTCTATGCACAATCAGTTTCATTGTATCTAGACTAAAATATCGGAGTAAGTAAGATATTCTGTAGATTCTGTTTTTCTTAACGCTATTATTGTTCTTTGTTTTCTTTTTTTTGTTAATTTTCTATCGTGGGCTGTAATCTTTTATTATATATATTGAAGCTCTGCAATTAATCGTTATTTGTTTCTAATCTATTTCTGCACTCTTTATTAATATTTTATATCTTTGATATTCAAAGATGGACATACACTATTTGTATTTTACTTGTTTTCATTCTGAAATGAAATAAAATGAAATGGGGTTTAACGTCCTACTGTTCTGCTCTGACTGGGCTAATGAACAAGGGGCAGTGTGCTATGAGGGAAATTTTGCCTATTCTGGTTTTGAATTCCATCTGCCAAGGGCTCTTTTACATGCATGCCAATGTGTACACGGAACCTTGGTTTTTCATCCCATCTGAACAGCTATATGAAGGGACAAGGCTCTGACAAGGGGGAATCACAATGGAAAATCCCAATGAACTTTCTTGGCGATCACCGGGATAGAACATGGGACCTCCAGGCTAGCGGGCCATCGTCTTACTCACTGATCCACTGTAGCTCCCTCTGAAACAATGAAACCTGTTCTATAAATTATGATTTTTACAACCTTTCAAGTTTGATTCATTGAGTCGAGTGACGTGGTGTCGATCCCAGGCTTTAGCTGTGGGTTTTCACCTTAGGACCTCCGCTTTCTTTCTCCACTGCCAAAGACCCCAACTTGCCAAAAAATTATTGAAATAAATATGTATTGTATATTAAGTAACCCCATTTAGGTTATGGACGATAAATCCCAGCTCTTTTAAATCAAGGAAGGGAGGTTGGGTGGTTGAATAGGTTAACGCGTGTAAGGTCTGTCATTGAGTCAGGTGGCATGGTTTCAATACCCAATTAGTATGTGCAAGTGAATTATTGAAATAAAATTGAACCATTATGTTAGTCCAAAAATGACCTAGTTTGTGTCGAGTGAACATTAAACCCCATTTGTCTCAATCTCTTTTAAATCAAATCAATTGCGATTGGTTCGTATCAATATGAGTACGAGGTGTATGTTCATCGATGTATATATTCAAATTGAAAGAAGTTTGTTCACATCCGCGGTCTTATTTATGGATTAGGTTTGGACAGTAATAGTGGGAGGTCACATCAGGGGTCATACGGTCGGCTTTTGACCCTATGACATCAGACATTTGATTAACCAATCAGCGTTGATGTTTCTTGTGGGTTACCCGCAGTTCCATGCACCTCACGTCAAAAACTCGCCCTAACACCTAACAGGCCGTTTCATTAGCTAATCCCTCACATCATCTAGAACGCAGGTTATATAACAACTCTTCCAGATTCTAGTGTATTAAAGCCCTGCGCACAAGTGAAACATCAAACCATATGTTAATCTCGAATTGAACTTTTATTGGGTTGCCCTTAAATATATCTCGAAGACTCGCTTTTTTGCTATGGATGTAATTTTTGTAGCCATATATTGTGAACAAACTTTTTTTTATATTTTCTCAGTTTATTTTCATGTTTAACACAATTATGAATTTCTCTAAATAATATAAATTTCACTTTGAAATTTCATTTTTAATTTTTAAAAAATAAAAAAGATTTTTAAAATTTTTTTAAAGATTAATTTTTCGGTCTTTAATAATTGCATGCAGTAGAATAACTACATTTTGAGTAGAAATTTTTTATATTCTTTTAACAAAAAATATAAGGTACAGAAAAAATTTGAAAATAGAAATTGTTAAAATTTTGATCGATTAAAGATGAAATTATATATTTTGTAAATTTGGAAATTTTATTTGAATATTTTATGTAATTTGATGTAATATTGATGATGTTTTATGTCCATTGTTTTTATACTCAAAATATACAGGTAAATCAATAATTACTTACCTGAGATATACAGGTGAATCAATTTACTTACCTGAAATATCTGTAACAAAAATAAAAAATATGGTTTTTGGTTTCGTTTCCCTACTGCAAGAGAAAATGAAATGGTGTTTAACATCCTACTGTTCTGCTCTGACAGGGATAATGTAGACGGGCTAACGCCATACAGTGTGCCACGAGGGAAATTTTACCCGGATAGAGTTTCTTTCTATTCAGCATGGCAAACGAGTAAACTGGTGAACCTTGCAATTTTATCCCTTCCGAACAAAGCTAGATAGTCATCCTTTCCAGGTCCTCCATCCTGCACTACTGACAACGGGGAAATCAGGCTGAAAAATCATGAGAGACTGTCTCTCTCAAAACCAGGATCGAACCCACGACCTCCTAGCTATAGTCAGCGAGGAAGAGAAAACAACTCACATTTATAACCTAACAGGAAAAAAAACTATGAAACAAAAATCCAACATACATCGACTAAGTATTCGTGAACGTTGTGCACTCCATGAATTACATCATTATATTGCTGCACACTCCTTGATATATTTTTTCACTCTGGCTATTATAAAACTGGAGTTCGGGAAAGTTTCCTGTAGACTAACTTTTAAGTCAAAGAACATTTACAAACTGAACAGTTGTCAAAACATTTGTATAAATTATACTGCTTCATTGACCACCTGAAAAGAGTTATTCCCCTTGGCACACCATTGTGAAGAAGAAGAATAGAAAATGACTGTACATAAATAAGTGTCTATTTCTCAATTTGCCTGTTTATTTTGAGTATGAATATTTTGTTAATCATTTTATGTGTCATGTTTCATCTAAACAAATTTGGGTACTAAATCGTTAATTTCCCTTCCCAGGGACCAAATGGGCCACCAATTTCCGAAACCAGAAGACGCATCCGCAGGGTGCTCAATGGTACCAGACGTTAATTAACAGGGAGGGTACGTATCCCTCATATATTTTATATCCTACCGTGTCGTAAACCTTTATATCACTGGACGTTCTTAACCCAAAAAGTCTTTTGCATCCAGTCTCTTTCAATCAGTCCCAAATCCTATAGGCCTACAGCACTGGATGTTCCTACCTTTGCATCATAGTCTCTATCAATGAGTCACATTAGGTATCTTTTGGTTTGTTCACCTTAGTTAGTCATGATTTTCTGAGTTTTAGATCCATTTTTCATCATTCATGTAGATAACCTTCATTTGACCTTTTAGGGGTGAGATGTTGAACCTCCTGACATCCCCAACACATAAAATGTCTTATCTTAAAAAAAAACTTTTTAGAATTTTAATTTTCTTGGTATCTTTTGAGTGTTTCACAACTTATCTTCTCTTTTATATTCAGAAACAACGTATTTTCTAGATGTTATCCCAATTTTTTTAATGTTTACACCGATCTGACTTTTTATTATAAAATCACACTTTCTATTTACAAATCAATTCCAAAATGGCAGCAAATAAATCCCAACCTTTTGTTCTGTTCTGTTGAATCAACGAGGGCAGACATCCTGAGTTGTGTTTTCAGACATGACGTGGTTAAAAACCAAACTGGATAAGTAAACCCCTGAGTTGAGTAAACCTCTGATGAGTTGAATAAGTAGATCTATGACTTGAGTAGGTAAACCTCTGACTTGAGTAAGTAAACTTTGGTAAACCTATGACTTGAGTAGGCAAACCTCTAACTTTGGAGTAGGTACCCGTCTGATTTGAGTAGGCAAACCTCTCACTCAAGCGTAAATAGACATCTGAATTGTGTAGTTAAACCTCTGAATTGAGTAACACATCTGATTTGAGTAGGCAAACCTCTCACTCAAGAGTAAGTACACATCTGACTTGAGTAGATAAACCTCTGAATTGAGTAGGTAAACCTCTGAATTGAGTAGGTAAACCTCTGAATTGAATAGGTAACTTGAGTAGGTAAACCTCCGACTTTGGAATAGGTATACATCTTTTTTGAGTAGGAAACCCTCTCACTCAGGAGTAAGTACACATCTGACTTGAGTAGATAAACCTCTGAATTGAATAGGTAACTTGAGTAGGTAAACCTCTCAATGAGTAAGTACACATCTGACTTGAGTAGATAAACCTCTGAGTTTCGGTTTTTTTTTTTTACTCTGGCAGGTAAACCTCAGAGTTGTGCGGGGAAAATGTTAGTGTAAATATCAAGGAAGAAATATTCTGGCTAGTTACCAATCTTCCCACGAATTTCTCCATTTAAACTATCCATGTAAATTCATGTTACCATGGATATAGGTGACGTGACATAATTTAAAAATATTCTTCAGCGTTTCTAATTTCCAACCTTCCCACAAATCTCCTCCATGGAACTATATTTGCTGTGAGTAGACTAGATATCGAGTGTTTGATATTTCGAGTGTAGTATCTCTTTATCTCTCTCTTCATCATTTCATCCCTTTAATATTATCTTTTTTTCAGCTCAAATATTTTTTTTTTAATATAAAAATAATTTTGATATAAATGTCATGTTTTAGTTCTTTTACAGAGATTTCTTTTTTATTTGAAGAACAAGATTACCATGGTAACAAAAACAAAAATCAAAACATGTGGCTCTAAATATTTTGTTTTATTTCAATAAAAAAAAAAAAAATTAATTTATTCAAAATAAAAACAATATTTCATTGTTTTTGTATTTTTTTGGAAGATAAGAAATTCTGTGCTTTGTATTTTCATGTTAATCGTATTCACATGCTTGCTATTCTACTTTCGCTTTGTCGCTTTTTTTTTTTTCACTGTTGAAAACACCAACACATTTGCAAAATGTATTTTTATTTTCTTCTAAGCCAGCTTTTAAAAAAAATTTACTAAAAAAAAATTGTTATTTTTTTAATTTTTTACTTATTATTTTTTTAAGATATTGTTACCATGGAAACTGCCATTTTCCTTTTTTTTGTCTAAAGAATATTTCATAAAATTTGTTGATAATATATGTTGAAATTTAATTTTCTACATTTTTGTTAAATTTTATAATAGAATTATTTTTAAAAAAATATGTCATATAGCTGAAAATGCTTGCTATCGCTAAATGTAATTAAAAACTAAGATTATATATGAAAATATTTAAAATTATTAATGTTTCGACGTTTTCCTCTTTGTATATTTCAGAGATATTAAATAAGAAGGGGAGAAGATGATGCTACGATAGCTGGCCGCCATACAACGACGGTTTAGAGCAGCCTAACGCTATTTTCACGTTTAAAGTTCGAAGCTGAAGAGCTCGCCTTAAGTTCAACTATTGTTCAATGTAAAGCTTATTATCAATATATATGTAGCAAATATCTTTAATGTCCATTAAAAGTGTACGAATATGATGTTGTCTTCTCCGAACTTCAGTTTCTCCTCTTCTTACAACGATCTTGTTAAAAACTTTTGGTCTCTTCTTTCGAGTTAATTTTTTGTAATTTTTAAAAATCCAGAATTATAAACGAAGAAACCAAAACTCATCGGTGAGATTGTAAATTTAATTCAAGTATTTTTAAAAAATTATCGTGTGTGGCGATGTATGAGAATTTTAAAACCATCCCTGTAGCTAAAATACCTTCGTAGGTTGTGATGATGATTTAGTGTTGGATTCCGCCCAATTAAATTACAGGCCTTTATATGGTCGTCCTTAACAACAATCACATGACATGGTCATAGGATTGACTCAACCACTGCCATTTTTTTTTAACAAAAAAAAAATAAATGTGTGATTTTTTAGATGTTTATTTTGAAATTGTATGAAACATTTTGAAGGAAGATCAGAATTTTATATCAGGTTTATGTCTAGGATTTATTTAAAACATTTTGATAATATCTATGTAAATTTTAACAAAACATTACTAAAACAAAATAAGGGTCGTATCTGTTTATTTATTGTAAATATAGTATTATTATTTGTCTACTTTTTTTGTCTTCTGGGTAAAAACGTAAGATTTACAAAACTGGGACAAAACTTGCACATCGGAAAAAAAAATTTCTTAGACGTATAAAATTTAAGATTTCTGTCTTATCGTTAATTTCTGTGTACATGTATATATTTATATCAATGAAATTTTATTTATTTGTGTAAGATATTATTATTGTGTTAAATCTATACTCTTTCTATCTTATGTTAAAAGCTGAATTAATCTATTTAACTCGAAGCCTCGGGAGAAAAATTATTAATTTATTTGAAGGGCTATGTGCAATGTTTGTAGCCGTTACGGTTAATCCCAGCTCTATTTTCAATTTTCCTGGCTTTTATAAAGAATTTGCGGTTTGTTTTGTTTACGAAGGTCAGAAGGGCAAGCATCTAGATTATTTCTGCCCTTAGTGAGCAGTTTCTGGCCTAAATACAAGATTGCGTTCAAATAAAATTGTCATCTTGCATATTATCGTCTCTGTTGTTTGTTCAAAATAAAATGAAATGAAATGGGGTTTAACGTCCTACTGTTCTGCTCCGACTGGGCTAATGAAGAGGGGCTCAAGCCGTGGCACCGCAGCTTACTCTTATATTGAATTCCAAATGCCAAGGATTCTTTTACGTGCACACCAATGTGGACACGGTACCTCGTTTTTTTTGTCCTATCCAAACGACTATACATTGTCCCTTGCCAGGCCATCTGTCCTGTACCACTGACAAGGGGGAACCACACCGGAAAATCCCAATGAACTTTCTCGGCCAATGCAGGGATTGTACATATTGTGACCTCCCTGTTAGCGAGCCAACGTCTTACTCATGGGGACTTAACTAAAATATTTTTAAGAATCAGAATTTTCATTGGCCAAGAGTTAAAATCAAAGCATGGTTATTAGCTTAGCCAATGGAAAGGTTTCATTCTGAAAATGTTTTAGTTTATTTTAAGAATCAGAATTTTCATTGGCCAAGAGTTAAAATCATAGCATGGTTATTAGCTTAGCCAATGGAAAGGTTTCATTCTGAAAATGTTTTAGTTTATTATAGTTAAAACTATAAAGAGAGAGAGAAATGGGGTTTAACGTCCACTCAATACAAACTAGGTCATTTTGGGACTAACATATGGTTCAATTTTATTTTAACAATTCAAGTGCGTAGGGGTCTTTAGCAGTGGGAGGATACCAAAGGATCCAGAGGAAACCCTACTCCTTCTCATGTACAACCGGGTTATCAAAACCACCACAATTGACTCAATGACAGACCCTATGATGCAATACTCACGTATTAAACCATTCGGCCAACCAACCCCTACCCATTAAAACTATAACTGGATAAGGAAATTTAATCAAGTGGAGTTTAATATCCTCCTGTTCTGAACCAGCTGGGTTAATAAAGATGGGTACACACCAATGAGGGAAACTTCTGCTCTTGACTTAAACTTCCATCTGTCGAGGGATCTTTATACAAAGGAACTCTGCTTTTTGTGTCCCATCCGAATGACTTGTCTTATCTGGGTCCAAGGGGGAAATCCAGCTGTAACATCTATTTGAACTTTTTAATCCTACACCAGGATCGAACCTGGGAACTCTTGGTTAGTGGGCCAGAGTCTAGAGAGAGAGGGAAATGGGGTTTAACGTCCACTCGACACAGACTAGGTCATTTCGGGACTAACATGGTTTAATTTTATTTCAATAATTCGCTTGCGCGTAGGGGTCTTTAGCAGTGGGAGGAAACTGGAGAACCCTGAGAAAACCCACGAGGTCGAACAGTTAACCCTACTCCTTGTCACGTACAACCGGGGATTCGAAACCACGCCAGTTGACTCAATGACAGGCCTTATGATACAGCACGCACGTGGGGCCAGCGTCTAACTCACCCTGCCATTATGGCTGACAGAATTAAAATGAAGGAATAGAATATTACTGAGATCATTTTGGAATTAACATAGTAGTGTTTATGTTTATGGTTATCTGAACAATGAGGGGCTATGGGGAGAATTATGCCACATTATTCCGCCTACTCCTAGACGTGCTCTACAAATTTTGCTTCCGCCTACTTGTTCTGGTGTACTACAAATTTATACATGAAATGTGTAAATTAGCACCTACTGGGCTAATGAAGACTGGCAAACACCATACAGTGTGCTATGCCCAGGCAGCTGTACCACAGACTATTCTTATTATCTCTCCCTTCAGGGGTCATAAGAGTGGCTTTTGATCCTATGACGTCAGACTTTTGATTCACTAATCAGCCTTGATGTTTCTGGTGGGATACCCACAATTTCGTGCAATGCACGCCGAGTTTCTCGGCGTAAAAGACTGTTTCATTGGCTTATCCCTCCCATCAATCAGAATGCAGGTTATATAACAACTTTTCCAGTGTAGTTAAGACAAGTAGAACAAAATTTTGAACTATAAAAACAAAACGAAATAGGATCTGTGTTTTCATCAGACTGGGGAAGACCATGCTGTAAAACCACCTGACGTTCTAATCAGTGACCCAGCACCTCACTCACTGAGCCATCGTGGTTCCCCAATGGAGATTACCATCCTGTCAACGCACCACTTTAGCCATTTTGTAACAACATACAGTTTATTATACTTACTACGCAAAGTTAGCAAGGAGAATTTTGCCTATGCAGCAGCATTTCTACCTGCTCTTATTCAAATTTCAACTGCCAAGGGATCTGCAACATGCACACCAAAAATACATGGGTGAACCTTATTTTGTGTCACATTCAATCCACAAAACAAACACTATGTTCTTCTTGATCGACACCAGAATTCGAATCCAGGAGATTCTAGTCAGGAGTCCAGTTTGCTGTTTCATATCAACCTACTGCAGCCTGAAGCCAATTGAAAAGAGAGAGAGAAATGGGGTTTAACATCCACTTAACACAATCTAGGTCATTTCGGGACTAACATATGGTTAAATTTGATTTCAATAATTCGCTTGCACGTAGGGGTCTTTAGCAGTGGGAGGAAACCGGAGAACCCGGAGAAAACACACGAGGTTAGACAGGCAACCCTACTCCTTGCCAGGTACAATCAGGGAATCGAAACCATGCCAGTTGACTCAATGACAGACCTTATGATACAGCACGCACACGCTAACCATTCAGCCATCTAATCCCGCCCTCCTCCCCCAAATTGAAAATCCTGCTATCTAATGACATTGGTCTATATTGAACCATGGATTGTTAATAGAAAATTCAGATTTCAGAGAGAGAGTGAGAGAGATGTGGTTTAATGTTCACTTAAAAGAATCTTGGGTCATATCGGAACTAATATATGGCAAATTTTACCTCAATGATTCTCTTGCTCGCAGAGTCCTTTAGCAATGGGAGCAAACAGGAGAAAACCCAAGAGGCTGGGCAGACAAACCTACTCCTTGTCACACACATGCTTGAAACAGAAACACACTTGACTCAATGACAGACCTTACCATCCTAAACATGCCACCCTACTCCTTGTCACATATACGCTTGGGATTGAAACCACACCACTGGACTCAATGACACCATAAAATATTAGAATCGTTGATCGATATTTACATGTTTTCAACAGTATTTGGTTACAAGAGAGAGAAATGGGGTTTAACGTCAACTCGACACAAACTAGGTCATTTTGGGACTAACATATGGTTTATTTTTTTTATTTCAATAATTCGCTTGCGCGTATGGGTCTTTAGCAGTGGGAGGAAACCTTATGGTCTAAAGCCATGTGTTAGACCACTCAACCACACAAATTAAAAAGAAATATATTATTAAATATGTATCACATTTATTGAAGGTATTATCAAATACATGTATGTATATATATATATCATATTATCTACCATATCTATGTACTTATATTGCACATAAATTATACACAAACATATATATATATAATTAAAGGGGAATAATAGCCTTTATGGTTTTTTATCTAATGAAATGAAATGGGGTTTAAATCTTCTGCACTAACTAGTTATCATAAACATATTATAATTAAAGGTCAGCGGTAAATTTCAACGTTAGCGATTTCCGCCGTTCTCCGCGAGTAGTCGTAACTTTCTGCAAATAAACAAGCTGTGACATAGTTTTAGGCTGAAATTGCTAACGTTTAAATTTACCTGTGGCAGGTAACATTGACATTCGGGAAGGTGTTATACTTATGGAAAGGATATGTTGACATAATTACTTGCATTATTTAAAAAAAATTATGATGCTTTTCGGGTGATCTTTAAAGGGGTACTATAGCCTTTATAGGTTTTTTTTATTTATTGAAATGATACAGGGTTCAGTTTAACCACAAACTGTTTTCAGGATTACGATATAAAGGACATCGTGTAGATTAAGGAAGTCAATCGAGAATAATTAAGTAGTTAATCAATAATTAAAGGGGAATAATAGCCTTTATAGTTATTTTGTATTTAATGTAATGAAATTGGGTTTAACGCTTCTAAACCAAATTGGGATCATAAACATGTATATAGTTTGAATCTTGTGAAATATAATATAATTTGTACATAGTTTGAATCTTGTGAAATATAATATAGTTGTACATAGTTTGAATCTTGTGAAATATAATATAGTTGTACATAGTTTGAATCTTGTGAAATATAATATAGTTGTAAATAGTTTGAATCTTGTGAAAGTTATAATATAATTTGTACGTAGTTTGAATCTTGTGAAAGTTATAATATAATTTGTACATAGTTTGAATCTTGTGAAAGTTATAATATAATTTGAAGATAAGTTGAAAACTCTTTCTAAAAAATACACATTTTTGATGTTGGAAATGGGTTTAGCGCTTTACTGTTTTTCACCAAATGCTCTAATGAAGACAGGTTTTTTTTCTACTTTTACTTTGACCACGATTCTACACAGGACCTTGATTTTTCGTCCCAATCTAACAACTCGATGCAGTTCCTTGCCAGACCCTCCATCCTGCATCCCTGACAAAGGAAAACCACCCCGGAAAATCCCAAGGGAGCAATCTCAAGATCTCCAGGTAAGTGAGCCAGCATCTTATTCACTGAGCCATCGCGGCTAACCACAAAAAAATATATCATAAACACACACATATATTTATTAAAGGGGTAAAATAGTATTTACAGGTTTTATTGTATTTTGATTATCACCTACATGAACTAATATAGAAACCGTCAATAAATTAAAATATCTGTGATGGGTGTTGTTTCCCCTTTAACCCAGCGTGCACAATGTAATATCTTTATATGAAACATTGCAATATATTTACAGTGATTCTGTGAAGGAGTTGAGGGTCTTTTCATTAAAATGCAAACTGAAGGGGTTTATTCAAAGATACATTCATTCAAGAATAATTCAATCTCGCTCAGTTTTTTACTATTTACAGATAACTTACTTCCAATGACCAAGAATAAATTATGTTCTACCCAGAAAATGTTCATAAGCTTACGTTATAATTGAAATTTATCAACTTCAATCTTTTGAAAACATTGGTTAATTCTGTAGATTCTATCTATCAACCCCAACTCCTTCAATATTTGAACACATGTGGTTAATTGTGAAACTGTACATTTTATATCTATGTTAGTTATGCTTAATAGCAACTAGGGGAAGTAACACTATTACTTTTTTAAAACTATTTTATAATTTTATGCCCATTATTTAAATATTCATTGAATTGAAATAGTATTTCAAAAGCTGTTCCCACTGATTTTGCAGTATTCATTTTTTAATAGTAATAAAAACTATGGCAATTTGATCTTTTTTGTCTGCTACCAAATACTTAGATTAATTTTATCTTTTTTGTCTGCTACGGAATATTTACTATCAATATGATATTTTTTTGTCTGCTATGAAATATTTACATTAATTTGATCTTCTTTTTTGTCTGCTACAAAATATTTACTATCAATTTGATATTTTTTTTTGGTCCCCTACAAAATATTTACTATTAATTTGATCTTCCTTTTTTTTGATCCCCTGTGAGATTTTTACTTATTTAAATTCAATGAAATCCACTCATATTTAAAAATAAACAAATAGATAAACGAAACAATATTTCATTAAAAAAATTACAGTTTCTACAAATCTTAAAATCCACGAAAACGATCTAATATTGAACCTTGGACAATCTAGTTGAGAGGTCATGATCAGTGCCATGACGATCAGGGCATGACTGACCTCTCCTGTCCCCTCAAGTGAAAGACCACACTCGAGGAAAAATTGTGTTTAAAAAAATCCACTTTCATTCAATGTTTTATTTGATTCAAGTTTTGTTCAGACATATTGGCTATACACTATTACCGTCCGGGTGAATTACACTATTACCGTCCAGTGAATTACACTATAACATCCGGGTGAATTACACTATTATCGTCTGGGTGAATTACACTATTATCATCTGGGTGAATTACACTATTATCGTCTGGATGAATTACACTATAATTGTCCGGGTGAATTACACTTTCCGGATTAACTACGTTATTATTATCCAGGTGAACTACTCTATTATTGTCCAGATGAATTACACTATTATCGTCTGGGTGACAATTATGATTTCGCCGTAAAAAGAATTTCAAAATGTTTCTACGAATCATACAAACATAAATGTGAAAAATTACACGTTAAAAATAAAACAGACCAAAGAAATATTATATAATTTACAATGATTACAATGATTCAATATTTATCTCCTTTTTAAAAACTGGTTTATTAATTTCTTACAATAATTCAAATCTTTATCTTCTCTTTAAAAACAGGTTTATTTATTCATTACAATGATTCAAATCTTTAATCTCCTTTTTAAAAACAGTTTTTTTTATTCATTACAAGTATTCAAATCTTATCTTATCTAGTTTGTTACCGGGGATTTTTTACTATGTCTTATCTAAAAAGATGGCTTATTTATTTCTTACAATCAATACTCCTTCTATAAAAAGCTTTATTTATTTATTATGAACAAATCAGACCAGGGCTCTCATCTCAGTTATATCCGTGACTAGCCATGGAACCTTAAATAGGACCTTATCTAGTTTGTTACCGGGGATTTTTTACTATGTCTTATCTAAAAAGATGGCTTATTTATTTCTTACAATCAATACTCCTTCTATAAACAGCTTTATTTATTTATTATGAACAAATCAGACCAGGGCTCTCATCTCAGTTATATCCGTGACTAGCCATGGAACCTTAAATAGGACCTTAAACTGACCAATACATGAAAAATAAATACAAGTATATATACAATCATGATATGCTGTGAAAATGAACAACCTGAAAACTTCCAATATAAAAAAAACAAAACACTTAAAGACACCAATCGTCATTTGTATTTCTCAGACAACATGTCATTCTTCTCGACTTAATCCACGCTGAAATATTCTCAGATTAATTATCCATCATTGAATTAGGAAAACTAAATCCAAATATTAGCAGCAGTTAATCTCCTGGTCACGTACAAACGGAGAATCAAATCCACGCCCCTTGACTAAATAATAGACCTTATGATGTAAAACACATGTGTTAGATCACTTAACCCCCCCCCCCTCCCCAGGACCCTTTAGTTCATATGGATTGATTGAAAAGTTCAGTGATCTGTTACTATGACTACAGTATATTGTAGTTTGCAGATTGAAAATCCCTCAAAGAGAGAGAGAGAGAGAGAGAGAGAGAGATGGGGTTTAACTCAACTCGATACAAACTATATCATTTCGGGACTACTAACATAAGGTTCAATTTTATTTTACTAATTTGCTTGTGCGTAGGGGGGGTTATATGTGGGAGAAAACCCACGAGGTTGAACAGGCGACCCTATTCTGTGTAACATACAAGCTGAGAATTGAAACCAGGTCACTTGATACAATAACTTGATACAATAACGTGCAACCCTTGAATGACAATAAGTGTCTTTAATGTTTACATTATATCTATACTTTTAATATCTTTTAAAATATCAGGATGTATTAAATGGATGTCGTATTGTAAAACAAAAATATATGTGTCATGAAAATTATTGCAACTTAAAAACCATTTACAAAACTAAATATCGAAACGAATGTGCCCTTTTTTTTTTAAAAAAAAAGACTCAGGTCTGGAAATAATACAGTAATGTTAGTTGTATCTTACAAAATGTGCGACACAACTGGTACATGACATTTCAAACAATTATGTAAGAGATGTATTAATAATATCAATAAAAATACAGATAAATCAGTGGCGTACAAAATAAGTTTGTTGTCAGGCACATTATCTCTAGTGTCTGACATTAGCCTTATTTTGTGCTTGACAGGTGCCTTAGGCCACATAAAAAAAACATCCTGGTTCTTAGATACCGCTGTCATTAAAAATGAGCCACGTCACATGTTTTTATTTTTAAACAAATAAAAATGAAAATTAATGTCAATAATTTACGCTTGTTCGGAAAAGAACACCTCCCACATCAATTTCTTTTTTTAAAAGGATTGTCTGAAAACCAGAATATTTTCTTTGTGTGGCCTTAATTCCAAGCTTGATAAAATGATTTGAGATACAGGGACCTTTTATGTTCTTTGCACGAATAGCGTCCCTTTACCTAAGATATATATCGGATAGGTGGATTTCCAGTTGCCCCGCTGAAGCTGACTAAAACACCGATTAATAATTTATAGTTACAATAATAGACAATCAGTTAAAACATGATGATATATATTTATATAGCCACTTGTATACAACCTGAATAACAATTAATTTAATAAGCTGAACGTCCCTTGAACATCATGGTATATAATTTATATAATATGTTGGAATTCTGCGACATGACAGTAACAAAGTATTAATACAAAACACAGCGGATATCAATCACTAGCAATTTATTGTTATTGCTTACCTTGAGCTTGTTTTGTATTAATTTGCTGTTTTACTATTCAGAGAGAGAGAGAGAGAGAGAGAGAGGGAGAGGGAGAGGGAGAGGGAGAGGGAGAGAGAGAGAGGGAGAGGGAGAGAGAGAGAGAGAGAGAGAGAGGGGGAGAGAGAGAGAGGGAGAGGTAGAGAGAGAGAGAGGGAGAGAGAGAGAGAGAGAGAGAGGGAGGGAGAGAGAGAGAGAGAGGGAGAGGGAGAGAGAGAGAGAGAGAGATGTGGTTTAACATGCACTCAACTCAAACATATGGTTCAATTTTATTTCAATAATGTGCTTTCACGTAGGGATCTTTAGCAGTGGGAGGAAGTACAACAAGGGAATCGAAACCATGCCAGTTGACTCAATGACAGACCTTGTGATACAACGCGTACATCTTAACCATTCGACTATCCCCCCACCCCCACCACACACTCCACCCCACACCATTTCCGTATTAAAGTTGCCAGTGATTGTTATCCATAAAGTTGTGTTTTATATTATTTCAATGTTTTCCTATCATTAAATGCCTTAAAAACAGTATAATCGTACAAGTCACAAATATCAGTCAAACATTTTCACTTTCAGTTTAGATCTTCGTAAAGTAGGCAGTCTCCCTGTCAATTATTAATTTGGTCAAATCGTAAGGAAGGGAATAGCTCAAGCTGCCTTTCCATCGTGTCGTACAAACGCCTTAAAACAGCATTTAACACACAGCAAATACGGAAGCTATTTATATCCCAGTCCTTAAGCCTGGGGCAGACAGGCTTTTTTTAATAGCAACATTGATAGCAACGTGCGCACATGTATAAGCAATTAGCGGGCGATGGTTCAGAAAGTGTTACTGCTGATCATGTGACTATTGGTAGTCAAAATGTCAGTCCTGTGTCCACATAAAAGTTTAGCTTGTACTGATTTTCCACACAAATATTGCTCCAAGAAAAATCGCTTTCTCTCGCATATATAGCAAATGATGTACGATTTCAGAACGATGAGCAATTTTTTGTCACCAACTACAAAAGCCGATATCTAATGTCATTGCAATGGCGCGCACAAAGGCCATTTTTTCTAGCAACATCGGGACAGGAATATGCTAGCCCTAAATGCAATTATTAGACTTGAACATTTATTTGTTGGTGTTAACATTTATTTGTTCGTGTAAGTAGGCTACTCAAAAATTTATTTTGAGGGATTCAATTTTTGACCGATATTTGTGCCTTGTGGTGTATACTGTAGAGATTTTATAGAAGATATGCTACGTAGTATCACCGAGATCTAAATCACTATCATCCGCATCAAAATCATCATGTAACGCGAACGATTTCAAACTGGAAGAACGACTTTTAGCTAAACATGGCTGACTACTCCTCTTTAACCTGAAATAAAAAACAAATTGCGTTAAAAATATTATTGGTGTCTAAATTTAAAACTAGTGTACATTAGTGCCCTTTTTCTTAAACATGTATACTATTCAAAAAAAGTAGGGGATATTTGATTTTTAAGTGTTATTAAAGTCACCTAATGAAACTGACCAAGAAACAAATGACAAAATGAAATGAAGTTCACATTCATCGATTTATTCCAAATGATCGTTAGACTAAGTAAGGCACAGACTGACCATTATAAGGGTAAAATGATACCCGGGTTACCACAGCATCACAACCAAGTCAGTAACGGGTAAATCCTCCTCTGTTTGCCAAACAAGCATTGATCCGACGTGGCATACTCCTAATGAGACGTCTAAGGTCATTTTGGTCCAGATTGTCCCATTCCTGTTGCAACACAGCAACAAGTTCTTGGACATTGGCAGGACGTTGTTGACACCTCTGTCCAAGCATGTCCCAGACATGCTCGATGGGGGAGAGGTCGGGACTCAGTGCTGGCCAAGGTAATGTGGTGATGTTCTGTTGTTGGAGGTAACCTGTAACGATCCTGGCCCTGTGACATCTTGCGTTGTCATCCTGGAAGATGAAACGGCGGCCATGACGTCGTGCGAACGGCACAACATGGACTGCCAAGATGTTGTCCCAGTAGTACTGGCCTGTAACACGCCCTGCAACAACATGTAAAGCCGTTCTTCCAGCAACAGTGATGCCTCCCCACACCATAACAGAACCACCCCCAAATCGATCATGTCTGATGACGTTAACGTCTTGGAAGCGCTCGTTTCGACGACGCCACACCCTCCTACGTCTGTCCAAAAAATCAACAGTGAACCTTGACTCATCTGAAAACATCACATTGCTCCAGCGTCGATTATCCCAGTGTTGACGATCCCTACACCAACGATGTCTTGCCTGAATGTGATGATCTCTCAAACAAGGGATCACATGAGGACGTCGGGCGCGAAGGTGACCCCTATGCAGTCGATTCCGAATCGTCTGGCCACTCACTCTCACACCAGTGTCTGTTTGAAGACGAGCGCTGATCTGATTTGCTGTGATGACACGATTTCTCAAGGCCAAGGTACGGATAAATCGATCCTGGGCTTAAGTTGTCGCCCTTGGTCGACCTGAGCGTGGTCTGTCCTGTACAGATTGTGTATCACGGTATCTGGACCATAGCCTGCTTATGACAGACTGAGAAACATTCATCGTCCGCGCCACAACCGCCTGTGTTGTGCCAATCTGTAGCATGCCAAGGGCACGTAACCTTTCATTTTGGGTAAGCCGACGCATATCAAAATTTGTTTTCTGGTCACTAAAACAATTAAACTGATGTTTCCACCCTGGAATTCAATGCCACAATGACTGTAACATTCAAAGTCAGAGTCGTGCAAATCTTGGGTTGGACCCCCATGATGATCCCAAGCATCACCTGCATTCCATGCGGTAGCTATTGGTGCGTTTGGGCGTCACATGTAACTGGAAATGTTTCTTCTGTTAGGTTCTATAGTGACTTTTTTCGTAGTCATTTGCATATTTTAGTATTATGCCCCCAAAATCAAATATCCCCTACTTTTTTTGAATAGTATATTATGCAAAAGCCAAATCTGCCTAATGCAGGTCTTTCGGTAGGCCTTAAATGTTATATAAATCATTAAATAGACATTTATTAACATAACAAGACTAAAATCAACTCTCAATGCTCTAGATTTTCAACAGATTTAAATAAGATTGGCAGATGCAGTTAATGATTTAATTTAAAAATGGATAATCAAGACTGTTTATTATTGTAACACCAGTAGCAATGACAATCGTGACTACACTGTTCTACAATCAACAACAATTCCGCTCAGAATGGAGTAATTTGACTGTAATTTTCAACATATTCCCTTTTCATTATCTATTTTTTAACTATTAACTGTCAGCTCTTTATTTAAATCTTACATAACGTACCTTTAAGACATGAGAATAAACGCTTATAGACTATCACTTTATGATCATTGATTATATATGATCGTTCTGTACGTGTAGCATTTCCACCTGATGCATAGACTTACCTTGATCAATCTGATCATTTTGTACCTGATTTATAGAATTACCTTGATTGGATATGATTATTCTGTACCTGATGTACATATAGACTTACCTTGATTGGATATGATCATTCTGTACCTGTAGCGTCTCCACCTGAGCTTGTAACTCATCATTAGTTCTCTGTAATTTACGCACATTATTGACCTGAATATCAACCTGAAAAAATATTACAAATAAATATTACAACATGACAATTGGAATCTATCAGAGCTTTATTAAACTTGCACAGGGCCTCTGGCAGGAAATATCACTGGGTCCCTTGTATCAAAAGTGAAATGGGGGCATAGTCTGGTCATTGTCCGTCACTCACAGAGATACAATTTGTATGTCAGTATGGCAAACATATACTACATAATAAATGACATTTATTTATGGTAAAAAAGATAATTTCAGAACTAATTTGGCTGCCCCTTTAATATTGGAGACCCCTGGCTGCAGCCCAGTCAGCCCCCCACCCGCTTTAATCCGGGCTTCAAATCTATCTTTATAATAATACCCACACATACAACATGACAAATTAATATATGTAGGATTTCCAAGAGAGATGGTTTTGAATTCACAAAATAAAATGGGATTTAACGTCCTACTGTTCTGCTCCAACTGGGCTAATGAAGAGGACATACCCCATACAGTGTGCTATGAGGCAAATTTTGTCCAGATAGCAATGCTATGGCCCATTCTTACATCAAATTTCAACTGCCAAGGGACCACTTAAATGACTTTAATTGACCTTAAAGGTGGCTATATGACAACCAGATTTGAAAAATCCTGAAGGTTCCGTTCAACCCATGCCAGGATTTGAACCCGGGAAGGAAAAATTACACTACCTCATCTTCTGAGTTGGCCAGATCTCGCTTTAACTCTTCAATTCGACTTCGTAATTTTTTAACTTCTAGTTCGTATTGTTCAGTACGTCGTTTGGTGTGATCTAATTCTGTTAATTTATCCTGATATGTTTTCTTCACTTTAACATGGATATGTTTCAGATCATTTAATTCCTACAAAATAAAAATAAAACAATAAAACAATATGATTGCAACAAAATAAAAATAAAACAATACGACTACAACAAAATAAAACTACGACAAAACAAAACTACGACAAAGCAAAACTATGACAAAATAAAATACGAGAAAATAAAACAACAACAAAATAAAACAATAAGACAACGACAAAATAAAACTATGACAAAATAAAACAATACGACTACGAAAAAATAAAACTACGAAAAAATAAAACAATAAAACTATGACAAAATAAAACTACAACACAATAAAACTACGACAAGGGGCGTACAATTTCCCAACTACATCCTGTATACAGATACCAACATATCTATAATACTATTAGAAATGGGGTTTAACGTCCACTCAACACAAACTAGGTCATTTTGGGACTAACACATGTTTCAATAATTCGCTAGTGTGTCAGGGTCTTTTAGCAGAGGGAGGAAACTAGAGGACCCAGAGAAAACCTACGAGGTTGGACAGGTGACCCTATTCCTGGTCACGTACAAGCCAGGAATCAAAACCACCACGCTTGACTCAATGACAGATCTTCTGATCCAACGCGCATGTGTTAACCATTTGGCCATTATATCACGTACATGTAGTCTATTAAACTACTGTATTATGATACATTAGTCCCTAAAGGCACCAGCCACAGGGCCCCCTCACATCGGCGGCCTGCGTAAAATGCAGGTTGGAAATGAGGAGTTCTGAACGAGTCAGAGTGGAGCTGATGTATTAACATATGATCAACAAAGGGGAGACAAATCTAGTCATACCTTGTGTTTCTCAGACAGTTCCATTTGTAATGTTTTCATGTCAGAATCCATTATGGCCGAGGTTTGTTGACTTTTCCTCTCCAGTTGTTCTTCTAAATCTTCCGCTTGACTTCGTAACTTTTTATTTTCGCGTTCTAGTGCTAATTTCTCTGTTTCCAGTCGCTCCCTTTTCGCCCACTCTGATGCATTTTCTGACTGAAGTCTTTCTAACTGTAAACACAACATTAATAAATAAATAAGTTTTCAAATCACCATAATTAATTGAAATGTAAAACATCTCAAAATAAATCAATGACATACTTGTGGTTGGATAGGAGAGAGTGAGAAATGGAGATCAATAATTCGCTGGCGCGTAGGTGTCTTTAGCAGTGGGAGGTCACCAGAGCACCCGGAGAAAACCCACGAGGATGGACAGGCAACCCTACTCCTTGTCACGTTCAACCAGGGAATCAAAACTACGCCAGTTGACTCAAAGACAAACATGATACAACGTGCACGCGCTAAACATTCGGCAACCATAGGGGGTGCCGAGCTGTCATAACTAAAAGAAATTAAGAACATCTTGAAGACAATGAGAATCAGTCGCCTACTTGGGGTTGGATTTGGGGGTTCGGGCTCGATCCCTTATTGTCACATTGCATGTAACATGGGATACCATATCATGTACAACTATGGGATGAAATTTAAACATCTTCCCACATTTCATGTCACCAAGGGTCATTGTTACACATTGAGTGTGATAATCTAACTTTTTATCACTAAATTCTATAAAAAGAATTTATGTTGTATTTGTACCTCTCTGCGTAATTCTGCTATCTTTTTATCGAGACCTGATCGAGTAGAACTTTCTTCGTCTAATTCCTGAGACAATCGACTGACATCATCTTTATGACTATCTTTCACTTTTGTTAACTGCAACATAATTGAAATATTAATATCAATTTCATAGTATGATATGTTGAAATATTAATATCAATTTCATAATATGGTATGTTGAAATATTAATATCAATTTCATTACAGGCTAAATCAAAGCGGTAAATGTACATTCACACCATGGACAAACTTAGTTGGCACCTGGAAAACTGAACAACAAAAATAAGAAAACAAGTAGACTTGGTCATTAACATTCTATGACCACTGGCAATCGGTGTATTATTGGTAATCAACAATTAAATACTAGTTATAAACACATTATGAGATAGTATCCGGAACCCTATGTTCCTGAAGCAACAACCGTGAGTTTTATAACAGCTATACATTGCCACACTATTTTGCAATTCCCTAACTACGTTATCTCCCTTTACTGCAGACAAGTGAACAGTCACGTCCAATCAGAGGTTGTGACACAAACACGCTGAAATCAAACACCTCCACGGAAACCTTGTTCAATTACAAACGCTACCATGTTATGTGGACACAAATTGAGTTCAATTACAAATGCTACAATGTTATGTGGACATAAATTGAGTTCAATTACAAATGCTACAATATTATAGTGGACATAAATTGAGTTCAATTACAAATGCTACCATGTTATAGTGGATCAAAATTGAGTTCAATTACAAACTACTACATCTGTTGGAATACTATTGAAAGTTATATTCACAGTTCTAGAAATGAATGATACAAGTTTATTAACAAAAGTGATATGCTCTGAAATAAGAATTGCATACCAAAAACCTGGGATAAAAAAATGTCCCAAACTAGACTCTAGATCTGAACTACATGTATACCTTACAATGTACTTCTGATTTTCACACAATAAAGATATACATATCATATTCATCGTATTCATGCATGCAAATAATTATTTCTCTTACATTTACTGTTATTCTCTGTTTCATTATCAAATGTTTCAGGCATTAAGATGTGTTAAGTCATGCAAAACCATATCAAGAACTCATTGATAAAAATTCAATAATATATTACAACATTTTTATGTGAATACCACTAAACATCGCTTGCATTTCGCTGATAATTTATATTTTTTCATGGCTAAATTCATGCTCAATTACATTCATATTCATTATTTAAACATGCATTATGCAAGAGCTAAATCTGCCTATTGCAGGTCTTTCCTTAGGCCTGAAATGTTTACTACATTATTAATTAGACATTAATCAACTTATCAAGATCATAATCAACTCTTGATGTCATTGTTAGCCTGCGATATTTAGTGGATTTGAATATGTTTTATGATGGATGATTTAACGTAAAGATAGGTTGCCAGGCAACAAAACATACGCCCACAGCAGCTAAATCGTCCCAGCGGTCGTCAAGGGTTGTCGCATATTTATTTCTTTGTAGGTAATTGGGGGCCTTTACAAGACAGTTCCATACAGATCAGATTATAAATTTTGTCGTTTGAGGGTTTACAAGGTTCTACAAACTGAAACAAGGGTCTCAACTCTGGAAGTAATCTACAGAAATTGTTGAAATTTGACAGGCTTTTTCATTTTACTAATTTAAATAATGCATATAAATTTCATACAGATCACATGATCACTTTTGTCATTCAAACGTTCACAATCGCGATAACTCTAGAAATTATTGACGGAAATTGCTGAAATTCAATAGACCTGTTTCACAAATTTAAATGATGCATATAAATTTCATACATATCGGATGATAATATCATCAATCGAGCATTAACAAGGTTTAACAAAGTGAAACAAGGGAAATAACTCTAGAAGTAATTATTGTAAATTGCTGAAATTCAATAGGCTTTTTCGTTTCACTAATTTAAATCATGCATATAAATTTCACAAAGATCGGGTGATAACTTTTTGCGTTAGAGCGTTCACAAGGATCAATAAAGTGAAACATGGGCCATAACTCTAGACGTAATAAACGGAAATTGCTGAAATTCAATAGGCTTCTCCGTTTCACTAATCTAAATAATGCATATAAATTTCACAAAGATCGAATGATAACTTTTGGCTTTGGAGCGTTCACAAGGTTCAATAAAGTGAAACAAGGGCCATAACTCTAGACGTAATAAACGTAAATTGCTGAAATTCAATAGGCTTCTTCGTTTCACCTATCTCAATAATGCATGTAAATTTCAGAAAGATCGGATGATAACTTTTGGAATTATAACGTTCACAAGGTTCAATAAAGTTAAACAAGGGCCATAACTCTAGATGTAATAAACGGAAATTGCTGAAATTCAATAGGATTATTTGTCTCACTAATTTAAATAATGCATATAATTTTCAGAAAGATCGAATGATAACTTTTGATGTTAGAGCGTTCACAAGGATCAATTAAGTGAAACAAGGGCCATAACTCTAGACGTAATAAACGGAAATTGTTGAAATTCAATAGGCTTCTTCGTTTCAGTAACCTAAATAATGCATATAAATTTCAGAAAGATCAGATGACAACTTTTGACGTTAGAGCGTTCACAAGGATCAATAAAGTGAAACAAGGGCCATAACTCTAGACGTAATAAACGGGAATTGCTGAAATTCAATAGGCTTCTTCATTTCAGCAATCTAAATAATGCATATAAATTTCAGAAAGATCGGATGATAACTTTTGACGTGAGAGCGTTCACAAGGATCAATAAAGTGAAACAAGGGCCATAACTCTAGACGTAATAAACGGAAATTGCCGAAATTCAATAGGCTTCTTTATTTCAGTAATCTAAATAATTCATATAAATTTCAGAAAGATCGGATGATAACTTTTGGCGTTAGAGCGTTCACAAGGTTCAATAAAGTGAAACAAGGGCCATAACTCTAGAGGTAATAAACGGAAATTGCTGAAATTCAATAGGCTTCTTCGTTTCACTAATTTAAATAATGCATGTAAATTTCAGAAAGATCGGATGATAACTTTTGGAGTTAGAGTGTACACAAGAAATTGTGGACGAAATTGCTTCAAGTGACAATCAGTGGCCTTAAAATAATTTCAAATTTTATAAACAACATTTACAACATCAGCTTAACATGCGCTTTCAAAAAAAAAAAATCCTAATGATAAAAAAACAAAACAAACTAGGAAATAAAGTAGTACTTTCTTATAAAAGTCAGTCCATTTTTTACATATGGAATATTATCCTTAAATAGCAAGATATTTTTTTTGAAAAGAATATGACAATTTTTAGCATTATTACAATTTGATATTTTACACATAAAACTACAAATTTAACTGTATCGGGTATTTACGTTGTTTTAAGGTTAAATTCTTTATAATTCTAATTTCATGACATGTAAATTGACTGACAGGTTGTTTGTCTAAGAGATCAATTTCACAGTCAGCCAATCAAGTCTGGTAAATACATGTATAACTGAAACAAGAAACCTGAAAGAAATTCTTCACAAACAGATCTACAAACACACACACATAAAATTATATATGGGTTGCCAGGCAATGAAACATACACCCACAGTAGTAAAGTCGTTCGAGTAGTCCACTAGGGTTGTCGCATAGATATTCTTTGGAAATGAAATGAAATGAAATGAAATGAAATGAAATGGGGTTTAACGTCCTACTGTTCTGCTCCTATACTGGGCAAATGAAGACGGGCATACGCCATACAGTGTGCTATGAGGGAAATTTTGCCCGGACAGCAGCACTATCGCCTACTCTTATATCGAATTCCAACTGCCAGGGGATCTTTACGTGCATTCCAATATATACAGGGGACCTCGGTTTTCCGTCTCATCCAAAGGACTAGACAGCTGTTCTTGTTAGGCCCTCTGTTCTGCACCACTGACAAGGGGAAATCACATCGGAAAAATATTCTTTGGAAGTTACATACATATATGTAATGGGGGCATTAAAAAACCCCACTAAAATTAGTCAATTCATGAAATTTGAATGACTTCTAGTTCTTCCTAGGGCCAAAGTTTATTGTACAAAATATGTACTAATAACACAATTTAAAGTCAATTGGATGATAACTTGGGTCTCTAGTCTCTGGAGCATTTAGAAGAATTTAGAAGTGATCAAGGGCCATCACTTTGGCAGGCACTTGTGGACGACAGATCGATCAATTTACGGACAGAGTGATGGACAGATGGGTGTGACAACAATATACGACCAGATTTTCAAATAGATGTATAAAAATGTACTCAGAAAAGAAAAATTTCAACAATAAAACAAGATGCATATTTTGAGTAAATATTGGTTTTAGTTCTCACCCCAGCTACTCCGATGTGAGCGAACTCACCATCCGAGCTATCAATATCAATATCATCATATTTATCCTACATATCCACGATGGCATTAAAAAGGGAAATAGTTTTGTTATCATACATAAAAATAAGTCAAGAGCCTCGCCATCCATTAAAAAGTGAAATAGCTTTGTCATAATACAGAAAAACATGTCAAACCTCTCCATCCATTAAAAAAATTAAATATTTTTGTTATAAAACAGAAAAAAAAGTCAAGCCTCTCCATCCATTAAAAAAATTAAACATTTTTGTTATAATACAGAAAAAACAAGTCAAGCCTCTCCATTAGTTTCTTAAAGTTGGTTTCATGAGAGATTAAAATCCACTTGACACAAACTAACTAGGTTGTTCCTGGATTAACACATGGTTCAATTTTATTTCAATAATTCATAATTCGTTTGCATGTGGGGGTCTTTAGCAGTTGCAGGACACTTGAGAACCCAGAGAAAAGATACGATGCAACGCGCATCCACTAACCATTCGGCCATCCAACCCCCACTTAGATACATCATGTAAGTCAAAGTTGTGTATAAGACGAATGATTTTTAATTCTGTGGCGAAAGACCAGAGTGTTATCATAATCAATTACTATGCCAATCAGTTTCTATAGTAAGCTTGTTTTCGTGTTTAGCCTACTACTTAGACAGAAACCGGACCCAAGCAAACATAACTTTCTAAATACTAAACAGAACTGAACCATTTTTGGACTAGTATTACTATTAGAGATTTGTCTTTTATAATATTGTAGTTTGCAAGGGATTAATATTGGGCTAAAATCACACAATGAGACTTCAATGAACTGATGATGTAATATGTACTTACATGTATACACATGTGCAATATGAAATATATGCACCTCTGCATGTATATAAGAGATATGAAATGAAATGAAATGGGGTTATGAATACAGGCACATGCCTTCCAGTTTGCTATGAGGGAAATTTCTACCCGAACAGCACCGCTACAGCCTACTCTTATATCGAATTCCAACTGCCAAGGAATCTTTTACGCCAATAAATAAACCTGTACATGCATAAAAGAGATATACATATAAACAATATATTATATACCTCTAAATAGGCTTCTTGTTTCTGTTTTTTGATTTCTTCGTATTTAGATTTTAACGACGTTAGTTCAGCTTGTAATTTAACCATGGATTCCGTCACCTCGCATTTCTCTCTGTAAAAATAAAATAATCAAAAATATTCACCAGATGATCAGATGCTGAATGAACTCAATTACAACAACGATGAATTAACTCAACAACAACAACGATGAATTAACTCAACAACAATGATGAATTAACTCAACAAAAGCGATGAATTAACAAAATTACAACGACAAATTAACTCAATTACAACAATGAATTAACTCAATTACAATGACGAATCAACACAATCACAACAACAAATCAAGTCAATCACGATGAATCAACTCAATTACAATGAATTAACTCAGCAACAACAATGAATTACAACAATGAATCAACTCAATTACAATGACGAATCAACTCCATCGCAGCAACGAATCAATTCCATCGCAGCAACGAATCAACTCAACCGCAGCAACGAATAAACTCAATCACAATGAATAAACTCAATCATGATGAATAAACTCACAATGAATAGACTCAATCATAATGAATAGACTCAATCATAATGAATAGACTCAATCACAACGAATAAACTCAATCATGATGAATAAACTCACAATGAATAGACTCGATCGTAATGAATAGACTCAATCACAATGAATAAACTCAATCACAATGAAAAAACTCAATCATGATGAATAAACTCAATTAGATGAATAACCTCAATCAAGATGAATAAACTCCATCACGATGAATAAACTCAATCACAACCACGAAGACAATGAATATGTAAAAATAATGAAATGGAATGTTTAATGTCAAACACACTATTTTGGCTATTTTGAGACAAATTTGGGGTATATTTTAGTTGTATGGTTAAGTGTATAATGGGGTTTAATGTCCACTCGACACAAACCATCTCATTTGGGGACTAACACATGATTTAATTTGATTTCAATAATTTGCTTGCACGATGTGTCTTTAGCAGTGGGAGGAAAGCGGAGCACCCGAAGAAAACCCATGAGGTTGGACAGGCAACCTTACCCCTTGTCAAGTACAACTGGGGAATCAAGTCCATGCCAGTTGACTCAATGACAGACCTGATGATACAACGGACATGCTAACCATTCAGCCATCTAACCCACCTCCTGACACAATAAGTTAACAACTTGATCACTGTCCTACCATAGAATCTCTGACACAATAAGTAAACGGACTGAAAAATTCAATCTCAATCTCATTGAGTTTACCTTTTCTCTTGTTCTATTATTTTTTCTGATTCTTCAAGTTGAAGTGACAAACGTGGCAGAAGATTACTGACGTCACTAGAATTATTTTTATTATTACATGACGTCGTACTGTCAACACTGTCTTTTCTATCTTTTTCTACAGCATTTGAAGAGCTGTCCATTTTATCGTTAGACGTACTAATATCTTCCACATCCTTTTCCGTGTCGTCCATTTCAGATTTTTTCTCCTTCGAAGATCCTCCGTTATTCAAATCTTCTTCCTTCACAGAACTACTAGCGGAGCTTCTGCCATCCTTTTCTAGAGACCTAAGTTCTAACTGCTGTTTTAAACGATCATTTTCTGCCATCAAGTCGTGGCGATCACGCTTCTGTAAAGTCAGTTCCTTAACGATGGCTTCTAACTTTGATCGTAACTGTCTGTTTTCTTCCCGAGCTTTGTTTCGTTCGTCTCGCGCCTTGTTCCACTTTTCCCGCCAATTACCCGTGCAGTCGGACCACCATCGCATAGTTTTTTCCATCTGGGCCGCCCGTGATTTAGCTTCCTCAAGTTCACGAAGGAGCATTTCATCACGATCGTTAAATTCACAATCAGCTAATGAAATATTAGACATGGGTGTTGAGTTCTTTTCGCGATTGCCCGTGGGCGACAACGGTGCCATTGGTAACGACCCTGTATTATTTGCACTGGTAGCTCGGATATACGACACGTCACCGCCCTTTCCATGAATGGGCGGCCCACGTTGACTCATTGCAAGACCTTATATAGAAATGATTGCTGGTTATATCTTCTCCATAATAGCAGACGTCGTAAATAATTCACACCAGATCTGTAATGAGAGAAAAATATAGCTTTCAATTAAAACAGTTCGCCATTTAAAAATGGGAAAGATAGGGTAAGTCCTGAATATACCAGTGCCCTGGTTACCACTATGCAGACTTGTCAATACTACAAACAATAAATGAAGCAATTTGAATGAAATTTCCAATATTTTCTTTTTTTATCAACTATTTTTGAATTATTATAGCAAGAATGACCAACTCTTTATTAAACTCTTAACTAATGTATCCTTAAGCTGAGAAATGAAATGAAATGAAATGGGGTTTAACGTCCTACTGTTCTGCTCCTATACCGGGCTAATGAAGACGGGCATACGCCATACAGTGTGCTATGAGGGAAATTTTGCCCGGGCAGCGGCACTATCGCCTACTCTTATATCGAATTCCAACTGCCAAGGGATCTTTTACGTGCATTCCAATGTATACACGGGACCTCGGTTTTTCGTCTCATCTAAAGGACTAGACAGTTGTCCTTGTCAGGCCCTCCGTTCTGCACCACTGACAAGGGGAAACCCTGTTTAAGCTGAGAACACAGTGTAACAATCAATCTGATTAAAACACAGATCCTATTTCGTTTTGTTTTTTATAGTTCAAAATTTCATTTTACTTGTCTTTACTACACTAGGATCTAGAAGAGTTGTTATATAACCAGCGTTCTGGATGATGTGAGGGATTAGCCAATGAACAGTCTGTTACGGCGAGTTTTTGGCGTGAGGTGCACAGAACTGTGTGTAACCCACTAGAAACATCAATGCTGATTCGTTAATCAAATGTCTGATGCCATAGGGTCAAAAGCCGCTCGTATGACCTGTGACGTGACCTTCTAGATTGGTTTTAAGGTTGTTTAAAATTCTAATTTTACGACAGGTAATTTGACTGTCAAAGATCAAGGGCCTATCAGTCTCCTACATATATATGCTTATTATTATTTTGAACAGCAGGTCTTAAATTATGCATACTACATTTGTAAACTTTGAAAGTAAATATGTGAATGGGAAAACAAACTCTGCAGTATGCGGTTCTTCCTTATGATCCAACCTTGTGGATTTTCTCTTCCGGGTCCTCCGGTTTCCTCCCACTGCTAAAGACCCCTACGTCAAGCGAATTATCAAAATAAAATTGAACCTTATGACCTATTTTGTGTCAGACATTAAACTCTCTCCCTCTCTCTCTCATTCTCTTTCTAATCCAATGAACAATCCCACAAAGATTTAAAATATTCCATAGTTGGAGCATGGATTTTCAATTTGTTCAGGGTTCATGATCCGGTGACCAATTCCTGAGATTTCGAAAAACTGTATTGTATTGAGTATTGACAAGGAAAGTTTGACAGACCAATGGACACAGGTGATGACAATTAAATGTGGGAGTATAAAATTCATATCTATCTCAGACCGAATGGAGAGCTGCCATGGCTCAGTGAGTACATTTAAGGCCCTGGCTCGCTAACGAGGAAGTCTGAGGTTTGATAACGAGGAAGTCTGAGGTTCGCTCAGGATTTTCTGGTATGGTTTCCCTTTGTCAGTGTTGAGGGATGTGACAAAAAGTAAGGTCTGTCTAACCAATGTCAGCCTCTCTCTTTTTCTCCTTTGTCAATCTCTTTGTAATAATTTTGAACAATGCCTGTCGACATACAAACATGTGTACATACATGTGTATATCTACATGTATATAAAGTTCTATGGTGATCTTATTCGGGACAAATATTGACAGAGTGAGGTGAAGGTCAAAGGTCATCTGTTGTTAATTAAGAACAGGTGGCGTCAGTAGCAAAGAATTCAAATGGGACAAAACAAAACATCAAGGTTCACCTGTGAAGGTACACATTTGTGTACATGTAAAAGTTTGTTGAAGGATAGACAAAAAACTGCTGTCTGGGCAAAATGTCTCTCTTACATGTATATTACACTGTAGTCTGATTGGCACAGAAAAGGAGAACTATAAAAAGTCAGAGAAAGAGAGAGAGAGAGAGAGAGAGAGAGAGAGATGGGGTTTAACTGCATGGAGAACTGACATCTTTATGAACCCAGATGAAAATGTTGGTATATAATGTAACTAGACCGGTGTTACATGTAGAGACAAGACTTGATGAATTATTAAATGAGTGAATTAATGTACATGTAGTATATACATGTTAGACTAGTAGATTATACATGGTTATCAACAGAATCAATAACTCCCACAATATTTCCATCATGTTTATACACCAGTAATATACTGATCAATACATAGAGACCACGAAAACTTGTTGGGGAATTTTACCAAAAATTTGAATAAAATTAATAAAATTGCAGTCATTGTTTTTTAAGGCGAGCGATTGCTCTCTAGCACCCTCAGCTCTCCTGAATGGCGATTGAGGGGAGTTTTTCTCCCTCTCCTTAAAATTGAAAATCGCTCTCCTTTACAAAGTCATGGGGGTTTATTATCATTTATGAATCCAGAAATGACCCCGCTAACATGCAGTAAGTTGTTGATCTTTAGAACCATTTCCCATACACACAACTAATCACTCTCCTTAATATCACATCACTTTCCTTAATTTCTAAATCATTGTTCTTATTGCAACTGGGAGAGCTTTTTTAGGGGAGCGATTTTGTCAGTTTGTTCATTAAGGGGAGCTTTTTACGGTTCTCCTCTAAAATACAAACAACAACAACTGACATTGACGACCTAACAAACCCACCCACCCAACTGGATGAGTAAAAACTTACAAGGAACAGTGTCGAACAGCGACACCGGGAAGTAGACTAGCTAACATCAACCTCACAAACTTAAAACCAAAACAACGACATGATGACAGCCATTGGCAATGACCAGCGTTCCATGTTTGGCACACGACAACAAATGCCACATCAAATATACCAAGCTTCAAAAAGTCAACAGAGTTCTTGGTTGACTAAATTTGTATTGATTGGGTCCCTTCGTTGGGTTTGTTTGAGAGACAATCACCTGACTTGAGTCATTTAGTCGTGTATATATGACAAACTGACATTATGACTGACGAAGCAATTTATAAATACACAAAAAACATCATTTTTTTTATTAAATAGACAAGGAAGATAATATTTGTGTGTTTCGTTTCAGCACATACATGAAGTAGCAAGATTTTCTTTGATGGAAAATAACTGACAAATGTAGTGGCAGTTGTCATGGTGTCTGGTGATCATGTGAATTTGAACAAAAATTAACAAAACAATCAGATACATTATTGATAATAAAAAGCCTATTATGACTTTCATCAAAACAATTTCTCTTAATTAAATGATGTATGAATCGAATGTCATTGACTCATTCTAGATCGAAATCAGTTAATTGGAGCTGTTTTTTCATTTGTTATTACATTTCACACGGTAATGGTTGACTACACAGGTTAGAAAACCTGACTTGTAAGTACGAGATGTTATTTAATAATAATGATAATAATTAATTTATATAGTGTCGACAATATAAAGTTGAGATCCTAATATGGCATTTACTAATTGAACATATGATATAAAACACAAATTTATATGAAAAACAATCACTGGTTTTATTTCACACTACGTTTCAACAAGTTCCTCTTGTCGTTCTCAAGTATCATCCAAAATATTCGACATGAATTATTTGTCAATTTAAATCAACACTGATGTTCTGATCTTACCGGGAAAAGATGGTCTTCTGATATCCAATATCTAAGACAAAATAAACATTTTACCATTGGTACACGAATTGTGTACCATAATCTGTATCAGTGCCATTTGTAACAAGGGACTCGAACAATGAGGCTACACATATTCCACAAGTCATGTCAAACGGTGATGCCATATTTTTATCTGGAGAGCATGTGCAATAAATTGATGCCATATTTTTATCTGGAGAGCATGTGCAATAAATACTATCAGTGTAGACTGAAATAACCAGACGCTAGAGATTGCCATGTATATTTCGCCGAACATAACTGATTTGAAATTAGAGTAAAAATGGAAACCACTGAAAGTAAATCAGTTCATATACATTCATATTACATTATTATATGCGTTGCGACCCATTTGTGTCAATTTCTAGGTCCCAAATATTAGAGATCTAGCTCCTTTAAAACCCATTTGATTTTAAATTAAGGAAGGCCCTAGATCCCGGGTAGTATATGATAATTAGGTTAATTTATTGCTAATTTACTGAAATATATTTTTGAAAACATAATACAAATGTAAAGTGAAAAATAACTACAAACAGATCAAGAAATGGAAATATATGTTGTTGTTTTTTTTAATTTATAAGTCACGGCACGCGAATACGTCAAATCCATTATTATAAATTCTTTATTTATACCGTTTACTGGACTTCTGCATAGAATTTTAACAACTGCCGTTATATTACGATCGTTAATAAAAATTCAGCAACAATGTTGCAATATTGTGTTTATTTACCTCGTCAACTGTGCATTATACTGTATATTCCATACCTTTATTTCACAATATCTGGAATAAAACCCCGGTATATCTTCACTTTAATACAATATATCACAGACTTCATTCAAGACGTCAACATGGCCTTCTAAATCTCCAGGTCAAACGGGATTATCCGAGATTCTGTGAGAGTATAAATATAGGTCACTGTGTCAATTTATGATTCGATTATCAAGATTTCTTTTTGATTAATTAAATATCTTATTCTGAAAGAAAAAAGGAAACACACTAAAACTTATTTATGATAAAATGGTCAGAAATAATGAATCGCATTCTGACTCGGCGAATCAAATTTTGGAAATATATATTATAAATATTATATTTTAAATGGTAGCTTTGAACAATAGGTACTTCAGAATATGAACTATGACCCCTGAACCCTGTGTGACCCTGCAACAGACTGTGCACTGTGACACTGATCCACGAGTGAAGTCCTTGATATTAGTTTAGTTTATTTTATTATACCCACTTGTAATATTTCTAGGACAAGACAACATGGCAACTGATGGCAGGCTAGAAGAAGTAAAGGCGCTGATTACGGCCCATCATGATTTCCCCAAGAAAGGAGTCTGTTTCAGGTATATATATAATAATAACATGCCAATGGCAATGCAGTCTCAGAGTCAGTCAGTCTGTATGCCATGATGGTACTTTTATTTCATTTAGCAATCGTTTATGTTTGACGTCACTCTTTAAAACATATGAATTGATTTAATGTTATGTTATCGGGTTTAGGGTTAGGATTCGGGCCTATTTCTGGCGTGGTTCCCCCTTGTTAGTATACTACTAGTGCAGGACATAGGGCCCGGCAAGGGACAGTGTATAGTTGTTGGGATAGGACAGAAAACCAAGGTCACGTAGATTGGTGTGCAGGTAAAAGGTTATAAACCCTTGGCACACTAAATGGTATATCACACTAAATGGTATATTCTCGTCTTCATTAGGACTTTAAAACTAGAATATGTATTATTTTTTCATATTGATAACAATCTTATTAAAACACAGATCCTATTTTGTTTTGTTTTTTATAGTTTAAAATTTCGTTCTTTTTGTCTGTACTACACTAGGATCTGGAAGAGTTGCTATATAACATGCGTTCTGGATGGCGTGAGGTATTAGCCAATGAAACCATCTGTTACGGCGACTTCTTGGCATGCCTTACACAGAAATGTAGGTAAACCACTAGAAACGTCAACGCTCATTGATTAATCAATGTCTGACATCATAGGGTCAAAAGCCGCTTGTACGACCTGTATTTTAATCAGATTGTATTGATAAGATCTCCGCGGTGTTGTTGACATTTGTAATTAGTAACATGACATCGTTATAAACTTTATAATCTATATTTGTGTAGTTTAAACATCTTTTAAATATGCAGGGCTTGCTAACCTAGAGGTCCTGTGTTCGATCACTGTGTTTGCTGAGAAAGTTCATGAGGGATGTGGGTTTTCCGGCGTGGTTCCTCCTTGTCAGTGGTGCAGGACCAAGGGCCTGGCAAGGGATAATGTATAGTTGTTTGGATGGGACGAAAAACCAACAGGGACCCTTGACAGAGATAGAATTAGAAATAAGAGTAGACCGTAGTGACGCTGTCCAGGCAAAATTTCCATCATAGCACACTGTAGGGCATATGGCAGTCTTCATTAGCCCGGTCGGAGCAGAAAAGTAGGACGTTTAACCCCATTTCATTTCATTTCATTTCATTTCCTCCTACAAGACAAAGGAACATGTTTAGAGTTTAGAGTTTCTCATCATTTGTATTATTCAGGAGTCACGGTGGCTAAGTGGGTAAGACGCTGGCTCGCTAACCTTGAGGTCGGTTCTTCGATCCCTGCATTGTCCGAGAAAGTTCATCCAGATTTTATGGCGTGGTTCCCCCCCTTGTCAGTGATGCAGGACAGAGGGCCTGACAAGGACAGCTGTCTAGTCATTCGGATGAGATGGAAAACCAAGGTCCTGTGTACACATTGGCGTGTACGTAAAAGATCCCTTGACAGTTGGAATTCGATATAACAGTAGGCCGAAGTGCCGCTGTCTGGGCAAAATTTCTCTCATAGCACACTGTATGGCGTATGCCCGTCTTCAATAGCCCAGTTTGGAGCAGAACAGTAGGACGTTAAACTCCATTTTATTTTGTATATTTCAGGAATATATTCCCAGTGTTACGGGATCCGAAAGGTTTTAAGACATTATGTGATTTGATGGTTGAACACATCCAATCGAAATGTTCGAATGTGGAGCTTATTGTCGGTCTTGATTCAAGAGGGTTTTTATTTGGACCAATCATAGCCCAGAGATTAAACATTGGTTTTGCTCCGGTAAGAAAAGCCGGGAAGTTACCGGGCGAAAAGTTTAAAGTCAGCTATTCTTTAGAATATGGTCAGGTAATAAAAATACGGGATTGAACAAGTTAAATTTGTTTCGTTTTCTATATTCTTGGGTGGAGGGGGTGGATGGCCGAAATGGTTAGCATGTGCGCGCTGTATCATAAGGTCTGTCATTGAGTCAACTGGCGTGGTTTCAATTCCCCGGTTCTATGTGGCAAGGACTAGGGTGGCCTGTCCAACCTCGTGGGTTTTCTCAGGGTCCTCCAGTTTCCTCCTACTGCTAAAGACCCCTATGCGCAAGCGAATTATTGAAATAAAATTGAACCATGTGTTAGTCCCGAAATGAACTAGTTTGTGTTGAGTGGACGTTATAGTTCGCACGGGATAAAAAAAAAAACGAGGTCCCAGTACACATTGGCGTACACGTAAAAGATCCCTTGGCAGTTTGAATTCGATATAAGAATAGGCCATAGCACTGCTCTCCGAACAAACTTTCCCTCAAAGTGCAAGTACATTTTAACTTGCATTTTGTAACCAAATGGTCGCCTGTCCAACCTCGTGGGTTTTCTCCGGGTCCTCCTGTTTCCTCCCACTGCTAAAGACCCCTATGCGCAAGCGAATTATTGAAATAAAATTAAACCATATGTTAGTCCCGAAATGACCTAGTTTGTGTCGAGTGGACGTTAAACCCCATATCTCTCTCTTGCAACCAAATACTGTTGAAAACATGTAAATACCGATCAACAATTCTAATATTTTATGGTGTTATTTATTACAGGATAGTTTTGAAATAGAGAAGAATTCTGTGAAACCGGGACAGAAAGTGGTGATTATTGATGATCTTATAGCTACAGGAGGTACACAAATTACATGTTCAATATCTACTAGTTTTATCAAAAAGGGCAGCAAAATTTTATTTGCTATGTCAATAAGGCCTTGTTTCCATGTTTCCATAAAGTCTTGTCTAATGCAGATGTAATGGGACCATTTCCACATAACCTGTGAAAATGCTTGTGGAAACGCCACGAAAATGCGTAATTGGAAAACTGGCTGAATCACTTCTGCTGGTTAATTCGACTATAGTCTTGAAAATAGTCTAAATCTACTTCCTTGATGAAAGCAATCTGATTAAAATACAGATCTATATTTCGTTTCGTTTTTTTATATCGTCGATGGCCTACACTACATGAAGATCTGACAAGTTATAGTGGGAGTTCACATCAGGTGTCAAATGTGCGGCTTTTGACCCTAGGATGTCAGACATTGATTAATCAATCAGAGAAATGGGGTTTAACATCCACTCGACACAAACTAGGTCATTTTGGGACTAACATATGGTTTAATTTTATTTCAATAATTCGCTTGCGCGTAGGGGTCTTTAGCAGTGGGAGGAAACTGGAGGACCCGGAGAAAACCCACGAGGTTGGACAGGTGACCCTACTCCTTGTCACGTACAACCGGGGATTCGAAACCACGCCAGTCGACTCAATGACAGACTTTATGATACAGAGCGCGCACGCTAACCATTCAGCCATCCAACCCCCCTAAGTTATATGAGAGGTGGACTGATTCTAGTATATTGTATATTACAGGAAGTATGAAGGCAGCATGTGAACTGATAGAAATGGCTGGTGCTGATGTGGTCGAATGTTATCTTGTAATAGAACTTGTAGATCTTAAAGGAAGAGATAAAATAAACAAACCTGTCACTTCATTAATTCAATATTAATATCATTAATAACACCCATCAAAGGTCAAAGGTCAATCTAGATAGAACCATTATATGATTTGGCGAATGCCAAATGTTCACAAATTTTCAATAAATTTTGGATTGAATTTTCTTTTAAAGATTCAAGCAGTTCGGTGGTCGAATGGTTAAAGTGTCGTTGGATCATAATGTCTGTCATTGGGTGGTTTTGATTCCCTGCTTGTGCATGACATCGAATAGGGTTGCCTGTCCAACTTTGTGGTCCTCTGGTTTCCTGCCACTGCTAAAGCCCCCTGTGTGCAAGCAAGGGAATCATTGAAATAAAATTGAACCACATGTTAGTTCCGAAATGACTTGATATGACCATCATAAAACATATGTAGGGTTGCTATAAGCCAGTTGCTCCCAATTTGGTCCAGGGCTAGGGCAATCTAGTCTTGTAAAACAGCATTCATTTCACTTAAACAAATCTTTGCTGTGAATTCGGGGGCCGGTCCAAAATGTTCACAATCGGGCCACAGAGCTCCTAGGGTCAGCCCTGAACATGTGCACCCTGATATTTTCTAATATTTTCTGGGCCACCAGAAGGCATATAATTTGACTTGTGAATGCAAGAATTAATAAATTGAATGAGCATATGAATTTGAAAAAACTGAATTTTGAACAGAAAATGATACACCTGCTTACCATTGTTTTTAGTGATTAACCTTTGACCTTATGTTGACCTGATGAAGGTCATGTATTCTGCTTGACTAGATATTAATCATTTCCAATCTAATATACTGTAAGCAATATACTGATAGCAATATTTAATTATTTATATTTATAGCATTATTATGCTCAAAAGCGGTAAGGGCAATAGACAGTTTACTCAAATCTAGACAGTTTATCCAATTCTAGACGGTTTACCCCAGTCTAGACAGTTTACCCCAGTCTTGATAGTTTACTAAGTCTAGAAAGATTACCCAGTTTAGATAGTTTGCCCCAGTCTAGACAGTTTACCCCAGTCTAGACAGATTACTCAAGTCTAGATGGTTTACCCAATTCTAGACAGTTTAGACAGTTTACCTGAGTCTAAAAGTACATGTATAATTTAAATTAGACCCTACTTTTAATTTTTTGTTTGTTAGTTGTATTTACACTACCTTAAGATCGAACATCATCATTAACAAGTTTGTACCTGACCTGACTTGACCCCTCATATAGCCAAAGAAATATTTAAATTTTACATAAATCTGATTTTAATTCGATTCAATTTCAAACTTCACAACATGATAATGAATTGAATATTATTATAAATTGTTTCAATGGCATTTAGTAATTAGAATACACAGGTCACATTTCTATGGAATACAATTACTGGGGTACTGTTTATTATTGACCATTCCCCAGTTCTACATGACAAGGAGTAGGGTCACCTCTCCAACTTCGTGGGTTTTCTCTGGGTCCTCCGGTTTCCTCCCACTGATAAAGACCTCTACGCGCTAGCGAATTATTTAAATAAAATTGAACCATATGTTAGTCCCGTAATGACCTAGTTTGTGTTGAGTGGAGGTTAAACCTCCCCCTCTGTCTCTCTCTCAACTAGACTTCTCCTGTCATTATCAAGCAATGTTTCTCAGTAATAATCAGTGATTGTATTCCATCGTGACCTGTGAATACAACCTGATTAAAACACAGATCCTATTTTGTTTCGTTTTTTTAAAGTTCAGAATTTCATTTTACTTGGGGAATCACGTGGCTAAGTGGGTAAGACGTTGGCTCGCTAGCCTGGAGGTCGGGTGTTCGATCCCTGCATTGGCCGAGAAAGTTCATCCAGATTTTCCAGCGTGGTTTCCCCCTTGTCAGTGATGCAGGATGGAGGGCCTGACAAGGACAGCTGTCTAGTCGTTCGGATGGGAAGAAAAACCGAGGTCCCGTGTACACTTTGGCGTGCACGTAAAAGATCCCTTGGTAGTTGGAATTCGATATAAGAGTAGGCCGTAGTGCCGCTTCCCGGGCAAAATTTCCCTCATAGCACACTGTATGGCGTATGCCCGTCTTCATTATCCCAGTTTAGGAGCAGAACAGTAGGACGTTAAACCCCATTTCATTTCATTTCGTTTTACTTGTCTTTACTACACTAGGATCTGAAAGAGTTATATTACCGGCGTATTGATTGATGTGAGGGATCAGCCAATGAAATGGTGACCTATCACTACAACCGATCAGATTTCCATGTAGTGTAGGCTATCGAAAGTATAAAAAATGAAACGAAATATAGATTTGTATTTTAATCAGATTGCCTGTGAATATTACTATATTTTATTGAAGCAACAGAGTTCTAAATGTGATGAAATCAACGAATTGTGAATATGTCAATCATACTGCTATACGTTAATGTTTGTTTGTCGCAATTTTTAGCTTTATGTTTATCCAGTGTGTTGTAATAATTTTATAAAGTTAAAAATACATATCCTTAGACCATGCAAAAAAAAATTTGGGTTCTCAGACAATCCTTACTTAAAGATACATTTTGTAAGATTTAGATAAAGAGATCATCATTCTTGCAATAATAGCTCAAAACTAGATAATGTAAAATGAAAATTTTATTCAAATTACTTCATTCTGAGCGAAAATATCACTGTTTATAGTTTTGACAAGATGTGTGCATTGTGGTAACCAGGGAACTGGTATATTCGAGACTTAGCCAAGCTTTCCCATTTTTATACGCCCACATTTTCATGTGGACTTATATTGTCGTCGCCCCTGTCCGTCCGTCCGTCCACAATTGTTTGTGAACAGTCTACACGTCACAATTTTTATCCGCTTTCAATGAAACTTTAAATATAGGTTTATCACCCTAAGATCTGGGTTCCTTTCGATATTGGCATCTATCGGACTGTAACTTCGTGGATTATGGCCGCTGATTATACGAAAACTCACGTTTTTGGCTTGTGAACACTGTAGAGGTCACAATTTTTATCCGATTTTGTTGAAACTTGAAATAAAAGTTTATAACCCAAAGATCTCGGTTCCTTTTGATATTCGGGCATATCGGACCGTAACTTCCTGAATTATGGCCCCTGATTGTACGTAAAAACACGTTTTTTGGCTTGTGGACCCTATAGAGGTCATAATTTTTATCCGATTTAGAAAACCGTATTATTATATCACTGTTAAACCCTAAGGACGGTTGAGTTCGAATTTCGTGAAAATCGGCCCAAAACTGACAGACAAAATGGCCGCCATTCGTTCTCAAATAGCGTAAAAATATGGTATATCAAGGTTGTGGACCCTATAGAGGTCACAATTTTTATCCGATTTTGTTGAAACTTGAAATGTAAGTTTATAACCCAAAGATCTCGGTTCCTTTCTATTTTCGCGCATATATGACCGTAATTTCCTGAATTATGGCCCCTGATTGTACGAATAATCACGTTTTTAGCTTGTTTTCTATCCATCTCTCGAAAATGTGGGCGTATCCTGCCTGGCAGCCGCTGGTTAAATTAAATTTTTAAATGTTGAACCGTTCTATTCTAGTTAAAATCTTGAGTATCCGATGTCATCGACATTAATAAATTAGAGCAGATTTAGCTCATGCATAATGTATGTTTAATATTTTTTATGTTTTTGAGAAGAGGAATATTTTTTTGTTTTTTATATGGTATTATATTTTCCTATTGGTGATATTGGGATATTCCTAGTTATGTTAAATTCGGATTAATTTTGTTGATTTATGTAATAAACAGAAAAACATTTTGTTTAATTGTCTTTCTTTTCATTGTGCCTCAGTTGTACGTGACAAGGAGTAGGGACGTCTGTCCGACGTTGTGGGTTTTCTCCCGTTTCCTTCTACAGCTAAAGACCCCTATGCGCAAGCGAATTATTGAAATAAAATTGAACCATATGTTAGTCCCAAAATGACCTGTTTTGTGTCAGTGGGCATTAAACCCCATTTCTCTCTCTCTCTCTCTCTCTCTTTTCATTGTGGATTGAGGTCTCCTTACATATAGTAGTTCAAACAAGAATACAAAGAGAAGCTGTCTGAGCAAATTCTCCCAATGTATTAAGGGAACCATTGTAAGAGTAGGCCATACATAGCGCTGCTGTCTGGGCAACAATTCCATATGCATGTTTGCATTAGCTCAGTTTAAAGATATGGTAGACGTAGTCAATGGTACAGGCTTATACGCATCAAAAAGTAGAATCCCCTGCCTACCTTCACAGATTTTCTCCTGGTTTCTTACATGGTTTCCCCTTGTCAGTTGTGCAGGATGGAAGACCTGACAAGCACAACTGTCTAGTCATTCGGATGGGGCATAAAACCAAGGTCCAATGTATGTATTGGCAGTTGGAATTCGATATATAATTTCACTGTATGGCGTATTCCCGCCTTCATTAGCCAGTCGGAGCAGAACTGTAGGACATTAAACCATATTTCATTTTGTTTTCTTTCACTGCTTAAACATACATTATGCAAGAACTAAATCTGCCTATTGCAGGTCTTTCTTTAGGGCTGAAATTTTTTCTAAATTATTAATTAGACATTAACTTATCCAGGCCATAATCAACTCTCGATGGCATCGGATTTCTCCGATATTAAATAGATTAGAACTGGAGCGAGACTTCGCTTCGAACAAACAGTACAGTGGTTGAAATTATTGCACACGTCCTGTCAAACCTTCAAAGGCTAATATCTTCGCTCACAGTAGAGTAATTTGAATGAAATTTTCAAATTATTCATTTTACATTATCTATTTTTGAACTATTATAGCAAGAATGGCTAGGTCTTTGTCTTACATAATGTATCTTTAATACCCAGTGGCTAAGTGGGTAAGATGCTGGCTCGCTAGCCCGGAGGTCGGGTGTTCGATACCTGCATTGACCGAGAAAGTTCATCCAGATTTTCCGGCGTGGTTCCTCCTTGTCAGTGATGCAGGACGGAGGGCCGGACAAGGACAGCTGTCTAGTCCTTCGGATTATACGAAAAACCGAGGTCCTGTGTATACATTGGAATACACGTAAAAGATCCCTTGGCAGTTGGAATTCGATATAAGAGTAGGCGATAGTGCCGCTGCCCGGGCAAAATTTCCCTCATAGCACACTGTATGACATATGCCCGCCTTCATTAGCCCAGCATAGGAGCAGAACAGTAGGACGTTAAACCCCATTTCATTTCATTTCTTTTAATACCCAGTGACTAATAATCAATATAAAATTAAAACCATTTGTTAGTACCAATATGATCTAGTTTGTGTTCAGTCCACGTTAATACCCAGTGACTAATAACCAATGTAAACTTAAAACTATTTGTTAGTACCAATATGATCTAGTTTGTGTTCAGTCCACGTTAATCTACATTTTTTTCTTTCACTAAATTTAAAGATAGAGAAAGAGAAATGTGGTTTAACGTCCGGTCAACAGAAACCAGGTCATTTCGGGACTAACTTGTTTCAATTTTATTATACGTCCACATTCATAATGTGAACGTATTATGCCGTCGCCCCTGTCTGTGTGTGTGTGTGTGTGTATGTATGTATGTGTGTGTGTGTGTGTGTGTGTGTGTGTGTGTCTGTGGTTCGCCTACAGGGCGCAATTCTTCATGGATTTTCTTCAAACTTGGTATACTTATTCCTTATACCCCAAGGAAGATCCCTATTGTTTTTGGTGCATGCCCGACCCCCCGGGGCAGAGCCACGCCCATTTCTAGTATTTGTTTGTTTGTCGTCTACAGGCCACATTTCTTAACTAATAATCTTGAAACTTTGCATACACATTCTTTGTACCCTAAGGAACATCCCTATCGTTTGGGGTGCATGCCCAACCCCCAGGGGCAGAGCCACGCCCATTTTCTTTTCGTGTGTCTTTGTGTCGCCTACAGGGCGCAATTCTTACTGGATTTTCTTCAAACTTGGTATACTTATTCCTTATACCCCAAGGAAGATCCCTATTGTTTTTGGTGCATGCCCGACCCCCAGGGGCAGAGCCACGCCCATTTCTAGTATTTGTTTGTTTGTCGTCTACAGGCCACATTTCTTAACTTATAATCTTGCATATACATTCTTTGTACCCTAAGGAACATCCCTATCGTTTGGGGTACATGCCCAACCCCCAGGGGCAGAGCCACGCCCATTTCCCATTTTCTTTTCGTGTGTCTTTGTGTCGCCTACAGGCCACAATTCTTAAGTGATCATCTTCAAACTTTACATACTTATTCCTTATACCCTAAGGATGATCCCTATTGTTTTTGGTGCATGCCCGACCCCCAGGGGCAGAGCCACGCCCATTTTTTGTATTTCTTTGTTTGTCATCTACAGGCCGCATTTCTTAACGTATCATATTGAAACTTTGCATACTTATTCTTTGTACCCCAAGGAACATCCCTATCTCTTGGGGTGCATGCCCAACCCCCAGGGGCAGAGCCACGCCCATTTTCTTTTTGTGTGTCTGTGTTGCCTACAGGCCACAATTCTTAAGTTATCATCTTGAATCTTTACATACTTATTCCTTATAACCTAAGGATGATCCCTATTGTTTTTGGTGCATGCCCGATCCCCAGGGGCAGAGTCACGCCCATTTCTTATATTTGTTTGTTTGTCGTCTATAGGCCGCATTTCTTAACGCATCATCTCGAAACTTTGCATACTTATTCTTTGTACCCTAAGGAACATCCCAATCGTTTAGGGTGCATGCCTAGCCCCCATGGGCAGAGCCACACCCATTTCCTTTTTGTGTGTCTGTGTGTTGCCTTCAGGCCAAAAATCTTAATCGATCGTCTTGAAAAATTTTCATATGAATTCCTTATACCCTAAGGATGATCCCTATTGTTTTTGGTGCACGCCTGACCCCCAGTGGCAGAGCCACGCCCATTTCTTGTATTCATTGTTTGTCATCTACAGACCGCATTTCTTAACGTATCACATTGAAATTTTGCATACTTACTCCTTCTATCCTAAGGAACATCCCTATTGTTTGTGGTGAATGCCCAGCCCCCAGGGACAGAGCCACACCCATTTTCTTTTTGTGTGTCTGTATGTCACTTACATCCTGCAAATGCTTAATCGATGATCTCGAAAAACTTTTTTATACCTATACGTTATACCCTAAGGATGACCTCTATTTTTTTGGTGATTGCCCAACCCCCAGGGGCAGAGCCACACCCATTTTGTTCTTTGTGTCTCTGTGAGTTGCCTACAGGCCACGATTCTTAATGGATTGTCTTTGAACTTGGGATATGTTTCCTTATAGCCTAAGGACGACAATTGCATGTCACAACCCCCAGGGGCAGAGCCACGCCCAATTTTTATGTTTATCGTTTACAGGCCGGAATTCTGAATGGATCAACTTGGTATTTGGCATATGTATTCCTTATAGCCTTAGGGCATCAACTATTGATTTTGGTGAATGCCCCGACGCCCAGGGGCAGAGCAACGCCGAATTTTTGGCTTTAACGCCCAAAGGCCACAATTCTGAATGGATTATCTTGGAACTTGGTATACTTATTCCTTATACCCTAAGGACGGCAACTATTGATGTTGTCATTTCAATAACAGGATGGTACCTATTTATATTGTTTCCATATCCAACCCCCATGGGCAGAGCCACGCCCAGTTTTTGTATTTGTGGTCTACAGGCTGCAATTCTGAATGGATCATCTTGGAATTTTGCATATTTATTCCTTAAACCATAAAGACAGCAACTATTTATTTTGATGCTTGCCCCGACCTCGTAGGGCAGTGTCACGCCCACTTTATTGTTAGTATTTTGTCTGTAAATTTGGCAAAACAAACCCGACGCCTAGCCTTCTTGGCCTCTGATCATATTACAGCCATTTCATATTTCATTCTCTTCATTTTAAAAAGTACCATATCAATCAAAACTGGAATGTGGACGTATATTGCAGCGTTGGCGATGCTCTTGTTACAATAATTCCCTTGTGTGTAGGGGTCTTGAGGAGTAGAAGGAAATCGGAGGTTAGAGAGGTGCCCCTACTCTTTGTCATGTAGAAGCAGGGAATTGAAACCATGCCAATGACAGACCTTATATTAAACCATTCCCCTGCCCCATAAATTCAAAGGAACAAAAATTAAATTTTTTATAACAATGTACAGAAGATGAGACAAATTACAAAGCTAACCATAATTTTATTGACAAATAAACATCGCACATTATCATGCATACAAACAAACAGGAAGTTGATAGTCTACTTTCAGTTTATCAGAGAATAGGAGGGTAGGATACAATATATGGGGGATACTTGATTGGACGTTCCGGAAATTAATTCTCTCAATCCCCAAAAAAGTGTCAATTGCGTAAAAAGGGGGATTTGGGGCCGTAACGCATTATGGTCTGAAAAAGAACATACCTCAACCAACACATGACAGATAAAACAGTACGATTCTACTCACACGACCTTAGTTGTCGGGAGGGACAGGAATGAATTCTGCGTCACTTGATTGAAATCCTGTCAATTTGGGACGTTCCAGACTAGAAATCAAGCATCCTCACGATGTAAATAAATGTATTAACTACACATTAAAAAGACGACACCCTTCGTATTTATCTTTTTCATTACTGGTGTACGGAACTTCCATTATTATTTGACTTTCTGGAATACAATCTTCATGACTTTTGCGATACACAAAATTACAAGCATCATGACTTGAAATATTCAAAATTATATTTGTTTATTATTGCGCTTTTATATGTGAAATGCTATAAGCACAATTACTATTAATAATGTACACAGATATTCCTTTTTAAACATAGATTTTCCAACCTTATTTAGGGTTCAATCAGGGGAGATAATTTAATGCACCAAGGGAGATAATTTATTTGGGGGAGGGAGGGCAAAAAGATTTCAATGTACAAAGATAATTAAAACTACCTTTTTCTCATGTAAAAAACATGGCAGTCATTATTAACCAAAGACAATCACTGAATACAGATTTAAACCACAGAAAATATTTTTAAATGGGCCTATCACAGAGAATGCTAGATCAAAGACGGTCTAGCACAAAAGACGTCATACGTGAATTGTGGGTTTGGGTTAGGGTAAGATTTAGGGCTAGGGTTAGGGTTAGCTCTGTTTACATCTTGAGACCTTGACAAAATCCCCAGCCTTCACCCGAACCCACAATCCACATGTGATGTCATATGATATAGCGTTCTCCGCCAATCTCTGAATACATAGATTTGCATTTTGTACTGCAGAAAATACTTTTAAATTAAAGAAAGGAATTTAGAGAAAAAAAAAACATAACAGATTTCTTCAGTATATTCCACAAATTAACATGTTCTATTAGAAATTGTCTTATATATTTATATATCACAGTTATCTTCTCCCACCCCGTAAAGCCAACACCAGATGGAGCACTGATCCTCCCATTACTTTATAATCTGCGGCTGTCTTTTCGTCATTCCTAAAATATAAAAAAAATTGGTATTGATAAGTCACACTTATTACAAGAAGGCGTGTTTCGTCGAATACATGAAAAGTGCTTATTACAAGGAGGCGTGTCTCGCAAACACATGATAAGCGCTTATTACAAGGAGGTGTGTTTCGTCGAACACATGGCAAGTGCTTATTACAAGGAGGCATGTTTCGTCAAACACATAATAAGTGCTTTGTTGTGTCAGACTTAGATGAAAATACAAGTAAATATAGGTAGAAATTTTCAAGAGAGAAGTTTTGATTCGCTGGAATATTTACATGGAGGCGTGTTTCTTATTAATCATAGACTAAGGAATTGAAATTGAGGGACACAGAATTTGGGTTATATCAGCGTCGATAACTAATGTGAAATTTTAAGCGTATCACATGTTAACTTTTGTCATATACAATCACATTTCAAAGGCACAAATACAACAAAATATGTTTGACTTACATTTGTTTTCCACTAAAAATAAGTCTCTGTTGTTGTGGGGGAATTCCCTCTTTTTCCTCAACTCTCTCTTTTATTCGGTCCACCTGTTGATGAGAAAATATTGTACTATAGATATTAATTCTGCCAATTTGATTAAAACACAGATCCTAATTCGTTTCATTTTTTATGGGGGGTTGGATGGCTGAATGGTTAGCGTGCGCGCGCTGTATCATAAAGTCTGTCATTGAGTCGACTGGCGTGGTTTCGAATCCTCGGTTGTACGTGGCAAGGAGTAGGGTCCTCCGGTTTCCTCCCACTGCTAAAGAACCCTACGCGCAAGCGAATTATGTAAATAAAATTAAACAATATGTTAGTTTGTGTCGAGTGGACGTTTAACCCAATTTCTCTCTTTCATTTTTTATTGTTCAAAATTTCGTTTTACGTGTCTGTACCTAACTAGGATTTGAAAGAGTTGTTATATAACCCACATTGTGGATGATGTGAGGGATTAGCCAATGAAACAGCCTGTTACGGTGAGTTCTTGGCATGGGGTGCACGGAATTGTGGGTATCCCACTAGAAAAATCAAAGCTGATTGGTTAATCAAATATCTGATGTCATTAGGCCAAAGGCCGCTTGTGTGACCCCTGATGCGACCTCCCACGAAAACTGGTCAGATGTTCATGTTGTAGAGGCCATCAAAAGTATACAGAGAGAGAGAGAGAAATGGGGTTTAACGTCCACTCGACACAAACTAGGTCATTCCGGAACTAACACATGGTTCAATTTTATTTCAATAATTCGCTTGCGCGTAGGGGTCTTTAGCAGTAGGAGGAAACCGGAGGACCCAGAGAAAACCCACGAGGTTGGACAGGCAACCCTACTCCTTGTCACGTACAACCGGGGAATCGAAACCCTGCCAGTTGACTCAATGACAACGCGCGTGTGCTAACCATACAGCCATCCAACCCCCCCCCCCCCCCCCGAAAGTATACAAAAACGTTGCGAAATATAGATCTGCATTTTAATCAGACTATCCTACTCCTCATTGTGCAAATCTATGACTTGTACAGGTAATAAATGAAATGAGGTTTAATGTCTTACTGTACTGTCTTATTGGGCTCATGAAAACTGTCATACACCATGCAGTGTGCTATCAGGGTAATTTTGGTACAGTCTACTCACTGACTACTCTCATTTCGAATTCAAATTGTCAGGGGTTCTTTTACGTGCACGCTAATGTGTAAACAGGATGTTGATTTTCCTTCCTATCCGAACGACTACATGTACATGTATATACATGTATGTTGTCACTTGCCATGCCCCTGTAACACAACTGACAAGAGTGAACCACACTGGAAAAATCCTGATGAACTTTTGCGGCAAATGCAGGGACAGTACACAGGCTCACCAGGTTAGGGGGCCAGCGTCCTAATCACTGAGCCATTGTGGCTCCCCTGCACAAATAACAGGCCTCTGATACTGCACACAAGTTAAATCACTCAACCAGCCACATCATCTCCCTCCTTCATACCCTAGGGACACACCCACATTAAAGATAATGATGTAGTCTATTCCAACCCTATACTCCGTAATTTACAATTTCAGAATCAAGTAACTTTTTGGGGGGATTTATTCTTGATTCTTAGCTTCTTTTTTCAAAATTAAAATAAAATTTACCTTATCTGTTGGTTCTATGTCTATCTCAATCTGAAATTACCAAATATTTACACTAAAATTTTAAACAAAAAAGGAAATAGAGAGAGAGAGAGAGAGAGGGGGAGGGTTTAACATCAAATCAACACAAACTAGGTCATTTTGGGACTAATACATGGTTCAATTTTATTTCAATAATTCACTTGCGCATAGGGGTATTCTTTAGTAGTAGGAGTAAAAAGGAGAACCCGGAAACTGAAGACTGGCTACTCTACTCCACATTACTACAACCGAGGAATGGAAAACCTGCCCGTTGACTCAATGATACAGATCTTATGATACAGAGCGCACTGCTAACCATTCAGCCATCCAAACCCCCAGAAATTAAAGGTCCATACATACAACCTTCTAATGTATAGGAATATGAAGTGAAACAATCACATTAGCACTGTACTAGTATTTTTGAGATTAATTCCAAAGAATCCACAATTTAAATTATTTATCTCCGTTCAGTCGCAGAATAAAATGGTCAACATCGAACTCGGTCACGCAACAAAGGCAATCTTCTATACAAAGTTTGAACATTCTAACTGAATTACAGAGTTAATGTGTCCAAAACATGTGACAAGTTGACAGACAGACTGACATACAAACCCATTTCAACAGTCCTGTACTTTCCCCGAATGGTCGAATTTACATCATATAGTTTTCAAATATGTCAGATGCTACATGTAATTATCTATTTTAAATTTAAGTATGCAAAATTGTTTTTCCCCCAGATCGAATGAAATGGGATTCCACGTCCTTCCTATCTGCACCCACTGGCCTAATGAAGACGGGCATACAGTGTGGTATGAGGAAAATTTTCTCCCATAAGCAACTGGATTCCAAACATCAAGGGTTCTGTTATTGTGCATACCTCAATTCTTTTTTTATCCCATCCGAGTGATTAGACACAATCATTGCAAGGCCTTCCGTCCTGCACCAGTAAAAAGGGGGACCAACATCGGAAAATCTTGATGGAATCTTCTGGTACACACCAGGATCGTACACAGGATCTTACTCTCTAAGCCCCCGCGACTCCCATTCCCCATTGTACACGCCCAGAAATAAAACACCAGCCAAAGACAAAATTTCAGTCTTTGATTGAGATAATGTTTTTTGTGTGTTTTTATGATATTTTTTTTATCATACATGCATGTGACGGACACAAAATTTCAAATTTCCAGGCATGCAGATCACAATCAAATCTTTATAAAAGAAGTTCCAATTGACTTACCTCTTTGCCTGTCAGTGTCTGAAAGAAAAAGAAAGGGAAATCTTATTACATAATATAATACAAATTTTTTAAGGTAAAAGAATTGAGTTATTCATTCTAAAGATGCATTATAAGAGCTAAATGTCTGGTGCACGCACATGTAATACTTTTTAGAGATTGGCACACGCAAATTTTCTTTATATTTGCACGCCAGTTGTGGCATGATATTTTTAGCTTGAATGCATAGACTTGTTTTTGAATTACTTTTTTTCTCAAAGAAATAGGAAACTCAAACATTTGACTGGGTCTGGCCATAGCATTATGGCCCATTCATGACGCACTTGCTAGAGAGAGAGAGAGAGAAATGGGGTTTAACGCCCACTTGACACAAACTAAGTCATTTCGGGACAGGCGATACTACCCCTTGTCACATACAATCGGGGAACCAAAACCATGCCATTTGACTCAATGACAGACCTTATGATGCAACGCGCACACGCTAACCATTCGACCTTCCAACCCCTCTTATATATTTTGGGCCTTTTTATATACATTTTGGGCCATTATATGACAGCACATTGGGAGTAATGACACTACCTGTACTGTCACTACTCAAATCACACTTATTAAAATTTAATTGTTTTCCTTTGATGTGCTTCATCAATTTAATTAGCTTACAGACAGATTAGTCATAAGTGAAACTGAAATATGTAAATATATGTAGACGAAACATTTAATGACGGGGTGGATTATCAGTGCGGTAATCCATTAAATATACCCTGCGCAGAGTTCACTCCGCGTACGCGAAGATTAGTCAATGAAAATTAGACAGAGTTTCGTACATGCATAATCTGTCTGTCCGCGCTCAACATATATTATATACCCTCACGTGCTTTTAGACCTATTTATGGTTCCAAAAAATAGAGTCATACGCCATTTAATTGTAAACATTGATATTATATTCAAGTTGTACTCAAAGAAAGCAATTTAGTAAGTTGGTAAAAATAAACCAGAATGATTCATAGAATTTGCTTGTTCATTCTAATTTTTCGTTCATAAATTCAAATATCAGACTGCTGTGTTGAATTTCAAAATCAATAACAAAAAAAAAAATATGTAAAAAATTCATTCCGCCAAATATGCCTTCCATTTCACCCAAAAGATTTCCACATTTACTAAGATTTTACCTTTACTTTGATCAACATTTTGAAGTTTTGACTGAAATTTCTTTTCTCTTGTGCGTGAGTTGATCACGATTATCCAGCCTTTCAGTTAATCGTAAAGAGAAATCGACCGGGCAATCGCGACATTCCTTCCATTTCCGCTTCCATTTAATAGATCCGCATTAAATCAAAATTGTAAAAATAACTGGTAAAAATGAACAGTTCTACAAAAAATTACCTCCCTTTGACAAGGTGCCCGTGGATATTTCATCTTCTGTAAACCCCGTAGTGACATCCTTTTTGGAAGACATAGGTTGACGCCTGCTGAATCACAAATTAAAAAAACAAAACAAAACAAGACGCAACGTTCACCTCGATATTTATCCGTTTTGCTGGTTGATATTCCAACATAGCAAAGAGTAAGTAAATGGCTAAACTAGAAAAAAGAACTAGATCTATGGCCCATGGTTTCTATTTTTGATCCTTACTAGGCTAGTTCTGGCTTCTTGTTGAGTGGCTTGTTTGTTCAGTTGAATGTTGATCAGCCGAGTTTTGTTTTGTTTTCCACCCCAGACGTGAGCGAGATTGTCGCGAAGATTAAGGGGTTTTCAACATATTTCTGATCTGAAAACAAATTCATAGCTCAACACATATGTAGAAACTAAAATTTAATACTAAACTAAAATTTTTCTGTATCTGCTGAGTGAGACTCACATAAGTCCTATAAGACTTGGTAAGAGAACATGTTCGAGAGCACTGTAGGCCTAGTTAAGTAGGCCTATAATTATTATACTTAGTATAAGTATAGTATATGTATTTGATAATCTTGCCTCTACGTTTTTCTTGCCTGCTCATTTTTTTGCCATGGCCAACCAGTCACCCGCCGTCTTGATGTTGAAGCCCAACAGTAATCATTATTAGTAATGGTGTGTAGGTAGGCCTTCTCGTTCAATGATTATGTCGCCTGTCCAATCTTGTGGGTTTCCTCTGGCCACTCCTCCAGTTTCCTTCCACTGCTGCTAAAGAACAAAGACCCCCATCAAGCTAATTATTGAAATAAAACTGAACCTTATTTTAGTCCCAAAATGACCTACCTAGTTTGTGTCAAATGGATGTATAACCCCATTTCTCTCTCTCACTTCAGTGAATGATTATGAATTTTGTTGGTAGCCTATTAAGTGCATCTTCTAAATGCAAAGCTCTTGCATCAATTCTAGTGCTGTTATTTCAATCCTGCATAATTTGTACATGTTGTCATTGTTGATGTAGGACCTACGTGACAAGAAGCCTTAGGCACAACGTTTCGATAAGTATTCTCTTATCCTTATCAAGTACAATGATTACAAATGCTTAAAGATAGGAATATGATCGCATTTTAAGTTTCTGAAATTATTTTCACTACCTCGTGCAAATTTAGCTTTTGTTTATTTTAGAAAATGTCAGACGATTTTGATGTAGAAGCTATGCTGGAGGCACCATACAGAAAAGAGGTAAAAATATTGGCGATAAATTACTTATTACACAATAAATTATTAGAGCAATGCCTTAGGATTTGTATGAAAATAAATAACTGAACTATGATATTTCTAAAGAAAACAAACTGAATTGAGTAATGAATTATCATTGTTATTATTTTACTTATAATTTGTTTGATTTTGTCATATTTGATTGATTGAATCTATGAATAAATGAAGTAATCGAGTTAGCCAATCATCAAAATCAAGACCAGATTAGTTTATAACAGGGATGCTATTTCAAAAATTTTATTTAGAGGTTTAACTCTGGCCTCTTATTAAAATAAGAGGCCAGAATTAGATCACCAGAAGCCTTTGTCAGCTTTGGGAAATAGGGTTATTAACCTTCCATTCCCTTTAATAGACTTCAACTACAAATATTTCTTATATTAGGTAGCATATTGTGTTCTGAATAATGAATCGATTATAATTTAATTAGTACAAAAAAAATAGGTGAACCTGTCTATTTTTCATATTTAATTCCTGCACTATAAGTTCACATCAGTAATATTCCTCAATATGATTCAAAAAATCTTGGATGTCCGATTGGGCATGTCAACTCACATAGGACATGTCAGGCATATACCTGTAGGCGAAACAGCGTCCATGGTTTATAACCCTCCTGACATCCATACAACGAAAAGAATAGAATCAGAAGAGCCGATTAGTTGATATTAATACAGAATAAAATAAGAGTCTTCATATTTTAGTATTCCCTACTGTCTCCTCAAAATTGGGTTGCTGTTGAATGCTTGGAGTGATATACTTTTTGAAGAATAAATATTTTAAGATAAATATCTTTTGGGGTGATTATAGGATCTTTACTCCCAGTCCCAATTTGTTTTTTTTTCTAACACCACCATGTATATTACTAATTAGGTACGATAAATCACAGACTAATCTTGAGTTTACATGTAGGTCTAAGATTCTAAAGGCTTGTCCTCTTTTTCCTTAGTAATTTAAAGTAATCAAAAATAAATTTAATCCCCGAGCAAGAAGCTTGACTCTATATTTGTTCCTCGGGCATTAATTTATTTGGATTTTTTCCTGCTCTTCTCCAGATTCATACTTGTACTGTTACAGGGATTCTTCCACCATTTTAATACTTGAAGTGAAAGGGTTATTTGTCACTACCTTGGATTTAAATTAAAGTAATTCAATGGTTTCAATTTGTTTTCTACTGTAGATCTATATCCACTGTAAAGCAGTTGATTCCTACCATTACAAACTTACAAGGTATAACAGAACAGACATCATAAAAACTGATTTAAAAAAACGCACACAAATCATCCTTTTAATTATCAATTTTTTTTATTATTTTTTTTAACTTTATTTTTTTCTCAAAAACAAAGTCTACTTTTTTTGTAAATCAAAATTTATGAATTTTTTTTTTTTCAATTACGGTATTAAATAAAATTTGCATTCAGAAATATTTATAATTCATGTTTTTGGGTGGCAATTTGTAATTATATTTTTTTTAATTTTTTTTTAAATAAAATTATTTGATGGTTACTAAAATAAAATTCCCCTATCTTATCGTAGGGACAAGGGATGCTGATTATTAACTGCAATAGTTGGAAAACTGGCTTAACAGAAGTTCAAAGGTTGGATGCCATTCTGATTCACCGTACGGTACTTCGAAAGGAACCCTACCCGTATCTCAACATGCCACAGAAAAACACTTTGTCGAAGTTAAAAGGAAAATATGAAAACATTTCAAATTATCCTCTTGAATTCCACAGTAGATTAGACCAATTTGTTTCTGGCTATTTTTATCAACAATTTTTTTTGGCAAGACATAAATTGAATCCTGGACATGTATGACTTTACAGTTTTAAGCTCTTTCACAGGAGATGTTACGATACGGCTCCATTTTAAATGCTTCACATTGCACATGACCAGGCAAGCTCTGACAGGATTCACATCCCCCCAGGACTTGTCTCTAAAAATAATTCTTCCAGTGACCATCACATATTAAATATCAAAGAAGTTCCATTCTCTGTCAGTGTTTGGTTAATCCTAGACAAAACTGGAGACATTTAGTATGTGTTTGGACTGTATCTAGATTTATAATGCCATAATTATAAAAAAAAAAAAATTTGGGAGTATACTATTGAAATGTTTTCAAATCTGGCTGGATTTTATAGGTTAAATGCTTGAATTTATAAGTAATTTAAAGATTAAATATTTTATTAATGTTTTCTGATTCTGTCTTTTTCCCTTATTATCCTGCTGTGTCTTCAACCTATTTGATTATGTGCTGTTTTGGAAATCTTAGGAAGAAGAACGAGGAAATGAAGATCCAGAATATGAAAGAAGCACCTCAAAAACCAAAAAGTAAGTCTTGAGAATCTGAGAATGTCTTAGAACCGTGCGTATGGAAAGTTAGTAAACATTCAAATGCAGGTGCTTTAGTAGGCAGTAGGCTAGAGTTATCTTTCTTGTGTTGGTACTAAGTAGTCGAAAGGTTAAAATTTGCATGTTTCACTGTGAAATGGCTTATGAAATAAATGTTGAAAAATCAATCCTATCCTCCTCAACCGACCATGGTGTACATATTAGCTTTGAGTTGGTGGAGTATGATAGGATTTAGAAGAGGTGCAGAAAGTAGTTAGTTGAAAGCTCTTCCATCTTGGATGATGTGGTAAGGTAGAGTTGTGTTGCTATGGTCGATAACATATTAGGTCTGAAGCTACGGCAGGTAAGTAACGCTGTGTGTGCTTGACTACCAAATATGGATGTTTCAACAATGGACTAAAGTTCCTTTCGTTTCTTTTTTAGGCTGTGGAACAATAAAGGACACGCACGCAGAAGAAAGACATGTTTTTAAAAAAAAAAAAATTGTGCTCTTAATATAATATGTGTTCAAATTGTTTATAGGTATCTTTGTCATTTGAGTAACTGAGAAACATTGAATTGAAACAAATGAATGATTTGAACCAAGCTTATCATGTGATTGATTTGAAAGGTACGTGAACCAAAGATTGTTGGTTCAAGTTCATCGGGCTAGCCCCTGAAAAGAGGAGAATCTGTCGGCTACATGTGTCTTGCCGAGAATAGAAAACAACTCGCAGCTGGCCACCGAGTTCCCATCAGGGGGTCAGTTCAAGTTGAGGGTTAAATGGTTCTGTTCATGCACATTCAATCGGGTTGCTTCTAATAACTGGAACTGTCTCTATTAATATCTGTTTACATTTCACAAGGCTTGTTACCATGACTACCCTGAAATGAAATATTTATCATGTTAGTCCCGAAATACCCAAGTTCAATTGATTCGATATTCCTCTTTAGAAAATCTATTTGAATTTGTCGAAAGCAGGCCTTTTGTTAAGTTGGACATCTGTCCATTTGTCCCCATCCGGTAATAAAATGATTGTTATTTTTAGTTAAAATCAGTTTTGAGTATCAGTTTAGAGTAACAATTTGTTCATGGAAATTCATGAATAAGATTTCACTTCATCCCTTGTTTGTATTTGAATGAATTACACACTGCATTATCTTGACAATTTTAAAATGCTGATAATACTTGTACAATACTTGGAAAATGGCGTATTTCAGGTCCTTTCATTGTAAGTTTTTTGTTGATTAGTATATTAAATAAGGTTTTAACAAGAATTTTCATTTTTCCCTTCCAGGAAGAAAAGAACAAGAAGTAGAAGTAGGAGCAAGGGACGTGGTGATCGAGACCGAGATCGCAAAAGGTAAGAAAATCATGAATTCAGCATTTCATAGTTGTTTTTTTTTATAAAAATTTATTTTTGCTAACCAAGTATCACAATGCTCACTGTAGATTTGTTCTATTTTAACAAAGGATTTGAAGATAAAAATGGTAACAATTAAAAGAATTTATCATCCTGGGCCTTGTTTCTCGAAATCTTAACTAAAGATAAAATCCAAATTTTAGTAGATTCTTCAATTTTGATTGGTTAAGCACTAAAACCAATCTAATATCCAATCAAATTACTAAAATTTGGATTTTATCTTAGTTAAAATTTTGTGAAAGAGGCCCCTAACTTACTGTCTGAATTCATCCAAATTCCCATAGGTCGTGTTATAACTATTTATGTGTTGACCTTGTTTATCCTACCACCTGGCCAAACTTGTCATCTATAGCAATGCTCACATGACCACAATAAAGATACCTGTATTTGTAAAATGGCTAGTGGTTCAAAATGTCAATTTATGACCGAAACCTGAATATTCCAATTGGCAACAATTAATAGTTGGGATTAATTCAGACTAAAACCGGCAACAAATCTCATTAGTATCAAAGCAAGTGACAGATTTCTTTGAAAAAGTTAAATCATCGAAAATGTGTCTGAGCCCTGTCTTTGTCTAAGACTACCTGTTAAATGACTTAACTATAAATTTATTTATCTTTTTTCTCACATCCATATCAATCATTTATTGCTTTGATGTACAAAAGACAACTGCAAATGTTATCATAGCAGCTGAGTCCACGGCTGTGAACACACATAACTCATTAATATTCATACAAAGGTCATGAATATACATTTTAAAATAGCCTTTATTTGTATTATAGTCATAGAGATCGAGACAGGCGTAGGAGCAGAAGTCGAGAAAGGAAAAAGAGTAGAAGCCCTAAAAGAGACAGTCGAAGATCTGATCGAGATAAATACCGTCCAAGAAGTCGAAGTCCTGAGAGAACTGAGAGAAGAGGTGGAAGTGGTAAATATTATGATAGTTACAGTTACAGAAAGAGAGAGGAGAGACAGATGAGTAAAAGTCCACTTCGAGTCAGGTTAGTATCTAGTTTTCTTTGTCTTGCTTTGGGTGGCCGAATGGATAACACGTTGCATCCTAAGGCCTGTCATTGAGTCAAGTGGTGCGGCATGGTTTTGATTCCCTGCCTGTACGTGACAAAAAAAATATGAATAAAGCCTTTGTTTGTTCATTGGTTCCTGGAGTTTAGCATCCACTTCCAAGGGTAATATTGTCGACAAGGCCTTCGTTAACAACATTGTTGTATTTTTGTTTATTTCACTGGACACCTTTAGAACGTTGGGGACCAAATGTATCACCTCACACTGCACGATGTATGGTACATCCATCTCCATTAGCCCAGTATGTGTAGAAAAGTGGGATGGTTAACCCCATTTTATTTGTTGTAGAATTTGTTGAATTTGAATTTTGTCTTGTTATTGTAGCACCGTACTGCCATCTATAGATTTATCTCCGGAAGAGAAGGATGCCAGGACAGTATTCTGTATGCAGTTGTCCGCCAGAATTAGACCCAGAGATTTAGAAGAATTCTTTTCATCTATTGGGAAGGTAAGGAAAGAAATAGATTTAGCCATAAATGCAATTAAAAGAAAATTTTGTTGGTCTCAAAGTTTCCTGAAAAAATTCAAAATGATGATATAGCAATTCATTATCCAATGTTGGCATGATTACGGGCTGACTAACCAGCAAACTAGAAGTTTATCGCTATTTTTAAAAACATGCTCCTTAGATCCACCCTTGTGATGATCCCTTTATATCAGCTCTGATATTCAGGATTAGTCGACAACTTTGTTGGTTGTATATCGAGGGTGCTTGAGTCATAAGTGTGTGAGAGAAATACACCTTAGTGACTGGTCGTTCTATCTTTACGAACACGTACCCAAGTGTTGGACTATGTAAAGATTATAACCAGTACCTAGGACAGATAGATTACTGATATCTTCACCATTCTAATATCAATGAATGAATGAAATAGGGTTTAACGTCTTACTTTTCTGCACCAACTGGGCTTAGACAGGCATGCGCCATGCAGTGTGCTATATTGAACAGTGATGGTACGGCTTACTCTTATATCGAATTCCAACTGTCAAGGCTAATGAGTCGGGTGGGGTTGGATGGCTGAATGGTTAGCACGCGCGTGCTGTATCATAAGGCCTGTCATTGAGTCAACTGGCGTGGTTGCCTGTCCAACCTCGTGGGTTTTTTCTGGGTCCTCTGGTTTCCTCCCACTGCTGAAGACCCCTATGTGCAAGCGAATTATTGAAATAAAAATTAAAACCATGTGTTAGTCCCGAAATGACCTAGTTTGTCGAGTGGACGTTAAACCCCATTTCTCTCTCTCTCTCTCTCTCTCTCTCTCTCTCTCTCTAATGAGTCAGTGTCTTACTGAGCCACCCCGGCTCCCCAGTTAATTACCTGTTAATTACCTGAGTGCTTTTAGTAAACGTTAGCCACAAATGAGGTACCTGGTTCAATCCCGGTGTTGACTGAGAAAGTGTCTCTGGATTTTCGGGCGTGTTTTCCCAATGTCAGTGGTGTAGGACAGAGCCGGGCAAGAAACAGCATCTAGTTGTTTGGATGGTACGATAAAAAAAAAAAATGGAGGTTCTGTGGACACTGATACCTTGGCGTGCAAGTAAAAGAACAGTTGAATTCAGTTTCTGTATGGACAAAATTTCTCTCATATTACACTGCATTGTCTTGAGGGTATCCTTGAAGTGTTCAGTGCATTGTAATTTTACTATGGATAATGTTAGTTTGTTTTCATTTCTCTTTTAAGGTTCGAGATGTAAGATTGATCACAGACAACAAGACAAGACGGTCAAAGGGTATCGCATATATAGAGTTCATGAGTACAGAATCCGTTCCATTGGCTATTGGTTTAGCGGGACAGAAATTACTGGGAGTTCCAATAATTGTGCAAGCGTCACAGGCGGAAAAAAATAGAACAGCCATTCCAACGAGTATAATGACTAAAGGAATTCAAGGACCTATGAGATTATACGTCGGGTCTCTTCATTTCAACATAACTGAAGACATGTTAAAGGGAATCTTTCAACCTTTCGGCAAGGTTTGTATTCAGATTTTAACATTTTAGGATAAATAAGTTTCCATGAAAGGGGATTATGACATAAGATATGCTATCTTTCATGAAGTGTGCTCTTGAGTGGAGGTGGGGTTTGAGGGGTTGAAATGTCTTTAGATCATAAGGTCTCTCACTGAGTCTAGTGTCGTGGTTTCGAAGGATAGTCGTCGGCCCAACCTTGCAGGGATTTTACTCCGTCCTTCAGTTTCCTCCTACATCTTGCTTTGAAAATAAGATACGGTACTTGTAGATTACCATTAACAAATGTTTGCCCTACGAAATTTGTTTAATCCTCAGATCCTATCCTTGAAACAAAATGAATGAAATGGGGTTTAATGTCTTACTTTTCTGGGGTGGGGGTGGGGGGGTGGATGACCGAATGGTTAGCATGTGCACGCTGTATCATAAGGTCTGTCATGTAGTCAACTTGTCAGGTTTCCATTCTCCGATTTTATGTGACAAGGATTAGGGTCGCCTGTCCAACCTCGCAGGTTTTCTCCGGGTCTTCCTTCCACTGCTAAAGACCCCTGGAGGACATATAGGACTTCATGCAACGTGAAATACAGGCATTAGTTTCTACTAGTTCAATGAAATATGTTGTTTCTTTTCAGATAGAAGATATAAAATTGATTCGTGATCATGAAACCGGAAGATCACAAGGTTACGGTTTTGTTACAGTAAGTATATTTTTTGATATAAAAATTTTAAAAGCAAAATCTACCGAGTATGTTGCTAGTCACCCCCACCCTTGCTATTTACACAACTAAACTTGTGACTAGAAGACCCAAAAAAAAAAAAAAATCTAGTTTATCAGATACTTTCACATCACTTAAAAATGGCTGCAATGACAAATCTGTGCCAGACAAAGTCTAATTTTGTGCCTGACAATGTCTATATCAGGTGCCTTATTCCCAGTCCAACGATTTAATGCTTGAGCGTGCAATCATTAGGTGTTGTACTTGGCAAGAAGTAGGGTCGTCTGTTCAACCTCAACCTCTTGGGTTTTCTCCGGGTCCTCCAGTTACCCTCCCACTGCTAAAGACTCCTACGCGCAAGCGATTTATTGAAATGAAATTAAACCATATGTCAGTTCTGAATCAACCTAGTTTGTGTTGAGTGGACATTAAACCATCTCTCTCTCTCTCTCTCCTCACACTATGTGCAAGCGAATTATTGAAATGAAATTAAACCATATGTCAGTTCTGAATCAACCTAGTTTGTGTTGAGTGGACATTAAACCATCTCTCTCTCTCTCTCTCCTCACACTATGTGCAAGCAAATTATTGAAATGAAATTAAACCATATGTCAGTTCTGAATCAACCTAGTTTGTGTTGAGTGGACAGTGGACATTAAACCATCTCTCTCTCTCTCTCTCTCTCCTCACACTATGTGCAAGCGAATTATTGAAATAAAATTAAATGACATGTTAGTTCTGAAATGACTTAGTTTGTGGGTTGTGGGTCTTAAACCACCCCTCTCTCTCTCTCTCTCTCTCTCTCTCTCTCTCAGAATGACCATGCTGTCAAACCTCATTTCTTTCTTTATTTGATCGCAATGTCTTCTGTATTGTAGTTTCCAGAAGCAGAAGATGCCAAAAAAGCATTGGAACAGTTGAACGGCTTTGAATTGGCAGGTCGTCCAATGAAAGTTGGTCATGTGACAGAAAGAATGGCTGAGATGCAAGCGGGAGGTTCTATGTTAGATTGTGAAGAAATGGATCGAGCCGGAATAGATCTCGGAGCAACAGGCAGGTTACAACTTATGGCTAAACTAGCAGAAGGTACGTCATTCAGATAACATTGAAATTTTAATTATCCTTATTTCATCAATTGGGATCACGTGGCTAAGTGGGTAAGGCGCTGGCTCGCTAGCCTGGAGGTTGGGTGTTCGATCCCTGCAGTGGCCGAGAAAGTTCATCTCGATTTTCCGGCGTGGTTTCCCCTTATCACTGATGCAGAACGGAGGGCCTGACATGGTCAGCTGCCTAGTCGTTCGGATGGGACGGAAAAACCGAGGTCCAGTGTACACATTGGCGTGCACGTAAAAGATCCCTTGGCAGTTGGAATTCGATATAAGAGTACGCCGTAGTGTCGCTGCCCGGGCAAAATTTCCGTCATAGCACACTGTATGGCGTGTGCCAGTCTTCATTAGCCCAGCATAGGAGCAGAATAGTAGGATGTTAAACCCCATTTCATTTCATTTCATTTCATCAATTTAGCATTTCATGTAACAAAGCTTAAACTAAATTGAATATTTAAAGGAGCTCAATCGATAATATTTGGGACCTAGAAATTGACACAAATGAGTAGCAACGTATATAATGTAATATGAATGTGTATAAACTGATTTACATTCAATCGGCCCAGTTCATAGCAGAGCAGTAGGACATTAAACCCCCATTTCATTTCATTTACATTCAATCATTTCTGTTTTTACTTTAATTTCAAATCAGTTATGTTCGGCGGAATATGCCAGAAGTCTCAATCGAATGGCAGTCGCTAGCGTCTGGTTTTTCATGTCTACACAGATAGTATTTATTGCGCATGCTCTCCAGATAAGAATATGACGTCACCGTTTGACATGACTTGTGGAATATGTTGAGCCTCGTTCTTCGAGTCCCTTGTTACAAATGGTACCGAAATGCATTATCGTACACATTTTGTCTTAAATATTGGATATCGAAGCCCATCTTTTCCTGGTAAGACCACAACATCAATATTGATTTAAATTGACAAATTTGTGTTTTCAATGTCGAAAACTTTGGATGATATTGAGTTAGACTTAAATAATGAATATGACTTGATTTTAGTGTGGATTAAACTCAATCTGATTAAAACACAGATCCTATTTCGTTTGGTTTTTTTTTTATAGTTCAAAATTTTGTTTAATTTGTCTGTACTACACTAGGATCTGGAAGAGTTGTTATATAACCTGCGTTCTGGATAGTGTGGGGGATTAGCCAATGAAACCATCTGTTATGTCGACTTCTTGGCGTATGATGCACAGAACTGTGGGTAAACCACTAGGAACGTCAACGCTAATTGATTAATCAATGTCTGACATCATAGGGTCAAAAGTCGCTTGTACAACCCGACGTGACCTTCCAGTTCAACTTGTCAGATCTTCATGTAGGCCATCGAAAGTATAAAAAAAAAAACGAAACAGAATATAAATCTTTATTTTAATCAGATTTGATTTAACTCTAAGAAATTAGATACTGTCTGAAAATTCAGATGATGATCAATATCCTTATATACTAATTATAACTAGTATGGTTTATCAGCAAATTCATTCGATTAATTAAAAACATGCTCCTTAGATCCACCCTTGTGATGATTCCTTTATATCAGCTCTGATATTCAGGGTGAGTCGACAACTTTGTTGGTTGTATATCGAGGGTGCTTGAGTCATAAGTGTGTGAGAGAAATATACCTTAGTGACTGGTCGTTGTATCTTTACAAACACGCACCCAAGTGTTGACTATGTAATGATGATAACCAGTACCTAGGACAGAACAACTTATGTAAGATTTAGATAAACAGCTGGCCGTTCTTGCTATAGTTCAAAAATAGATAATGCAAAATGAATGTATTAAAAATTTCACTGAAATTACTTTATTCTAAGCCAAGTTATGGATGTTTGAAAGAAATAGCGTAAATAGTCTCTATCGTCAAGTACCATTGCTATGTTAATAAACAAAATCTTGATTTTCCATGTAACGAAGATATGGCTTTTAATATCTCGACCATCCGATGCTCTAGAGAGTTTTCATGTGAATAATTGTCTAAATGTCTTATATAACATTTGAAGCTAGAAAAAGATCTGCAGTTGGCAGAATTAGCTTAGATATAACATAACTATCTTTAACAAAAAAAGTATTCCAAATATAATGTCCACCAATTTTACATGTGTGATAGCAATGGTTTAAAGTATTCCAAATATAATGTCCACCAGTTTTACTCGTGTGATAGCAATGGTTAAAAATATTTTCAAGATAATGTCCACCAATTTTACATGTGTGAGAGCAATGGTTTAAAGTATTCCAAATATAATGTCCACTAATTTTACATGTGTGATAGCAATGGTTAAAAGTGTTCTAAGATAATGTCCACCGATTTTACTTCTGTGATAGCAATGGTTAAAAATACTCCAAATGTAATATCCACCAATTTTACATATTGGTTTGTGTTCTTGATGCATGTTATAATATAATTTGTCATATTGTTTGTTTTTCAGGAACTGGTTTCCAGATACCCCAGTATGCAGCGAATGCTTTAAATCAAGTGGGTGCTCCAGCCCCAGCTGCTATGTTGCCAACCACTTTAACAACTCCCCCTCCTCCAGCTGTTCAACAGGCGCCACCCATAGCTACACAATGTTTTATGTTATCCAACATGTTCGATCCTATCACGTAAGTAGTGGATATAATTAAAGCTAGTTGACTGACATTTAAATTCATATTTTACCGATTTTAGAAGCACTAAGTATAGTTTGAGAATGTTTGGGGTTCGGTAGGAGGGCAGGGGCTGAATGGTTAAGAGAGGTATTACTATTTTGAATGTTGCAAGTTGTCATGGATACATCGCTGTGTAATAAACCATAAGAAACAGCTGTCCGGTCAAAAATTTCCCTAACATTACACTGTATGCTTGTCTTCATTCGACCTGGTCGAGGGGTTTGCTCCCGGTGTTGGCTGAGAAAGTTCAGCAGGATTTTCCCTTGTCTGGTGCTGGACGGAGGGGCATGACAAAACAGCTGTTTAATCGTTCGGATAGGACAAAAAACTATGGTCCTGTGTACACATTGGCGTGCATGCAAAAAGACCCTAGACTGTTGGAAATCGAAATAAGAGTAGGCCATAGTGCCACTGTCTGGACAAAATTCCCCTCATAGCATACTGCATGCGTATGCTTGTCTTCATTAGCCCAGTAGGAGCATAACAGGAGTACGTTAAACCCCATTTCATTTCTTTAAATTGAGGTTCTGAGACTGTAATATATGAACAATGTATTGATATATGAATAATGTATTGATATATGAATAATGTATTGATATTGTTGATATATGAATAATGTAATGATATATGAATAATGTATTGATATATCAACAATGTATAGATATATCAACAATGTATTGATATATGAATAATGTATTGATATATGAATAATGTATTGATATATGAATAATGTATTCTGAGACTGTATTCATATATGAATAATGTATTTGGAGACTGTATTGATATATGAATAATATATTGATATATGAACAATGTATTGATATATGAATGATGTATTGATATATGATTGATATATTGATTGATATATGAATGATGTATTGATATATGAATGATGTATTGATATATGAATGATATATTGATATTGTTGATATATGAATAATATATTGATATTGTTTTAATAGAGAATCAAGGATGAACTGGGATCAAGAGATCAGAGATGATGTTATTGAAGAATGCAGTAAACATGGCGGAGTTCTACATATATTTGTTGATAAAGCTTCACCACAAGGAAATGTTTACGTTAAAAATCCCACGATAGCAGCAGCTGTAGCATCTGTTAGTGCATTACATGGCCGATATTTTGCAGGTTTGTATATATTTTTCATTCAGGTTTCAGTATTAGAAGGTCTGTTATTTAGACAACTAGCGTGGTTTTGATTCCCCGGTTGTACGTGACAAGTAGAGTCGCCTGTCCAACTTCGTCATTTTTCTCTGGGTGCTCTGGTTTCCTCCCACTCCTAAAGACCCCTACACACAAGCGAATTATCGAAATAAAATTGAACCATATGTTAGTCCCGAAATAAACCATCTCTCTCTTTCTGAATTATTCACAGCTTGTCGGGAGTAGGGTCGGCTGTCTAACCGTGTGAGTTTTCTCTGATTTCCTCCCACAGCTAAAGACCACTACACACAAGTGCATATGTTAGTTGTAAGTCCTAAAATGACATTATCTGTGTCAGTTGCCATTAAACCACATTTCTCTCTCTCTCATGTCTAAATTATTTGTGTTTTTCAGGACGTATAATAACGGCAGCCTATGTTCCGCTACCTAATTATCATGCGTTGTTTCCCGAATCTGTACGAGCCAATCAACTTATAGTACCATCTTCACAGGCCTTGCAGGCTTCTTACGCATCGGGTTTCTCATCAATGTCGCAGCCTGTTTTATAACCCAACACAGCTCCGTGCAATTTATAAAATTTGTGAATTTAGACATTTTGTCCCGAGAAAATTGTGAATTGTCTGTGTTATTGCGATACATTTTGGGACTAGGTTACAATGTCTTATATTTGTAAGTTCAGGGAGGACATAACCACACACAATGAAGACAAATACAGGGACACTAGAGATAATTTACTGTAGCATATGGAACGGCTGTAATAATTATCGTTGATGCTGTTATCATTTTCACTGCTGCATGTGATGGTCTGGTTATACCTGTGTTTCAGAAAGACGCTTAAATAGTGTATACTTTAATTGGTGTCTACAAATGGAGTTACACCAATTTAGTTCTTCAGGTACACCAAGGGCTTCACTCTACAGTGTTATTGGGGTCCACAGACTTGCTTTCTGCTTGTATACTACTTAACCGCCGATTCCACTAGAGCAATAATGCAAATACATTTCTTTTAAGCTCTCCCCGTATATTTTCTACATTAGGGCATCATGATAGTAGGGGTGATGATTTTTCGTGATCGCGGAAAAAACGCGGAAATAGCGGAATTGTCCACCCAAAACGGAATTTTGAAATCTCACACGGAAAAAGACGGAAAAGCCGATATTTGCTGATACTAAACACAAACTCAAAATAATTTTGCAGTTATCCAAGTATTTCATCTTTTTATTCATAAAAATCGGAAATATTGAATGATATCGCGTGGTTTTGTTACTGTCTATTTTAGTATTTCGCTACTTTCATTTCATCATTTAGGAATCATAATTTTAATTGAAACGAAAACCCGTCTTTCATGTATCCCATTATAAAATTACTCTGTAGTTTAACTTGAATTAAACATTGTAATGTATATATATGTCGTAAAAAAAACTTCTGTCACTTCATAAAAGTAAAAATTGTTTCATTTACTTCTTATTTTACTGCCGGGCTCGTGACTCGTGTTTATCCGCATTAACCACGTGACATCAGAAATATACCGTAGCCTTGTGAATCCAGCCCTTATTCTCGAAGAAACGGTAGTAACTACGAAGATGTCTGGATAAATCGCGACTACACCTAGCAGCTGAGAAAAATGGCTTCGTCTGCTAAAAAGATGAAACGAGCTCACAAGATGTAATTTTCTGTTATTTAATTCGGAAACAGGTTTAAAGAATAACTAGTCATTGAACATTACAAGTCATTCACAATTCAACATTTGTTATCCTTGGTTTAAAATGATCCGTTTTGTAATAAAAGGCATTTTAAGATGTTTTATTCATTTATTCATAAAATAACATTTTATCTCGAAAAAACGGAATATGGTCAGCTCTGAAACAGAAAATAACGGAATTAAAAATACTTAAAACGGAATTTGCTATTTTCTGAAACGGAAAATCATCACCCCTATGATAGCACTGGTGTTGATGTTCCTGGACTTCCTCCTTGTTCTAGTGAGAACCAAATGCGACCATTTATTAAAGTTTCACAATAAAAATGTTTGAACTTGGCTGCCATGTAGTGAACAATGCTATATTGATGCTCTGGTGTATTTTCCTGATTAATATTTTATTTTTGCAAACAACTTCCAACATAATCTTCAACATGACAAAGAATTTTAATTCTGCTGAAATTATGACAATCATTTTGCTAAAACATTAGGGTTAAAATAACGATAATTTGTTGTCGTATTCGCCTACCTATTTCTGCGGAATCACACATCCCTGATGTCTAATCCTTGAGTGGCATTTAGTGATTTGAGCACATTAAAAAACACAACACAATTTATATGGAAAACAATCACTGGTTTATACACATATAGCAGAACTGGGTGTAAAAAAAAAAGAATTTTGTAAAGCTTACTTTTTAGGTTGCATTCAAATACTGCACCGACTGGGCTAATAAAGATGGCCATACACCATATACATGTACATGTAGTGTCCCATGACGGAAATTTGGCCCAGACAGCGGCATTACAGTCTACTCTTATGAATTACAACTGTCAAGGGTTCTTTTACGTGCAAGCCTGTGTGTACACGGGACCTCAGCTTTTTGTCCAAACCAAGCAAATTAGAATGGGCAGGGACATTTAACACTACGGGATAAAATTAGTTTTTAAAGAAATTTAATTCACAAACATTTATGATTGTTGGTCTTGAAGGCAAGCCTCAAATGGTTAAAAATTGATTGAGTTGAAGTTAATTTCACATTTTTTAAAGTTTAAAGTTTATTATAGGAGAAAACATTCTCGTGTTATCGTGTTCTGTTAAGATACAATGGGGATGGTTGATTGTGAGTAGAATCGTGACGTAATGAAAATTAACAAGAATATGTCTTGGCTGTCATGGTCGGTTGATATATATATTTATTCTTATGCAATCGACACGAGCACTACAACCCCAAATCCCCCTTTTTACTGGCTTGTCACTGAGAATTCAATTTTGGAACGTTCAGTCGAGTATCCCCAATTTCTGATTCTGTTAGAAAGTTTGTTTTTAAGTTGCTGATATATGTTTTAATGTATGTAAATAAATATCATGTTTTCAAACTTCAGTCTTCATTTGTAAAAAAAAAATAAAAATAAAATGATTATGGAGTTTGTCAAACATTATTGTATATATTATGAATCATTATATCCATGCATAGTTTGCGAAATAGATTAAGGGCTGGTTACACTCTTATTTGAGTAGTTTGTGAAGTAGATTAAGGGCTGTTGACATTTTCTTTGACTTTAGTGTACTTTGTTTCAGGGGTTTAGTTTCAGTCATATTTACCAGTCCTGATGGTAAAATTGACCTGATACAAGTCATTATTCATATAGAATTCGAATTCAAAAAATGAAACAAGTAAAAAAAATGTATGGTTTTTATGTGGGAAGAAAACCAATAAAAATCTATTTAGAAATTGAGATAATAATCTTATAATATATGGTTTATATGTGAAAAAATAAACCAATAAAAATATATTTAGATATTGCTCAAAATTGTCATTATTTGGGAAAAAAATATTCAAACAAATAAGTAAAACCTTGGCAGAATTTTGAAGTAAATCTTGAATAAATTTAAAATTGCGATATAATGACTTTGTGTAAAGTATGAAAGAATTTTGTATTTAGCCCTAAAGTGGATTGTAAATGTACATGGCCCTTAAATGGATTGTAAATTTACACAGCCCTTGAATGGGTTGTAAATGTACACAGCCGTTGAATGTGTTGTAAATGTACACAGCCGTTGAATGGGTTGTAAAGTTGAATGGGTTGTAAATGTATACATCCCTTCTTCGTGACCAGATATAAATACTGTAAATAAAGGAAATACCAATAGAAATAATTAGTTCTCCGAGTCAGTTTTTCAACCTTGATCCCACATTTCTAAGGCAGTCCTTGGTTTGAAGCCATTGGTTGGCTTTAATTTAAAGGTCCATTTGGAATTTTCAAGCTGGACATTGAGTAATTGATTTCGGAGTTGATCAGAAAAGTGAGTCTTGCCATCTATTTTTTCCTGCACTGACTGGGCTAATAAAGACAGATGTATTATGACATGTTGTGTAGTATGAGCGAAATTTTTGCCTGAGAGCAACAGTATGGCCTACATTGTGTCGAACGTTGACATATCATTTCTCTCTATTTAGTGGGGGGGTTTGATGGCCGAATGGTTAGCATGTGCGCACTGTGTCATAAGGCCTGTCATTGAGTCAACTGGCGTGGTTTCAATTCCCTGGTTGTATGTGACAAGGAGTAGGGCCACTTGTCCAACCTTGTGGGTTTTCTCAGGGTCTTCTGGTTTCCTTCTGCTGCTAAAGACCCCTTCGCGCAAGCGAATTACTGAAATAAAATTGAACCATGTTTTAGTCCCAAAATGACCCAGTTTGATCTGTTAGTCCCGGAATGACCTAGTTTGTGTTGAGTAGACATGAAACCCCATTTCTCTATTTAGCAGAAGACATACTGAACTGTTAAGTTAGATGTTTGGAACAAAACCCAAGGCAACTAAAATAAGTTGACAAATGTTTTTGAATATTTTTCTGAATTCTACCCCATGGTGCTAGGAACACATGTGATCTAATCCCTGCCAGCATTCTCGTCTGTATGGGGAGCTGCAGTTTCTAAGTTAGACATTGGCTTGCTAACCTGAGATGATCATTCCTGGGCCCTTATTCACGAAATCTTAAACTAAGATACAGTCGAAATTTTAAGAAATACTGCAATTCGATTTGCATATATCCAATGAAGTTGCAGTATTTCTTAAAATTTTGGTTGTAACTTAGTTTAAGTTTTTGTGAATAAGGGCCCTGGTAATAGCTGAGAATGTCATCAGGTTTTTTCTGGCGTGGTTCCTATTTAGGATGGATGACCTGGCAAGGGAAAACGTGTAGACAAAAAACTGAGGCTCGTGTCAACATTGGCAGAATCGTACCCCATTTCATTCCTCTTGTGGATTGTCATCGGAATCAACCGTTCATTGCCTAAAGTTGTTGGAAACCATGGAGTCATACTAGATCTACGTGTAGTTGCACTAGTAACATAGAGACGATGAATAAAAATGTACTTAAATGTTTATTGAACACAAATTTCTGAACAAACATCGTGCAATTTGATTTCAATAATTCTCTTGCACTAAGTGGTCATTAGCAGTGGAAACACCCAGAGAAAACCTACTAGGTTGGCAGGCAACCCTACTCCTTGTCATGTACAAGTGCGAGATCAAAACCACGCCACTTGACTCGATGACAGACCTTATCAATATACTGTATATACCAATACCCACAATTACCAAAGAAAATAAGTCATGTCCCAAGTACAGCAACATGGCAGCCCTTGTCAGTGGTGTACTACAGAGGGTCCGACAAGGTCTGCTGTCTAGTCGTTTGCTTGCACGTAAAAGAGCCCTTAGCAGTTGGAATTCGATATAAGAGTAGGCCTTAGCGCCGCCGTACGGGCAAAATTTCACTCATAGCATACTGTATGGCGTATGCTCCTCTTCATTAGCCCAGTTGGAGCAGAACAATAGGACGTTAACCCCCCGTTTCATTTTATTCTTAAAATTTTGCTGCAGAAAGAGAGAGAGAGGACCCAGAGAAAACCCATGAGGTTGAACAGGTGACCCTACTCCTTGTAAGGTACAACTGTGGAATTGAAACCACGCCAGTTGACTCAATGACAGACCTAATGATACAGTGCGACGTGCTAACCATTCGGCCATCCAACCCCCTTGCAGACTGGATAAACATGCCAAAGTCACCTATAAGTGTTGTGTAAAATCTTTATTGTCCTTTTTCATTTCAATTAAATCCAAACTAGGAGATTAGTTACAGTTGATAGCTGTTTTCTCTAATAATTATAGAGTAATTAATTTGAGTACATTTTAAAGCAGACTAAAAAATCTTTGAGTAAGCCGTGTAATATACAATGACAATCAATGACTTTAAAATACAGATGTGACATCACCCTTTGATGTTGGAGTACCATTATTTCAAATAATCGTATGGGCAACTTGCCAATTGTATATTATTTATAGTAGTGAAATATTGGACTCGCATGACGTATTTCACTGTGAAAGCATGTGTTTGTATTTTAAGTCGTTTAATGGTCTCGAGCTTAAGACATTGCGTAATATATTGTAAAAACACTCGGGGCGCATGGCCCTCTTGTTGTTACAATATATTACGCAATGTCTCGCTCTCGACCATTTAACAATACATAAGTATGTCTATTTGTTTGTTTAAATATAGTAATTTCTAAAGACAATACAAATAATAAACTGTAACACATACTTACAGAAGAACAATTATTGATTTATTTGGCCGACTTTTAGAAGAGTATTCTCCCTACTTTCTTGAAACGTCGCCTAAATAAATCAGTAAATGTTCTTCCATGTATGTGTTATAGTTCATTGCTCAATCCAGTTACTAAATTCCTCTAAAAGATCAATACAAGAACTTGATGCAATGTCCATCAATTGCAAGAAAAAAACCCTGATGAATCTGAGATGTTCGATCACCAGAAAGCTAATGCATCAATAGTGCTCTACGTGCGTTGGGGGGGTGTATGGCCGAATGGTTAGCACGTGCGCGCTGTATCATACGGTCTGTTATTGAGTCGACTGGGATGGTTTCGATTACCTGGTTGTGACGAGGAGTAGGGTCGCGTGTCCAATCTCGTGGGTTTTCTCTGGGTCCTCCCACTGCTAAGACCCCTACGCGCAAGCGAATTATTGAAATAAAATTGAACCATATGTTATTCCCGAAATCACCTAGTTTATGTCGAGTGGACTTTAAACCCCATCTCTCTCTCTCCACGTGTGTCTGTTAACCCCAAATAAAATGTCTGATAAGAAAATAAAATTGAACCATATGTTATTCCCGAAATCACCTAGTTTATGTCGAGTGGACTTTAAACCCCATCTCTCTCTCTCCACGTGTGTCTGTTAACCCCAAATAAAATGTCTGATAAGAAAATTTTTAAATGGCATCCCTGGAGCTATTTCAAAAATATAATTTCCTTCTTTACCAGGGATGCTACTTTAAAATTTTCTCATCATTTTAGGTTAACTGACACAGTACTAGTTCAATGGAAGTCGTTGTCAGCTTCCGGAAATACATGTAGGGTTAATTAACTTTGATTCTGATTAAAACACAGATTCTATTTCGTTTAATTTCTTATAGTTCAAAATTTCGTTTTACTTCTCATTACTACACTAGGATCTGGAAGAGTTGTTATATAACAGGTGTTCTAGTTGATGTGCGGGATTAGCCAATGAAACGATCTGTTATGGCGAGTTCTTAGTGTGCTCTGCACGGAACTGTGGGTAAACCCCTGAAAACGTCAACGCTGATTGATTAATCAATGTCTGAAGTCATAGGGTCAAAAGTCACTCATATGACCCCTGACGCGACCTCCCAATACAACCGGTCAGATCTTCATGTAGTGTAGGACATCGAATGTATAAAAAAAAAACGAAACGAAAAATAGATCTGTATTATCAGACAACAAATCTACATCAACCTGCTATTATAGTAAAAATTAACACTAATTACTGTCTGAACCATAGTAAAACAATAAAAATATTTTGTCCTGTATCCATTCCCTTGATCTGAGGTGTACCTTTGTGTCCTGTCTTTTGTTATTGTTTGTCAATCTGTTTCACAGAGGATTACGAAAGTCTTCTAATATCTCTGTAAAAGATGATTACTTTCAACACGTGACGTCTCATTAGCGGCCAAGTGAAAATTCACTGCTGATCAGTGTGATTGTTTGTATGCGGTATGTCTGCTCATGCATAGTCTTGTTTTATCCGGAGTCCGGACACATTGTATGATGTAGCCAGGACGCCAATCTTCAAACCCAGAGTTAAGCTGACGTTTTTTTAGTTTATAAAAATTTATTACATAATTTGAGGTACATGTAGTTTCTTGGGGACTAAGATAAAGGTTTGTAAAGCACTTTCAAACAAAATTAAGCAGTTTTATTCTCCCAAATAAAACTTGGACAGCTCCATTAAACATACATTATGCAAGAGCTGAATCTGTCTATTGCAGGTCTTTTTTTAGGCCTGAAATGTTATCTAAATTATTAATTAGACATTAATTAACTTATCCAGACCATAATCAATTCTCGATGTCATCGCTAGCCTGCGATATTTAGTGGATTATGATTCGATTTACTGGTAAACTTTCATTCATGATTTAATCATTAAATGGATAATCGAGACTGTTTTTTATCGTACCGACTTAAGTAATGATAATCAAGGCTAGGCTGAAAATTTAATCGCTAAAATTGAGTGTATCAATTTGACTGAAATTGTCAGCAAATTCCTTTTACATTATGTAGTTTTTAACTATTATAGAGAGAACTGCCAGCTCTTTGAAAATGAAATGAAATGGGGTTTAACGTCCTACTGTTCTGCTCCTATGCTGGGCTAATGAAAACGGGCATACGCCATACAGTGTGCTATGAGGGAAATTTTGCTCGAGCAGCGGCACTATCGCCTACTCTTATATCGAATTCCAACTGCCAAGGGATCTTTTACGTGCATTCCAATGCATACATGGGACCTCGGTTTTTCATATCATCCGAAGGACTAGACAGCCATCCTTGTTCAGGCCCTCCGTCGTCCTGCATCACTGACAAGGGGGAAACCACGCGGGAAAATATGGATGAACTTTCTCGGCCAGTGCAGGGATCGAACACCCGACCTCCAGGCTAGCGAGTCAGAGTCTTACACACTTAGCCACGACATCCCCGCCAGCTCTTTATCTAATCTCCCTTAATGTATCTTTAAATAAATTGTTCATATGGGACATGAGAGCCATGGTGGCTCAGTGAGTAAGAGAGAGAGAGAAATGGGGTTTAACGTCCACTCGACACAAACTAGGTCATTTCGGGACTAACATATGGTTTTAATTTTATTTACACAATTCGCTTGCGCCTAGGGGTCTTTAGCAGTGGGAGGAAACCGGAGGACCCGGAGAAAACCCACGAGGTTGGACAGGCGACCCTACTCCTTGCCACGTACAACCGGGGATTCGAAACTACGCCAGTCGCAGTGAGTAAGATGTTGGCTCCCTAATCTGGAGGTCCCGTGTTCGATCTCAGTGTTGGCTGAGAAAGTTCATCAGGATTTTCCAGCGTGGTCCCCCCTTGTCAGTAGTGCTCAACAAATGAAATGAAATGAAATGGGGTTTAACGTCCTACTGTTCTGCTCCTAACCTGGGCTAATGAAGACGGGCATACGCCATACAGTGTGCTATGAGGGAAATTTTGCCCGGGCAGCGGCACTACGGCCTACTCTTATATCGAATTCCAACTGCCAAGGGATCTTTTACGTGCACACTAATGTGTACACGGGACCTCGGTTTTCCGTCCCATCCGAAAGACTAGACAGCTTTCCTTGTCAGCCCCTCCGTCCTGCATCACTGACAAGGGAGAACCACGCCGGAAAATCTGGATGAACTTTCTCAGCCAATGCAGGGATCGAACACCCGACCTCCAGGCTAGCGAGCCAGCGTCTTACCCACTTAGCCACATGATCCCCAGTGCTGAACAAAGGACCTGGTAAGGGATGACATATAGTCGTTCGGATGGGACGAAAAACTGGTCCTGTGTACACAAGAGATCCCTTGGCAGTTGGAATTCCTGTGTGCACATTGACGTGCATGCAAAAGATCCCTTAGCAGTTGGAATTTGATATAAGTATGTGGTAACGTCGCTGTCCGGACAAAATTCCCTCATAGCACACTGTATGATGTTTGCCTTTCTTCATTAGCTCAGTCAGTGTAGAACAGTAGCACGTTAAACCCCATTTCACTTGGGACGTAAACACTATATTTTTTTACCATGGCTCAGACAGTAGTATATTTTATATCATTAAATAAATCATTCAAACTAAATAACAAATAAATATATAGTCTCATATACACACATTATAATTAAAACAATTAGTACAATTAGTATAATTTCATTTCAGACTTAAAATAATTCAAACACCGGTATTCTATATGTAACTGTCATTTCAATCTGATTAAAACACAGATCCTATTTCGTTTTGTTTTTTTATAGTTCAAAATTTTGTTTAACTTGTCTTTACTACACTAGGATCTGGAAGAGTTGTTAGCATTGACGTGTTCTGGATGATGTGAGGGATTAGCCAATGAAATGGTCTGTTATGGTAAGCTTTTGGCGCGAGGTGCACGGAACTGTGGGTAATCCACTAGAAACATCAATGCTGGTTGGTTAATCAAATGTCCGACATCATAGGGTCAAAAGCCACTCGTATGACCTCTAACGTGACCTCCCAAAACAACTGGTCAGATCTTCATGTAGTGTAGGCCATCGAAAGTATAAAAAAATATAGATCTGTATTTTGATCAGAATGCTGTCATTTAGATGCCTACAACTTTTGATTTTAGACTCCCATGGCCTATTGAGCCACTATGAGCAGGTTTTGAGCATCTAACACTTTATAATGGAAGGGGCGGATCCAGGAATTATTACAGGTGGGGGGCCGCCAGGCTTCTTTTAAGGAAATTTGACAGTAGACAATGCATGATGCCATCATCGTCTCTGAATTACGTAGACATACATACACATTGAGCTTTTAAAGAGAGAAATCCATTGTGATTCAATTTTATTGATGCTAAGCATTAATTGTGATATCACACATGTCTTGTCTTTATCATTATTTCGCGCTTTGAATACCAACCCCATCCCGCCATCTGATGATAAAGGATAAAGCACACAACCATTGTTTTACAAAATTTTTTATGTGGCTGAGCAGGGTGGGGTTTGGACTCCCCCCTCCCCCCCCCGCTGTCTGGATCCACCCCTGAATGGAAATATTATTATTAATATTACATGCAAAGACTAAATGGGACATTAAATAGTGGTCACATCAAATTCAGATTTTACCATCTGAATATTTTAAGTCATTATTAAAATATTCTATTGGTTATACATTTAAATGACACCGGATAAGAAATAAATAAAAAAAGAAAATGGTTTGTATAGAATTGGAAAAACTATGCAAATTTGTATATTCAGATATTTACATGTACGTTAGCACTAGTATTTAGGATAACTCTTTTCATTCATAAAAATCATATTTGATCATCAGTATTCATCTGGGCCCTTATTCACGTAAACTTAAACTAAGATACAATCGAAATTTTAAGAAATACTGCAATTCGATTGGCTGACCAGTAAAATCAATTTGCATATATCCAATTTGCATATTGGTCAGCCAATCGAATTGCAGTATTTCTTAAAATTTCGATTGTATCTTAGTTTAAGTTTTCGTGAATAAGGGGCAACTAGTTATTGTTTTCTATATAAATTGAAAAAAGCTCTGCTTAAACAGACATGTACATTATGCAGGAGCTAAATCTGCCTATTGTAGGTCTTTCTTTAGGCCTGAAATGTGATATAAACGATTCATTGGACATTTATTAACATTAAAAGATCATAATCAACTCTCGATGCCATCTTATGAGTCCGATTTTCACTGACTTTAAATCCAATCTGCTATTCAACGCCCATTGATGATTAACCATAAGAATGAATAATCAAGACTTTGTTAATTATCGTGAAAGCGGTAACAATAAAAATTGAGGCTACAGTGATTTTAAAACAAGGTTTTCTCGGCTTAGATTGAAGCATATTCACTATTATAGTGAGAACTGCCAGCTCTTTATCTTATCTTCCATAATGTATCTTTAATAAATGTTTACACCGGTATGTAATGAACATGTTTTCAGAACACAATTGTTATAAATAATATTATAAACCAGAAAACAAGACAGTTATTGTAAACTTGTACCAGTATATAATTAACATATTTTCAACGTGTAAGACTTTGGATGATGTTGAGTTAGAGACTTATCTACTTTGAATATCTATTTTTAAATATCTATAATTAATTACCAATAACATATTCTAAAAGAATTGTTTTAAATTTTAAGTAACATTGTCCATGATATAATCTGAATCAAAAAACACGACAGTAACTGTAATATCATCACGATAAAACCGTGATATACTGTTGGGTAATGTTAGCTGGGCCGACAACTGGAGGTGATCTTGACCAATGGCATTACGAATAAGATGTGTCGCAACGTTTGAATCCACTGTTTTATTGGCAAAACTCTTCTTTCGTTGAGTCAGCAACTGGTTGATGGCACCGAGCGTCATGTTTTCTCTAGGCAAATCAAAATTTACTAAAACCTGTCGTCCGTCCATGTGACCAGCAACTAACTGAATCACCTTTTCTGGCGATATCATGTCCCAGAGTCCATCAGACGCCAGAACAAGAAATTTGTCTTTCGGTGAAAGTTGATGATACTTTATTTCTGGTTCTGCTATTAAATATGGCGGAGTATTATAATTATTAGGGAGGAGTTTATCACCATAGACACTTATAAACGAATGAGGAAATCGGTTTGTGTTCATAATGTGTTTCAGATCTTTCGCATGCCATTTGTAGCGAACATCGCCAAATGCGCGGAATGGAGCTAAATCCCCAAATAATCGACCATTTTTTATTACGTTGTTAGATTCGTTAGGATGCTGTTTCAGTATTCGGTTAACCTCACTCTCGTTATTTGCGTCATGTTGTTGGGTCAGTTCCTTTGCTTCCCAGTTATCTGCCCCTTTGTTTACTCCGAGAACGGCACGACAATCGCCAACATTTGCCACAAACATATCTGTACCATCTATATACGCTACGCACGCAACGGCTCCAGCAAACGCTATCGTCAATAGCTCCGTGTTCAGAACAGAACTGGTATTACCATTTAACACCGAATTAGTTGTGACAGGCAAGGCTTCACTTCCGATATCTTCATCAAGGCGGAGAAACGCCTGCATCAAAATGTCAGGCACATACTGATCGTCACTAAAATTAGTTAAGTTTTCCCTTGCGAACTTTCTCAAGCTTTTATCGTATAACTCTCGAAGCTCTGAGTGTCTGTATTCAACACCGCCATGATACCAATGTAACAATTCTTTGTCTAGATCAATTTCACCATTTTTCACTCTTTCCACAACTTCTGATGGCGACAAGGCCACTGCTAAATAATTGAACAAGCGTTCATTGAGTGCTTGAGCGCATGCACATCCTGCATGCCCATCATAAACCCCAAATAAATATTTATTTCCATGGGGAAGCTTGGCCTCTCCTCTGCGATCTTCAATTGGATTGTTCGATCTCAATTGATTTGTTTCGAAACCGCGAATAGCGCCATTGTTTTCTTCTATCGAAGTTTCATTTAGGCGTAATATTGTTGTCACTTGGTGAGGTGTCAATCTTGGAGACTGTGAATCATCAAGACCTTTATAATGTCTGGAGCCAACGGTAAAAATACTAGGATTCGACCTGTCGTTGGAGTGACTTCCAACCGAAAAATGTCTTGCGGTTCCTGAACTTGTTTTCATCCATTCTTTAACAATATCAATTTGTCCCTTGTGCTTTTTACTAATATAATGTCTAACACACTTTAACATTTCTCTGCTACGATATTACTGAAACTAGAGCGTTTCTAAATCACTACATTCTCACGTTTACCTCACTACTTCAATGCATGCTCCATTGATAAACGTCAATTCCGTTAGAGGTCGCTAGAGGGTTTTCTGTAAGTGCAAGGTCAAGGACGTCATAATATTTTGCACGTTGTTTATTTCGACTCGGTGCCATTTACTCCTGATTTTCTAGTCCAAGGCATTTAAAAATCATGATTATTTCAAGATTCTATGTGAGGTCATCACGTCTCCTAAAGAATGGAGGTGCTGTCATTTCAAGAGCGGTTCAAACATCATCAGAAAATGCTGCAAATGCAGGTAGGTCTTAGTATCGCAAATTGTCACTCACCGTGTACTGTTTGTGATTCGTGAATTATATAATTTCAAATTTGCAAAATTTTTATATATAAGATCAATTTTTAGTGTTATTTGATGAATAATTTTTGCTTTATTAAAGATTATTTTCAAATTATAAGTCGTTTAAAACGTCCATATAGATCAAGTGTTTATATTTCCATGCGTTGTTATATAATTAAAATTAAATAGGCCTATAGTATAAAAATAAAGATAATAATTTAAAGGGAAAACAAAGTTCAAGTTATAAAACTAATTATAACTCTCAACAAAAAACTGAATTTTTGTTGCCAACTGGCAAACTCGCTAACCAAGAGATTAAAGTTTAACAAGTAAAAAAATACATGTACATTTTTTAAAAACTGTTATAATTATAATATTATTGTCTTATAGTATCATACTATATGTGTTGTCCCTTTAATGTAAGCCAGGTTGTATGTGTGGGAGTGTGTGCACTCCAGTGAGAGAGGTCAGTTGACTTGTGGTTGTCAGTGTGGGAGGACATAGCATTGAGTTGTAGTTTTGATCATCGTGAACTGGAATAAACTCTTTTGCAACTTATTACCTCTGTCATCAAATATTATATGAATAGGCTTAAGGCCTATTTAACATTATCATCCAATTAGTACTACAGTAAACAATAGCCTATGTGTTACACATACATTGCTTGTAGGAAGGTTTTCTTCGGGTCCCACTGCTAAAGACCGATAAGTGCAAGTTAATTATTGAAATAAAATTGAAAAATTGAATCATATGTTAGTCCTGAAATGACCTAGTGGATGTGGAGTGGATGTTAAACCCTCTCTCTCTCTCTCTCTCTCTCTCTCTCTCTCTCTCACTCACTGCATGCTGTGTGTTCTGTCTTGTGTTTGTGTTGTCTTGAGTTTAAACATGCTTTCTACTGACTTTGTACTTTGGTAGTAGGGAATTCCCTTGGGCTCACTTGGTAGAGGTGTATCGATTTCATGCATGAAGTGTCATGGGTTGGATTTTGGACAGGATCGTCCTATCACATGGTGTATTGACAGGACTTTCAACCCCCATTCCTTTCATTATTCCAGCTGCAGAAAAATTGGAAATCAAAAAAGAATTGCCATCTCAAGATAGGAGACCTCTTTATTTAGATGTTCAAGCTACAACACCATTGGTAAGTACATGTAGGTAGCCATGGATATGGTCCCTGATATAGCCACATTAATAGGGAATCAGACAGTGGCAGATTAAGGAGGTGGGGGAATTACTGGACTGAATCCAGACAATGGCAGATTAAGGAGGTGGGGGAGTGACTGGACGGATTCCAGTAGCCAGGCGTGAATATAATGAGTTTAGTTGTATGTGACAGAATGTCAGACACTACTCATGTAAGACCTGATATTTTTAATATTGTGATGGACATGTCATTAAAAATATCAATAAATCAGAGAAAATACAAAATTCTGTGCTGGACAAAATGACAGGTGCTTTGCATGTATTTCCAGGCTTGCCAGTTGCCACTAAGAAATTTGACATGTATTGTTGATTCTTAAAGGAGCTAAATCGCTACTTTTTGGCACCTAGAAATGGACACAAATGAGTCGCAATGCATTTAATATGAATGCATGTTAACTGATTTACATTCAATCATTTCTGTTTTTACTGTTCGGTTATGTTCGGCGGAATACACGAAGAGTCCAAAATGATTGAAAGCCTTTGGTGTCTGGTTATTCCAGTCTAAGCTACAGCGGTAGTGTTCTCCTACATGGGATATGTTTAGTCTCGTTCATAGAGTCACTTACATTACAAATGATGCTTGAAAGCATTCTGGAAAACGATTTGATATCAGAAGCCCATCTTTTCACTATAAGATAACAACATCAATGTTGATTTAAATTGACAAATGAGTCGTGTTTGCAATGTCGAAGACTGTGGATGATATTGAGTTAAAAACTTGCCCCCTTTAAATTCTTTTGTAACTAATACATTTATTGGAAATAACTTCTTATTTGACTGTAGATTTTGAAATAAAACTGATACAATTGCTCAAATTAAAAGATGCCAGATTTGGAAAACCAAAGTAGTGGATGTTTATGGTTTCTCAGAATTAAAATTGTTTTCATTTTTCAAGGACCCAAGAGTGTTGGATGCTATGATGCCATATCAAGTGAGTTACTATGGAAACCCACATTCCAGAACACATGCATATGGTTGGGAAAGTGAAACAGCCATGGAAAATGCTAGAAAAGTGAGTTAATGAATGATTATGTATTAAAGGCTCAATACCACTCTTGTTGTAACTGAATAATATGTCCCAATCTTTATTCTGGTCAACAAATTGTACTATTTTACAATATTCAAATTAATTGATGATACAAATTTCATCTTAACACACCTCATTTAGAAAATTGGAAAAATTCAACTAAATGATTTGAAAAGCCTGACGGAAAGCTTTTCAAATGTGACTTGGATTTAAAAATATATTTGAACCCTCTGGACAAGTAAAATAGGATTTAATGGATAATTTACACAACAGGTAGGACACTAACACATCTAGTACTTAGAATAAGGCTATTTTTTATTTTCTGGAGCTGTCAAGCTAGCAAGAATGTTATTGTCCCTTTAAAGATACATTATGGGAGATAAGATAACGAGATGGCAGTTCTCGCTATAATAGTTAAAAACTAGATAGTGTAAAGGTAATTTGCTGAAAATTTCAGTCAAATTGATCCACTATGAGCCGAGAAAGAAGCGGGTGAAATTTTGGCATAGTCTCGGTCATCATTACTAAAATCATTAATATAAACAGCTTAGTCTCGATTATCCACTTTTTTTTTATTTAATTATTAGCGGCATATAGGAATGTAATCCAGCCAACATCGAAGGCTAGCCTTGACATCGAGAGTTTATTATGGTCTGGATAAGTTAATCAATGTCTAATTGATAATTTAGATAACATTTCAGGCCTAAAGAAAGACTTGTAATTAGCAGATTTTGCTCTTGCATAATGCATGTTTAAGATTCCTCATTACAATTTTGTCGGGTATTCAGATATTGTGCTAATTGTGACTTATAAATTTACGTTTTTAGTCCGAAAGGTATTTGTCTGACCGATTTCTTGTAGTTTGGGTCCAAAACAAACTTGCTTCCTTCTATCCACCCCATCTACACAACCTGTCCACACAGTCACACACCTGTATGGCCTAAGTGTTACCATTCAATAAACTGATGCTGTATTTTCAGCAAGTTGCTAGTTTAATAGGAGCAGACCCAAGGGAGATAATCTTTACAAGTGGTGCAACAGAATCAAATAATATAGCTATAAAAGGCGTGGCCCGATTTTATAAAAGTAAAAAGACTCATGTGATAACGACACAAACGGTAAGTAGACTTTAATTCCAGTCATATGTTATGGGCACAGTTGGACCCTGGGGTTTAGCATCCACTCCACATAGAGTAGGTTATTTCGGGACTAACACATAGTACAACCTTATTTTAATAATTCGCTAGGGGTCTTTAGCAGTGGGAGGAAATCAGAAGACCCGGGAGAAAACCCACGAGGTTGGACACTTGACTCTACTCCTTGCTGTGTACAAGCTTGGAATCGAAAACATCCAGCTTGACTCAATGATAGGTCTTATGATCTAAAACGCACATGTTAAACCACTCAACCATTGTACCGCCCTGACACTTCGGGATTAATGAGCCTGGAAATAAGGCACCTGTGACAGACATTTTCTGGCACAAATTAAGGCTGGTGCCTATCATGTATCTTTTTGCTGTGTTATTATTATGGATATTTCTAACACATGGACGGCAAAACGCCCAGCAGAGGTGGGAACAAATTGCGGGACCTTGATTCCGAGTCGAGTCCCAAGTCACTGACTTTAGTACTGAGTTGAGTCGAGTCCCAAATCTTCACAAAGATCGAATCCCGTTCAAGTCACCTGTTCATCAAATTAGTCAGCAATTTATGGTGAATAAGGTAACTTAGAGTTATGCCCCCTCGCGCGACTCGAGTCCAATGCTCTTTCAAGTTGCGAGTCGCCATGACTGCCAAGTCGAGTCTCGAGTCCCAATAAATTTTCCAAGTGGAGTTTTTGATGCAACTTATGTCCAAGTTCCCACCTCTGCAAACGTCATTAGTACCTGACATCTTGATTAATTTCTAGAAACTTTTTTAATTTCAGGAACATAAATGTGTGTTAGATTCTTGTCGTGTTTTAGAAGGAGAAGGTTTTGATGTCACATATTTACCAGTTAAACAAAATGGTATTGTTGATATGAAGGTAAATTATTAACATAATGTTAAAATGGTATTGCAATCTGATGAAAGCACAGATCCTATTTCGTTCCATTTTTTATAGTTCAAAATTTGGTTTTATTTGTCTTCACTACACTAGGATCTGGAAGAGTTGTTATATTACCGGCATTTTGGTTGAAGTGAGGGATAAGCCAATGAAATGGTCTGTTACGGCGACGTTTTTTGGCGCGAGGTGCTTTTTGGCGTGAGGTGCACGAAACTGTGGATAACCCACTAGAAACATCAATGCTGATTGGTTAATCAAATGCCAGACGTCACTGGGTCAAAAGCCACCCGTATAACCTCTGGTGCGACCTTCCGTAACATCCTGTCAGATCGTAGAGGCCATCAAAAGTATAAGAAAATGGAACGAAATGTAGATCTGTATTTCAGATTGATGGTATTGTTGATAAGAAAGTGAATTATTAACATGATATAAAATGGAATGGGGTTTAACATCCTGTTTTTGTGCTCCCACCGGTCTAAAGAAGAAGGCATACACCATGCAGCATGCTATGTTGAAATTTTGCCGGAGCAGTGGCGCTTTTTCCTACTCCTATTTCGAATCCAAACTGCCAAGGGTTCTTCGACATGCATGCCAACATGTACACATGCCCTTGGGTGTTTGTCACTGATTAGTCACTGTTTCTTGCCACACCCTCTGTCCTGCACCACTAAAAGGTTTATTAACACATTTCCCTAAATAGTTTTATTGATATGAGAGATGGGTTTTAACGGCCACTTGACACAAATGAGGTCATTTCGGGACTAACATGATTCAATTTTATTTCAATAATTTGCTTGCGTGTAGGGGTCTTTATCAGTTGGACAGGCGATCCTACTCCTTGCCACTTACAATCGGGGAATCGAAACAAACGCCATTTGACTCAATGACCGTCCTTATGATACAGCGTGCACATGCTAACCATTCGGCCATGCAACCCCGCCTTGTTGATAGGAAGGTATTGACATATAGTCTTATGTTTTGTAAATGTTTGTTATAGCATATCGAACGAAATTTAAGAGAAATGGGCTCATTCTGGCGCATAGCACATAAACACACTCAACCAATATAGTAGTTGTGCTTTTTGCTAATTCAAAGTGTCACTGATTTAATGTTTTTTTGTTTTTTTGACCTTATTTGATCTTCTCTCTCATGTCAAATGAATAACGTACAGTCGTGGCCAAAAGAATAGAAACACGCTTAAAAATGGTTGGATTTCTTACGTGTAAATTCATTTGATCATATATCTGCCATCTGAAGACCGATATATGATCCAGTGAGTTTACACGTAAGAAATCCAACCATTCTTTTGGCCACGACTGTATGTAGGTATGGATATCAGATCTGATGAGCTGATGTAAAATGTTTATAATATTTTGTGTATATTTGTAGTTATTAGAAGAAACAATCCGACCAGAAACATCTCTCGTATCTATAATGACAGTAAATAATGAAATAGGAGTTAAACAACCAGTAGCTGATATAGGTAAACAAATTCTTCTTACTGGGCGGGGGAGTCACCAGGGGCGTAAAAAAATTGTTGAATCCACTAGCCCAGGGCTAGTAGTCTACTGTTAGGCACTAATATCCACTAGTCCATAGTTTGACAAGGTACAAGATTTAATCTTCAATATTTGGGCATATGTTTTGTTGCCTGCCAACCTATCGTTTTTTATTAAAGATCATAGAATAGATTGCCTAAAAATTAAGGTTGTATACGGCTACTCGGTTAACCGGTCACGCTTCGGTTGCACTGGTGAAACGGTTCAAAAAACTACAAACCGATATTCGTTTTCATATCATATCTGACCTTCAAAACCTAAAGACCATATAAATACTTCATATAGCACATGTCATTTATAATATATCACGGTAAATTAACGTCCTTTAATTCCCGCTCGAAGATTTGTATACATTACGTCATTATTAGCACTTACTGCAAAGCATGAGATAGCCTCGACTGATTGACGAATTAATTGTTTTATCGTATTTATTTACCTGGTCACTCTATAAAAAGTCTCAAAATGAAACAAATCAGTTTGATGTGCTGATGTAGATATAATATTAAAATAGACAGTATAGTAAAATTGTTTATATTATCACTTGAGTGCCATGCTGTGTGCCGATAGGGTCAAAGTTGACGACACATGGGTCACTGGAACCATTCATCATGGCGTGTGTGTAATGAACACGTGTAGTAAATTCTTTGGAAATACCTGACATGTTAAATAATCAAAATTATCTTGTATTTAAAAATACAAAGGTATGCTTTCAAATATTTATGGGAGTCACAGTGGCTAAGTGGGTAAGATGCTGGCTGGCTAGCCTGGAGGTCGGGTGTTCAATCCCTGCATTGGCCGAGAAAGTTGATCCAGATTTTCCGACATGGTTTCCCCCTTGTCAGTGATGCAGGACGGAGGGCCTGACAAGGACAGCTGCCTACTCATTCGGATGGGATGAAAAACCGAGGTCCCTTGTACAAATTGGTGTGCACGTAAAAGATCCCTTGACAGTTGGAATCTGATATAAGCGTAGGTCTTAGTGTCGCTGTCCGGGCAAAATTTCCCTCATAGCACACTGTATGGCGTACGCCGATCTTCATTAGCCCAGTTCGAAGCAGAACAGTAGGACGTTAAACCCCATTTCATTTCATTTCATACTGGGGGTGCGGGGGGTATGGTTGACTAGTCTAACAAGTGCACTTTAGATCATAAGGTCTGACATTTTTTTTTTAATAAACAATATTTTTTTATTGGGTAAATCTGAATTTGGATTGGGGAACAGGCTATGCCTATGTGTAACCTCTGTCTCTCTGATTTAGATACATGTGCACAAGGTCTATCCCCAAGGTTGTACATGAATGGTCTAATGTGTGGGTTTTAGATCTATCATTGACTCATATGACATGGTTTTCATCCCACACTTGTAAGTGACATGAAGTAGGGTTGTCTGCCCAATCTCGTGGGTTTTCTCTGGTTTCCTCCCTCTACTGAAGAGACCTCTACATGCAAGTGCATAATTGAAGTAAGATTGTACCAGGTTAGTCCCAAAATGACCGAGTTTATGTGGTGTGGACGTCAAACCCCATTTCTCTCTTTCTCCGCTTTGCAAGGAACAGGGTCTAGTAATTCGGAAGGTATGTAAACACAAGGTCTCATGAACATGTCAGCGTGCACGTAAAAGAACCATTGACAGTTGGAATATTCGAGGAAGAGAAGAAGGAAATGTCATTGTCCGGACAAAATGACCTAGTTTATATGTATGGATGTAAAACTCCATTCCATACATGCATACTAATGTCTGATCAAAATTCTTCCTTCACATTACGGGGGGTTGGATGGCCGAATGGTTGGCACGTGCGCACTGTATCATAAGGTCTGTCATTGAGTCATCTGGCCTTGTTTTTGATTGCCCGGTTGTATGTGACAAGGAATAGGGTCACCTGTCCAACCTCATGGATTTTCTCAGGGTCCTCTGGTGTCCTCCCACTGCTAAAGACAACTATGCGCAAGTGAATGATTGAAATAAAATTGAACCATATGTTGGTCCCAAAATGACCTAGTTTGTGTCAGTGGTCATTAAACCCCATCTCTCTCTCTCTCTCTCTCTCTCTCTCTCTCTCTCTCTCTCTTTCTTCATATTACCTGTGTTATGTAAGAGAAATTAAATGTGGAGTTGATCAATGCTGATGTTATTTATTGATTACTTTATCTTTTCAGGGGCTTTATGTAGATCAAAGAAAGTTTTCTTCCATACGGATGCAGCCCAGGCAGTGGGTAAAATACCAGTAAATGTTAATGATATGAAAATTGATCTTCTGTCTATTAGTGGACATAAAATATATGGACCAAAAGGTAGGTTTTAATTATCTTCTAATATAAGCTGTGTTTCTTCTTGAAGCGGGCTTGAGTAGTTCAATATACACGCTTTGATTCAAGTGTTTGTGGTTGGGATCTCGAGCTTGTACATCTACTGGTCGTCGGGATTCCTTACAAAGCTAAAAAAAAACTATTGCGGCTGGACAGTTGCCAGTAAAGACAAAGCTAAAAAAACCAATGTGGCTGGACAGTTGCCAGCGAGGACAATTGCCGACCATTTTATTGTCCTGCTCCCTGCCTATACTATTATTTGGAATGAATGTTTATATAAAAATCCCCGCTCAACAGCAGTACAAACAAACCTTACATAGATATGGTAGGTAATTATTTATCATATCATTTCGGGTTGACATACCCATTGTCAAATGAATCTTCAGATCCAGTAGGTACCAGCCTGTCCAGCTTCTGCTGCTCTTTTAAGGGTGTATTACCATTCCCCCTTCCGTTCCTTTATTTGAAATATGGAGCCACAGTGGCTAATTGGGTAAGAAGCTGGCTCGCTAGATGGAGATCACGTGTTCGATCCTTGCATTGGCCGAGAAAGTTCATCGGGATTTTCCGACATGGTTTCCCCTTGTCAGTGGTGCAGGACAGAGGGCCTGGCAAGGATAGCTGTCAAGTCATTCGGATGGGATGAAAAATTGAGGTCCCATGTACACATTGGCTTGCACATAAAAGATCCTGTGGCAGTTGGAATTCGATATAAGAGTAGGCCCTTGTGCCGCTGTCCGGGCAAAATATCCCTCATAGCACACTGTATGGCGTATGCCCATCTTCATTAGCCCAGGTTAGGTGCAGAACAGTAGGACGTTAAACCCCATTTCATTTCATTTCCTTTTTTTGAAGTAATGTTACGCCATCATCAAGGACAATGTAACGTCTTTATTTTAATAATATTATAATAATATAGTCATTTATAAAGTGTGTTAATACAATTTCAAAGACACTGTTTTATTTACAGATCATGGTTTTGAAACAAGCAAGTTTCGGGTTAAGAAAGTTTAGAGTTAAGATTTAAAACGACTCACAGTCGTTAATTATATCAATTACTGTAATATATTATAGGTGTTGGTGCGTTGTATGTCAGACGACGACCGAGAGTTCGTGTTGAAGCACCGCAGTCAGGGGGAGGACAGGAGCGTGGAATGAGGAGTGGAACTGTCCCGACCCCTCTTGTTGTAGGTTTAGGTTCTGCTTGTGAATTAGCCAGTGAAGAAATGGAGGTATTTGATACAATTTTTTTTGCAGCCATTAAATATTATTAGGATCCCGTCAAGATTTTCCTACATGATTCCACCTTGGTGCATGATGGAGGGCCTGGCAAATGAAAACTTAAAGTTGTTTGGATTGGACTAAAAACTGTGATTCTGTGTATAGATTGGCGTATCCGTAAAAGAACCCTTGACAGTTGGAATTCAGTATAAGATTAGGCCATGGCAAATTTAATCTTATAGCACGATGTATGGCATATGTCCGTCTTCATTAGCCCAGTTAAACCCCATTTCATTTCATTTCTGTTCTGCTGTTCTAAAAGAAAGAAAGAAAGAAAGAAAGAAAGGGGAAAATGGGGTTTAATGTCCACTCAACTCAAATTATTCTTACAGCCATTAAATATTAGGGTTACACTATTAGGGTTGAAAGAGAGAGAGTTTTGTAGGGTTGAGAGAGAGAGACAGACAGACAGAGAGAGAGAGAGTCCACGTGACACAAACTTGGTCATTTCAGGACTAACACATGGTTCAATTTTATTTCAACAATTTGCTTGTGCGTAGGGGGTCTTTAGCATTGGGAAGAAACCGGAGGACCCGGAGAAAACCCACAAGGTTGAACTGGTGGCCCTACTCCTTGTCACGTACACCCCAGACTCGAAACCATGCCAATTAACTCTATGACAGACCTTACGATTGAGCTCGCACGTGCTAACCATTCGGCCATCCCACACCCCAGGTTTCAGGGGAACTGGAGTAAAGTTTAAAATTTCTGTGAAATTGAACAATTATAATTTGTATTGACAATACACCCAGTCTTTTGCAGACTATTCAGAAAGTATTTTATTGTTGTAATTTTTATTTTGGTTTCAGTATGATTCTAGAAGAGTTAATATGTTATCAAAGAGATTATTAGAAAAAATCGTGTCAAATGTTCCACATGTTATTAGAAATGGTGATCCTGAAGAAACTTATCCTGGTAAGTCATCATCATTGTTATCATCATCATCATTGTTATCACTGTTGTCATCATCATTGTTATCATCATCATTGTTATCCTCCTATTCTTGTTAACAACAGCAGCAGCATCATTATCATTCATCATTCATCATCATCATCAAAGTTTAAGGGGGACTTTTTATGATATCATGTTTATATCTAGAAGGAGAGCAGCAGTAGCTCTGTGAGTAAAGTGTTGACTTACCCACCAGGAGGCCAGACCTTTGATCCAGATGTTCGCTGAGAAGATCCCAAGGTTATCAAGAGTGGTTTCCCTTTTTCAGTGATGCAGGATGGGGGCCTGGTAGGAAACAGGGTCTAGTCTTTAGGATGGTACAAAAAAAAAACGAGGTCCAGTATGCACCTTGGCTTGCACGTATAAGAACCCTTGGCAGTTGAAATTCAATTGCTGTCTCAGCAAAATTTCCCTCATAACACACTGTTGGAATTCGATATAAGAGTAGGCCGTAGTGCCACTGTCCGAGCAAAATTCCCCTCCTATCACACTGTATGGCGTATGCCCGTCTTCATTAACCCGGTTCGGAGCAAAACAGTAGGACGTTAAACCACATTTCGTTTTCATTTTTGTTTTATATTCTGTATATTACAGGTTGTTTAAATCTGTCATTTGCGTATGTCGAAGGTGAAAGTTTATTAATGGCTATTAAAGATATAGCTGTATCTTCAGGAAGGTTTGTATAATTTTATATTGAGATCTTAGGGAGAGAGAGAGAGAGAGAAATGAGGTTTCAATAATTCGCTTGCGTGTAGGGGGTCTTTAGCAGTGGGAGGAAACCAGAGAACCCGGAGAAAACCCGCAAGGTTGGACTGGCGACCCTACTCCTTGTCACGTATAACCAGGGAATCAATGACAGACCCTATGATACAGATTGCATGTGCTAACCATTCAGCCATCCATCCCCCCTTGTAGTACTATAGGACTTCTTCTTGTTGTGTTTACTTTCTGGTGATCTTTAATAAGACTACAGCATAAAACAGTTTCACAACTTTATTTCTAAGTTGTACTGGCTTTCCAGGTTCCTCGTTCTCAATGATAATGGCTGGTAGGAATTTCTGGGTGAGCTCTAATCCAGCTCGCCTCTACACCCTAATTTATACCCCCTAATTTCTGCAGGTCTTCGATAACCTAGACGTTAATTTCCAACCCATATAAGGAATAAAACTCTTTATTTCTCCCAAATAAGATAGAGAGAGAGAGAGAGAGAGAGAGAGAGAGAGAGAGAGAGAGAGAGAGAGAGAGAGGTTTAACATCCACTCAACACAAACTAGGTCATTTCGGGACTAACATATGGTTTAATTTTATTTACATAATTCGCTTGCGCGTAGGGGTCTTTAGCAGTGGGAGGAAACCGGAGGACCCGAAGAAAACCCACGAGGTTGGACAGGCGACCCTACTCCTTGCCACGTACAACCGGGGATTCGAAACCCTGCCAGTCGACTCAATGACAGACTTTATGATACAGCGCGCGCACGCTAACCATTCAGCCATCCACCCCCCCCCCCCCCCACAAATAAGATAGGAAACATTGCCTGTTTTTGGTCTATCAACCATAGGTCAATAAACAGCAAGAATTTGATGACTATTTTAACAATGATTATAATTTGACCAAAATATCACTGTTTTTTTACGAATAGCTATACCCACGTTCATTAAGTACATGTGATTTGACTTTATAGACAAAATTGAAGAGACAATTTTATAAAGACCCAAAATTGTCTCAAGGGCCAAAGTGTTAAAACCCTTCAGATCTTAGGATGTTACACTTAACATCTGGGTAAAAGTGATACACAACAATTTTCCATGTTAGAATTCTAATCTATATATTTATTACTAAAAACGACAGGAGAACTACAATATAAGGGAGATAACTTATATCTATTTAGAATAGATTTCAGACCACAATGATATTCAATTTACCACTATATAATAATATTAATGTGTTTTATATTGATGGAAGGGACCACAGGGGTTGCTTAAGACTCAATATTAGAATATCCTTGGGCTGAAAGCATCTGGTTGAAGGGACCACAGTGGTTGCTTAGACTCAAAACTAGAATGTCCTGGGGTTGAAAGCATCTGATTGAAGGGACCACAGTGGTTGCTTAGACTCAAAACTAGAATGTCCTGGGGTTGAAAGCATCTATTTGAAGGGACCACAGTGGTTGCTTAGACTCAAAACTAGAATGATTTACTGACTTCACAGATATAATGAACAGTAGAATAGTGCCATTCAAATGGTAAATTTGTCTGATGCAGAAATTATGTTTGTCTGATGCCAGTATTATTGACCTCACAAGAGACCTGCCAACACGCTAGCAGAATGTTGTGTTTCAGAGACAATTTAGTTGGTTAGTTGGCATATGTTTTGTTGCCTGGCAACCTATTTTTAAAATCTTGTGTTTCAGTGCTTGTACATCAGCATCATTAGAACCATCGTATGTATTAAGAGCCATTGGAACTGATGAAGATTTAGCACATTCATCTATCAGGTAGGTACAGTATGGGTCCATTTAATTTAGTTATAATTCATGATACCATGGACCAATGCAGTGATGGGATTTCTCACGTATATTCCGGACATGTCCTACGCTATTTTCCAAACATACTAAATTGTCTGACCAGGAATATGCCCAATCGGACATCAAGGTATGGTGAATAATATTCAATATTCCAAAATTAATATAGTGTACTGATTGTATATCTACCACTCAACCCGATTATCGTTGATAATACGCTGGATTGATTAGGTAATTTAGTGATCAACATATTTATCGTGTTATACCGCCAATACACCTACCTTGATTAACTACTTAATCTGCCTTAATCCAATTCATCAATCCAATCCTGAACAGACGTCATTGCTTCCCTTTTGTCGGGCTCCAGAACAATACCATGGTCCACTGAGTATTATTACTCCAAAACAATGCTATGGTCCACTAAGTATTACTCCAGAAATATACCATGGTCCACTGAGTTTTACTCCAGAATGATGGCATGGTCCACTAAGTATTACTCCAGAACGATACAATGGTCCACTGAGTTTTACTCCAGAATGATACCATGGTCCACTGAGTATTACTCCAGAACGATACAATGGTCCACGGAGTATTACTCCAGAACGATACCATGGTCCACTGAGTATTACTCCAGAACGATACCATGGTCCACTGAGTATTACTCCAGAATGATGCCATGGTCCACTAAGTATTACTCCAGAATGATACCATGGTCCACTGAGTATTACTGAAGAATGATGCCATGGTCCACTGAGTATTACTGAAGAATGATACCATGGTCTACTGAGTATTACTGAAGAATGATACCATGGTCCACTGAGTATTACTCCAGAATGATGCCATGGTCCACTAAGTATTACTCCAGAATGATACCATGGTCCACTGAGTATTACTCCAGAATGATGCCATGGTCCACTGAGTATTACACAAGACCATGGACCACTTGATTTAAGTATAAATTTATTTCGCCAAGGATTAGGAACAGTGTCTAGTAGTTTGGATGGGACAAAAAAAAATGTCCTGTGTAGTCATTGGCGTGTGCATAAAAAAAACCCTTGACAGTTTGAATTTGAAATAAGAGCAGGCTGTAATGCTGCTGTCCAGGCAATATTTCCCTCATAGCACACGGTCGTCATATATCTGTCTCCATTAGCCGACTCGGAGCAGAACAGTAGGACTGTAAGTCCTCATTTATTATCCTCATTTCTCTTTCTCTGCCTCGTTACTATAGTGGTTCCCCCTTGTCAGTGATGCAGGACGGAGGGCCTGACAAGGACAGCTGTCTAGGTCCCGTGTACACATTGGCGTGCACGTAAAAGATCCCTTGGCAGTTGGAATTCGATAAAGAGTAGGCCGTAGTGCCGCTGTCCGGGCAAAATTTCCCTCATAGCACACTGTATGGCGTATGCCCGTCTCATTAGCCCAGTTCGGAGCAAAACAGTAGGACGTTAAACCCCATTTCATTTCATTTCGTTACTATAGTAACCATAGATTGCAGACTTTCAAGTGAGATTTATTTTGTATTTTTAGATTTGGAATTGGTCGTTTTACAACAGAAGAAGAAGTTGATTACACAGCAGAAAAATGTATAGAACACGCCACTCGGCTACGAGAAATGAGGTATGTTAGTGGAGTCTGCTCATTGGTCCAATACTTAAAGGACAATATTGGTGTTAGTCATTATTACGTATGTGATAGAACTGGTTAAACACATTCCAAATATAACACAGAGATCATTGTTACGGGAGATGTGTAACAAACCCTTGAATAAATGGAAAGTGACAACAAACATGACAAATACGAGTTATCCTTCTATATAACTGACTGAAGTAATGACTGACACCAATATTGTCCTTTAATTTGCTTACAGCTGGCCCCTGGATCCATTTGATTTTGTTGTTTATGTCTTGCAATGTATTTGTGTGTCAGGTGGATTGTCGTGTCAGTTTTGTTTTGTATGATGTGTGGTTCTCCTGCATTTACGGTACTATTAAAGTAAACGGAGTCATCCAATGTTTATATCTTAGAGTAAAGATCAATCTGATTAGAACACAGATCCTGTCTCGTTTTACATGACCCCTGACTCGACCTCCTAGTACAACTGGTCAGATCTTCATGTAGTGTAGGCCATCGAAAGTATAAAAAAATATAGATCTGTATTTTGATCAGAATGCTGTCATTTAGATGAAATATAGACCTTATATTTCAATCAGATTGATTAAAGAAACGAAATATAGACCTTATATTTCAATCAGATTGATTAAAGATAAGCTTATTATTAAAAACTTGGAGGATGGGGGTGGGGGTGGCGAATAGTCTCTATCATCCATTTTTTTTATATATGATTCTAATTTTGTGTTTTTTAGTCCATTGTGGGAGATGGTCCAGGAGGGAATAGATCTCAAGACCATTAAATGGAGTCAACATTAACTTGTCCTGAAGGACCTGGTAAATAGCCAGGAGATGTGTAGGGTTGTAATATTTACTACATCCAAGATGTACAACCGATGACCGGTTTCTTGTGTATTGAATTCAAGTGGTTACATATTTATTTTGGTTTCATATGGTACCAACTTTATCACAGCCAAGAATTGATTTCTTCTGTTGTGTCATTTTTTGCTACAAAGCTTTCCCATAATCTAACTGTCGCACGAAAAACTTTGTTGGCAACAAGAGGTAATTTAAAGGAGCAAAATCACCAATATTTGGGACCTAGAAATTGACCCATGGGTCGCAACGCATATAATAATGTAATCTGATTGTATATAAACTGATTTACATTCAATTGTTTCCGTTTTGACTCTAATTTCAAATCAGTTCTGTCCAGCGAAATACGGCATGAGTCTCAACCGAATGGAAATTTTTAGCATCTGGTTATTCCAGTCTATTGTGCATGCTCTCCAGATAAGATATGGCGTCATCGTTTGACATGAGTTGTGGAATATGTCTAGCCTCATTCTTTCTGATCACTTGTTACAAATGACACTGAAACGCACTATAGTACACGATTTGTGTACCAATGGTAAAATATTTATTTTGTCTTAAATATTGGATATCAGAAACCTACCTTTTCTCGGTAAGATCACAACATCAATGTTGATTTGAATTGACAATTTTCAATTTGTAAGACTTTGGATGATATTAAGTTAGAGACTTAGCTACTTAAAGACCGCAGACATAAATTGTATTTTTGTATGCATATACCATCATACTAGATTACTACAGCTTCCTATAAAGATTGAATAATAATCAATCAAAGTAAAAAAAAAAATGTGAGGTATTAAAGATACATTATGTAAGATTTGGATAAAGAGCTAGTTCAAAAATAGATAATGTAAAATGAATAATTTGAAATTTTCATTCAGATTACTTTATTGCGAGCGAAGATATTAGCCTTTGAAGGTTTGCCAAGACGTGTGCAATAATTTCAACCACTGTACTGGTTGTTCGAAGCTAAGTCTCGCTCCTTCATTTTTAGATTAAATCAAAATATGGCTGAACCGTTCAAATGTATTTAATATCGGAGAAATTCGATGCCATCGAGAGTTGATTATGGCCTGGATCAGTTAATTAATGTCTAATTAATAATTTAGAAAACATTTCCGGCCTAAAGAAAAACCTGCAATTGGTAGATGTAGCTCTTGCATAATGTATCGATATGTTTAACAGTGCATATATGAATTATAAGGTATTTTTGAAACCATAAAAATCTGCATGGAACTTAATTGTAATTTCCATGTAGAATCATCTTTTGACAGGGTTGGTAGGGTACCTAGATTTGTTGTCAGATCTAGATTACTAGAATGACCAACACAATATTATCAGTAAGAAAGATTCCGAATACAAAGCTAGCACCGAGCGCAGAACAGATTAGGCACTTCTAACCAACAAATTGTTTTAAGGAAAGGGGAGGGGGGTTGACATGACCCCTTGTCTCCGATAATGTGATATTCTTAGTTTCTTGTCAAATGGTGAATGTTGCCACTGCCTCAATTGCAGCATTGGACGTTAAGTAGCTGACAATGTATAAAATTCTCGCTACACAATTATGACCAGTTCCCCACAAATGTGAAGGATATGGTAGGGTGACCCATGTACTCACAGAAATACAGTCCACCGCTGATAGTTCGAGACTACCACTGAAGCGTGCACATTCGCCGTGCCGAGACCAACTTTCTGACAGTATGATACTATAAATAGCCATGACACGTGCAATTCTCTACAAATCTATCAACTATTACAGCCGTAAAAAAATTATTGTTGACGATTTTGAATAGCAGTAAAATTAAGCTTCTTGGTTATTACAGCAGATTTAGAAATTACGTTCGTTTCATTTTTTAAATCGCTTTATCATTAACTGTACCGTTAAGAGCGGCATCTTTTGGTTTAGTACAAATAATATCTCTGAATCACTCGGGTTAGACAGGAACATGGTACTAGCAGTAGTTTCATTTTACTTTTACAAGCTTCTTAAAACGATTGTTGAGCTACCTAACGTGCTTATTTCTAAATTCAATTTCTTGTTCTAGCTTTCTGTTATGTTTCGTAAAAAAGTAGTCTTGATTATCCCGACCTGTCAATCAGACGTAGAATGGTCGATAGACTGGTTAGGCGAGACTAATTTCAAAACAAGGGCACGTAACCTATCTTTTACTCAAAAGTGTCTGGATGTTATTGACGACTCTTGGAACCAGTTTTCAGTCTATTATTTATACATGATTAATGGTCATAGCTTATTAAGTACAACATGATCGTTTATTTAGTGACTATAATTGTGTGAAACTGATTTGAGGCTTGGCATATATATAAATATTGTGGCGTAATATAAAGATCTATATTTCGTTTTGTTTTTTTATACGCCCACATTTTCATGTGGACGTATATTGTTGTCACCCCTGTCCGTCCGTCCGATTTTGACGAAACTGGAAATATAGGTTTATCTCCAAAAGATCTCGACTGCTTTCGATATTGGCTTCTATTGGATCGAAACTTCATGGATTATGGCCCCTGTTTGGATTAAAAATCATGTTTTTAGCTTCGTTCTCAAATAGCGTAAAAATAGGGTATATCAAGGATGTGGACCCTATAGAAGTCACAATTTTTATCCGATTTTGTTGAAACTTGAAATGTAAGTTTATAACACAAAGATCTCGGTTTCTTTCGATATTTGCGCATATCAAATTGTAAATTTCTGAATTATGACCCTTGATTGTAGGAAAAATCACTTTCTTCTTAGCTTGTTCTCTATCCATCTTTCGAAAATGTGGGTGTATCGTGCCTGGCAGCCGCTGGTTTATGCTTTTGATAACCTACACTACATGATAATCTGACTAGTTGTAGTGGAAGATTGCGTCAGAGGTCATACAAGCAGTTTTAGAAACTATATATGATGTCAGACATTTGATTAACCAATCGGCGTTGATGTTTCTAGTGGGTTACCCACGGTTCTGTGCACCTCATACCAAGAACTCGCTGTAACAGACCGTTTCATTGGCTACCCCGTCAGATCATCCAGAACGTAGGTTATATAACAACTCTTCCAGATCCTAGTGTAGTAAAGACAAGTAAAAAGAAATTTTGAACTATAAAAAACAAAATGAAATAGGATCTGTGTTTTAATCAGATTGAATTAGTATGAAACATTGACTTTTTATCCGCCCACATTGAAATGTGGTCGTATATTGTCGTCGCCCCTGTCCAGCGGTCCGGCGTCCAGAATTGCGTGTGAACGCTCTGGAGGCTAAAGTTAATATCCGATTGACTTTAAATTTATACACAGTGTTTAAGGTCATAAGACGAAGAATCCTATTGATTTTCAACGATTTCCAATAATTACTGCCAGAATTATGGCTCTTGATCACTTCAAAAAATCTTGTGGACGCTTTAGAGGTCAAAGTTAATATCAGATTGACTTTAAATTTATACACAGTGTTTAAGGTCACAAGACGAAGAATCCTTTTGATTTTCAGTGATTTCTGATAATTACTGCCAGAGTTATGGCCCTTGATCACTTCAAAAAATCTTGTGGACACTCTAGAGGTCAAAGTTAATATCCGATTATCTTTAAATTTATACACAGTGTTTAAGGGCATGAGACGAAGAAGCCTTTTAATTTTCAAACGATTTCCGATAATTACTGCCAAAGTTATGGCCCTTGATCACTTTGAAAAATCTTGTGAGGTTCTAGAGGCTCAAGTTATCATCTGATTGACTTCAGATTGATAATTACTTAATGAGTTGTTACTCTTAATCAGATTTTAGTGTATTATAAATGTTTCATTACCAAAAAAAGTAAAAATATGTGACAATACTTGTTGACTGCCCAGACGATTTAGCTGCTGTGGGCGTATGTTTCGTTGCCTGGCAACCTATCTTTATTTATATATGAGCGCGGTGGGGAGAATGGTTCATCATTTAGTCATATGATACGGATAAGGGTCGTCTGCGAACCTTGGGGGTCTCCCAGGTTTCCTCCCACCGCTAATGACACCTGCATGCAAGCAAACAATAATAATATTAATATTTATAATAATCATTTTCTAAAGCACTGAACATTCAGTCAGTCTGACTGCTCGACAGTGGCGCTTTTATAATGTACATGTAAATAAAAAACATACATGTTATAAATATTATAAAAAACATGTTATAAATATGATTATGAAAAACATGTTATAAATATGATTATAAAAATACATACATGTTATAAATAAACAAAATAATACAAAGGAATAGTCAAGTGATGAGTTCAAATTATAGTTCAAAGTTGTGTGAAACCCTAACTAGAACTGCGATGCAATAATGACGGGTTTCACCGGTGCCACGTTACCCTTGAACTTATGTCACTTCCAGTGCCACGTTACCCTTGAACTTTGTCACATCCGGTACCAGTGAAACCATTAAACAGACTTCCACATAGGCATTGCACACATTTTATAAAATAGACACAGAATCAACCAAATCCAGCAATGTCAATTCCTTAGATACATTTGTTACCATGTGTTATTGATGAGTTTAAAATGTAGTTCAAAGGTTTCAGTAAAATTATTGAAATACGATTGAACCATGTCAGCCCCAAAATGACCTACTTTGTGTTGAGTGCATGTTAAACCCCCTTTACTTATTACTTAGCTTGAGGGTAGGATTTTATAATTATAACATTCATAATGTGGACATATATTGCCGTCGCCCCTGTCTGTGCCTGTGTGTCGCCTACAGACCACAGTTCTTAATTGATTGTCTTGAAACTTTACATACTTATTCCTTATACCCTAAGGATGATCCCTATTACTTTTGGTGCATGCCCGCCCCCCCCACTCCCGGGGCAGAGTCACGCCCATTCTTTGTATCTGTTTTTCATCTACAGGTCACATTTTTTAACGGATTCATACTTATTCCTCATACCTTAAGGATTAGTATCACTATTGTATTTGGTGCATTCCCAACCCCAGTGGCAGGGCCTCGCCCATTTTCTTTATGTGTGTCCATGTGTCCCCTACATGCCTCAATTCTTAATCGATTGTCTTGAAAACTTTTCATATTTGTTCCTTAAACCCTAAGGTGCGTGTCCAACCCCCAGCGTGTGTCTGTGTGTGGTCCACAGGCCTAAGGATGATCCCTATTGTTTTTAGTGAATGCCCAATCCCCAGAGGCAGAGCCACACCAAGTTGGTTTTCGGTAAGTGATAGCGCTTCAAGTTTGATTTTGTAATTAATAACGCTGTGAAATGACCAATTTAATTACATCGGAAGCTAGTTGAATAATGATCAAATAAGGCCTCGTTGGCAA